TGCCATGTTTGCTCCGACAAAACAAACTTCTCGACCTACAAGGAGATCGAAGGGAGGAAACTGCATATGGGAAACCACACAACTTCTGAGGTTCAAGGCGTAGGGAACGTGGTGCTGAAAATGACCTATAGCAAAGAACTAACTCTGAAGGATGTCCTGCATGTGCCAGATCTTCGGAAAAATCTTGTCTCAGTATGCTGCTAGTTAGACAGGGTTATAGACTTGTCTTTATAGCAGATAAATTTATATTATCGAAAAATGAGATGTTCCTAGCTATGAGTTATTTTACAAATGGGTTGTTTAAGTTGAATGTAATGGTCGTGTGCCGAGCACCACCTACTGATAATAAAAATATTGCTTCTTCTTCGTACTTGATCGAGTGTTATGATTTATGGCAGTGTAGATTAGGATATGTAAACCTAAATGCTATAAAAAGATTAATAAATATGAATTTACTAAATAGAAAAGAGGTGAACACTCAAAACAAAAGTGAAATTTGTGTGAATTCCCAAATGACAAAATTACCCTTCCTATCTGTGGAAGGGAAGACTAAGCCATTAGAATTAATTCACGCTGATGTGTGTGATTTAAAATTTGTGCAAATCAGATGTGGAATGAAATATTTCATCACGTTTATCGATAACTGCACAAAATATTGGTATCTTTACCTATTAAAGGAAAATAGTGAAGCAACTGAGGCCTTCAAGAACTTAAAAAATGAGGCAAAAAATCAGTTTCATTGTAAAATCAAGATAGTTCGAAGTGATAGAGATGACGAATATGTGGCCCCGTTCGAAGAAATGTAACAAAAGTGGCATAATTCATCAACAACGGCTCCATATTCACCTCAATCAAACGGTGTAGCGGAACGCAAAAATCGAACACTTAAGAAAATGATGAATACCTGTTGATAAGTTTAGGACTTCCCAAAAAATTGTGGGGGGAGGCGTGCTGACTGCACATTATATTTTGAACAAGATTCTACTTAAGGGTAATAATGCTACCCCCTACGAACTATGGAAATGTAAGAAACACACATATAAATATTTCATAGTGTAAGGATGCCTAACAAAAGTGAAATTTCCGCCTCTAAAGAAAGTCGCTATCAGCCCAAAAATGATAGATTGCATATTTATCGGATACACACTAAACAGTAGTGTCTATTGTTTCATAGTTCACAAATCGGAAATTCCTGGAATGACCGAGGGAACTACGATAGAATCAAGGAATGCCATATTCTTTGAAAATATCTACCCTTGTAAGAAAATGATTCAATTCAACCCAAAACCTGTAGATGAAGAGCTGTGGGGTGTAAAGAGACAAATGGCTAATAGCCATGATCAAGAGGTTTCAGAACCTAGGCGTAGAAAAAGAACAAGAATCGAGAAAACCTTTGGTCCAGATTTTATTACGTATATGTTGGACAATGATCCAACCACGATCAAAGAAACTCTATCTAGTCCTGATGATCTTTTTTAGAATGAAGCAATAGATAGTGAAATAGACTCAATAATACAGAATAACACTTGAGTGTTATCTGACCTACCGGAAGGTTGTAACCACTAGGGTGCTAATGAGTCTTAAAAAATAAACCCAAAGCTGATGAGTCTATTAATAAATACAAAGCTCGTCTTGTAGTAAAAGGCTATAGACAAACCGAAGGGTTTGACTTCTTCAACATATATTCGCCAGTAACTAGGATAACATCCATTTGAGTGCTTCTCTCGATTGTGTCTTTGAATAATCTTGAGATTTACCAAATTGGTGTAAAGATTGCTTTTCTAAATGGTGAATTGGAAAAAAAGGTATATATGAATAACCAGAACGATGTATCGTTCCTGGCCAAGAGAAAATGTGTGCAAACTGACAAAGTCTTTGTACAGACTAAAACAAACACCTTTACAATGACACTTAAAATTTGATAATGTCATGTTATCAAATTTGGAATGATAGTGGGATACAATGCTGAAGTAAACACGACGGACACCAAGGCTTCTACAAATCTGACAGAGGCACATGAAAAAAACATTAGAGTACATCACAAATTCGAAAATACAAAACTAAAATATCAATTTAACCAAACACAAAAAATTTTACTTATGTTTTGGAATTCTGTTTGGAGAGGAGATTCTTTTTTAAATTTTCAATAGACTCCGTACTTTTGTTTTATGCTCTCGGCTAGTTTATGTGGAAAACTTTGATGTATATCGAAGCCATGGTGACATTTTGTATAGGCAACAATTGGTGGAGACGACGAGAAAACGGGAGGAGAAAGAGAATTTTTTTACAAAAATAAATGGTTGAAAACGTCGAATCGTGATTCTTTTTTAGAGTTTTTTTTTTTGAATTTATAATCAATGACAATATATAAATAATAAATACAAGAACATCACTTGGAATTTAAATATGTAAAGTGATAAGATTTTAGGGTATATAAATAAAAAAGATAAGTTTTTACATATATTTAACAAAAATACATAACATATTTATTACATTTACTCATTGTTTCAAAAATAACATTGAATAGTAAAGAGGTGGTATACTATAACATTGAAAAAATAAGTAGTGCAGTAGTTAGTAGATATTTTAAAAAATGATTAATCTTTAATATTTTAAATCCGACACTTTCTAAAGGATGTGTTTGGCAATTAAGCTGATAGCAAATTCAATTAATTCGTTTGACTAGCTGATTCAATTAGTTGTTTGGATTAAAGTGTTCGTTAAAATAGCGATTTGATGTTAACTGTTTATACGTAAAATGACAATTAAGAACATTTTATATGTTATTTTCAATGGGTAGATTTTTTTAGAATTTTATTATTAATTTTAAAAATTAAAAAAAATTTATTAAGATATTTATTTTTATTCTTTTTAAAATATTTTGTAAAAGTGTAATGCAAATTTATTGAAAAATATATATTTTTTCATTAGAAATAATATAAATATAAAAGAACAAAAATCATCATTAGTATATATATTTTAAATAGATTAACTTTTAATTAATATATATTTCTATTAAATTTATAATTTTAAATAAATATATTTATTTTTAATAAAAATATTATGTAATAAAAAATACTCCCTCCGTCCCAAACGTCCTACAATATTTTCTTTTTGATATGTCCCAAACACCCTGCAACATTTCCAAAATAAGAAATAATTAATTATACTTAATCTCTGCCCCACACTTTATCCACTCACATCATACAAATAAAATATATATATATATTTCTCTCTCCATCACATCATCTAATTTCTAAATTATCATACTTAATACTACCCACCTAAAAACCCGTGCCAAAATCAAATGTTGCACCTTGTTTGGGACGGAGGGAGTACTATATAAATGAATCAATAATATTAATATTTTTATATTATCTTTATTCTAAAAAAATTATAAATAAGATAATTGACATATTAAATAACAATTTTTTTTTAATTTATAAATATGAATCTATAAGTTATTAGAAGAAAATATACCCAAATAATTAATAAATGGTATAATAAAAAATATATATTAATATACGTGAAAGAATTAATTACTTTTAAGGGAAAGAATAAGAAAAATGAAAATGAAAAAGCTAATATGAAATGTTGATATACAACTTTTTCAAAATTAGTTTTTTGGACCCAATAAACTAATTTAAAACGTTAATTTATCAAACTAGCTAAAAGCTATTTAATAAGGTAAAAGCTCTTGAAAACACCCTCTAAACCTCTTTTTTATTACTTTTCCAATTCCACGTATAATGTCATATTTTTCATTTTCTTCCCTTTCATATCTTATGTCATTTTTCGATTTTTTTAAAAGTATTACACACTTTAATCATATAAAAAAAAATCAAATTTATGTTTTTTAAAAATTTAATTATACTAATTAATTATTTTAATATTAATTTATAATTATTTTTTAATATATTTTTAATTATTTATTAATCATATCTTTTCTAAATTCTTCCGTCTACATTATATGTGCACCATATCTGAGACCATCGGGGAGTATTATATGTTCTCTATGTCAAATTTCATCTATCAAATCTAAGGGGGTGTATTCAATTGAGATTTTAATGAATTTTTTTGGATTTTAAAAAGTTTATAAATTTATGTGGATTTAGAAAATCCATAGAGTTTACGTTGAATTTGATGGATTTTAGTAATTGATTTAGATGAATTTCGACGAATTTGATTGAATTCTTTATGAATTTATATGGATTTTGTAGGATTGTAAAATAATTTTTTTTGGATATATACTAATTATATAAATTTATATGAAACACAAATTTTATAAATATAATATATTTATAATTAAAATTATTATAATTTACTACTTCCGTCCACCGCCAATCTATCCATTTGCATTTGGCGTCATTATTTTTAACATAAAAAATATCCTTATATTTGTATAATTTTTTGTACAAATATCATTACATTACATGAGTATTATAAGAGACCAATAGAATTATTTTTGTACTACGTTTTGATATAATAATTAATATTAAAAAATTAACATACAAAAAGTAAATGGATAGATTGGCGGGTGGGGGTAGTATTAGATTTTTATAAAATAAAATTTAGTATTAATAAATAATATATAATTATTAATAATGTAGAAGTATTGTAACATCTATAACACTATTATATTGTAGATTATTATTCTTAATTTTATAATTTTAACAACAAGAACAACAAATAATAATTTTAAGAATCCGTCAAAATCTCTGCTCACGAGGAGAGATTCTATCATATACAAAATTTTTATAATTTTTCATTAAAATTCATCAAAATCCATAGATTATTGAATACCTCGAGATTTTTAAAATCTTAAAAGATTTTTAAAAGTTTAAATTGAATACAATTTTGAAAGTCAAATAAAATTTAGATTGATTACACCCTAAATAAAGACCTCAAAATTCTAGCCCAATAAATTAATTAAGCCCAAAGATTAGGCCTAAGAAAGCTTAATTTGAGGCCCACAAAAACGAACTCAATGAAGGCCCAATTCTGGGAATGGGAATCGCGCGAGTTACGGCGATGGAGAGAGGAGAGAAAAGAGAGAGCGCCTCGCCGGCGAGGGTGAGAGGTACGGACTCCGGCGATCAATGGCATCTTCCAAGGGATAGTGAGAGAGGAAGAGAGGCGGACCAGCGTCGTCTTTTACCGGCGACGTATCGAAGGCGCTGGTTTATTCTTCCCCAGCATCGACGACGGCGAGCACCGGGAGGGAGGGGGGGGGGGGGAATAGAGAGACAGGGCGTCGGGAGCGAGCGGAATGGGTCTGAGGCGTCGTAAACCGATGGTTTTTGAGTAGCAATGATGGCTCTCGGCGGCTCACCTTCGTCTCCGGTGAGCCATGACTGTGGCGCCCCCGGTAAGACGAAGACATACAGAGAGAGAGAGAGATAGAGATAGAGAGGTCTCCCTTTTTCCTCATTAAAGCAACTCCGACGAGCTACCTTGCGCCGTCGGATGGCGAGGGCGACGGTGAAGGTTCACGGACAATGACCCAGTTGGAGCAGCCATAGTGCAGTCTGCCAGTGGGCTTCCAACCGTTGTTCCGGCAATGCCGATCCGGACAACTTCCTGGTAATGTGTGCTAGACCTCGCACTAATTAAATTCTGAGTATTGAGTACACATAATTCTTAGAGTATGGTGGGGTTGATTTCAATTTAGTGAGCATATTGAATTGATGCCTACTGTTTAGTTGATGCTTGGTGTGAGTGTTGTGTGTGTACAATAACATGATAAGTTGTGTATCTTTGGATGACTGAAGCTTTAAAATCGTACTCGTTGCTCTGTTTTATAGTTGAAAATGTTTTGGGTGGAAATTATTTCAAAACTTCCATTATCATTTGATTTTGGGTTAGACCTCGCACAAGTAGCTCTCTTTACAAGTTGGTTTAAAATGGATTGAAATGACGGTGATCGGAGTGCCCAAATTTATGCCAAATAGTGGTTTTGGTCCTTTACAGTGTATGAAAGAAAAGAGCCTTGAAGCTCACATTTGGCATGTTTGGTTTTCCTCAGAAATGTTGGCTTCAGCTACTTGAAGTGATCTTTTAAGGCTGTGATGCCTAAGGTCGTAAATTAGCCAGTGACCATGAGAGGAATGTGTGAGCTAATAAGGAAAGGAATTAGCCATATATGGTGCCTTGACTTAGTTGCTTCTACCTTTTTTCACTAGTAAGAATTTTATTGCTTTTGGTTGGTACTGTAGGCTCTAATTGACTATAACTTCTAATTCATTGAATGGATTGTCAAATGTGTCAAATATTCTCCTTTATTTGTCAACATAATCAGATGATTATGTAATTAAATATTCTTCTTTATTTGTTAACATAATTAGATGATTATGTATTTATTGTAATTGGAGTATTTTTAGTAGTAGTATGTTTTCTTTGGACAACTTTGAATTCTGGCCAAAGTTAGAGGCCTCCACTCTTGCATATATAGGTGTAACATCTTTTTTATAAGACAGAAAAATTTTCAGCAAAAACTTTTGTCATGTTATCAGAGCCAAAATACTGAGATCTCGTTTCATATTGAGCCTTGAGCTTTGTTTCTTGTGGTTCTTCAATATCTCAGTTCTTGTCTTATTTAAATCATGTCTTTAGAACGATCTGAAAATTTATTTGTCTGATTTAATGGCAAAAACTATTCTGCCTGGGCATTCCAATTTCAAATCTTTGTCACGGGAAAGGAGTTGTGGAGTCATATTGATGGGACAAATCCAGTACCCAACCGAGAAACAGAGAAAGATAAATATATAACATGGGAGGTGAACGATGCCCAAATCATGTCTTGGATCCTTGGAAGTGTGGAACCCTCTCTACTTCTCAATCTCATGCCCTATAAGACCCTAGAGAGATGAGAGTTTACAATCAAAGAAATGTAGCACAAAGGTTTCAGCTACAACTAGAACTCAATCAATTTTCCCAAGGGAGTATGTCAATCCAAGAATTCTTTTCCTCCTTCGAGAATCTTTTGGAGGAGTACACTGATGTAGTGTATGCAAGTGTGGCTACAGAGGGATTTATTACTGTACAAGGGATGCATGAAGCTAGCAAGTGTGACCAGTTTTTGATGAAGTTGAGAGGAGAGTTTGAAGCAATCAGGTCTTGCTTAATGAACAGGAACCGGTTCCTTCATTGGATATTTGTGTAGGAGAGTTTCTTAGGGAAGAGCAATGCTTTGCTACACAGGCTGTTTTGGAGCAGAAAAAGCTCAAAATTCTGTTCCAATTTCGATTGCCTTTGCTGTTGTGATATTCCAGCTTCTCTAAATATAGTGTTTGCGTCTCCTAAGCTGTCAACTAACCTTCTATCTGTTAGCCAATTAGTTGACAACAATTGTATTGTTCAATTGTCTCCTTATGGTTGTCTTGTGCAGGATCAAGTGTCAGGGAGAAGATCGCCAAGAGACCTAAAGTAGGATGGCTCTTTCCTTTGTTTTTGTCTCCCCCTCTAGTTTTGTTGCTTGCAATGCTATCCAATGTGATAATCATGTATCACATAAACGTTTAGGACATCCAAATTCTCATGTACTTCGAGTCTTGCTTAAATCTAGGGTTTTGCCCAAGATTTTATTTTTAGTATATTTTATCATCTCGCAAAAGTCAACATTCAACATAAAATATTGTTTTTTATATTATCAACACGATTCTCTATACCTCATGTAAAAAAATTCTTCGAATCAACACACTAAACAAACAAACCACTTGTTTGCTTGGGAATAAAAACTCTTTCTGTGAATGATGATATTGAGTGTGAATCTTGCAAACTTGGTAAAAACAGAACCCTTTCTTTTTCTCTACATCAGATTCACACCACCAAACCTTTCAAACTTGTTCATTCTGATTGGTGGGGCATTGCATTTGTAATATTTCATGAACGTTACAAATACTTTGTTACCTTTATTGTTGATTTCACTCGTTTTACTTGGGTATATTTCCTTGGATCTTAAAGCGAGGTTAACTATGTGTTTAGAGTCTTTCTTGCACTAGTCGAACACAGTTTTCTGCCAAAATCAAAATATTGCAATTTGATACGGGTGGGGAATATATGTCAAATGAATTTCAGCTTTTCCTTCAAAGTCATGGCATCATATCTCAGCGCTCTTGTTTCTACACTCCACAACAAAACGATGTCGCCGAAAGAAAAAAATCGCCATCTGCTTGATGTTATTTGAACTCCTCCTTATTGAGCCTTGTGTTCATTCCTAGTTTTGGTGCGAGCCTTTACCTAATGCTGTTTATTTAATTAACGAATTGCCCTCCCCTACCTTGAACAATCGGTCCCCCTATTTTTGTTTGTTTAGGCATCCACCAGATTATTCTAATCTTCTGCTCAATCTGTTAAATGTGCTTTCTTGGGGTATGCTAGAGCGCAAAAAGGGTTTCTTTGTTATGATCCTCACACTCGTTGAACTCGTGTTTCTAGAAATGTAGTTTTCTTTGAGAATTAACTATTCTTTAGCTCAGATCAAATTTCAAAATCCTTTTCTCTGTCTATTCTACCGGATTTCTCCGAGTCACGTACACCTATACAGAGGTTTAACCCGGATTATGTTTATCATAGACGTCTTCCTCCTACATCTGGTCCTCCTACAAGTCCTACTATGGTCCCTACGCCACCTCCTGCAGAATCTGATCCAGCCAGTTGAGAGGTACGGTTTCAAACCCTGCAGCTATGTCTGTTGTGTTGTCTTCTATTTCCATTCCCACTTGTTATAAACAAGCTATGGAACATGAGTGTTGGAAACAGGCCATGGATGAGGAAATTCATGCACTTGCAAAAAATCATACTTGGGACATCGTTTCATGTCCACCCGATGTGCGTCCCATTGGTAGTAAGTGGGTTTATGCTGTGAAATTTAAGTCTGATGGGTCATTGGATCGATACAAAGCTCGATTGGTTGCTCTTGGGAATAAACAAGAATATGGTCTTTACTATGAAGAAACATTTGCCTCCGTTGCTAAAATGACTACAGTGAGAACAATATTTGCTATAGCATCATCTAGATCTTGACCTCTACATCAATGGATGTGAAAAACGCTTTCTTGAATAGAGGCTTCAAAGAAGAGATCTACATGAGACTTCCACCAGTTATGACAGTGACGGCTTCTCATGAGGTTTGTATGTTAAGACGTTCTTTGTATGGATTAAAGCAGGCGCCAAGAGCTTGGTTTGAAAAACTTAGCAACACTCCTCTCTAACCTTCTCACAGAGTGCACATGATTCATCATTATTCTTTCACTAGTCAACCACGGGTATGGTCTTTCTCTTGGTCTATGTTGACGATATTATCATCACTAGTAGTGATGATAGGCTAATCACTAAGCTTCAAAGCATGCTGCATGAGAACTTTAAAATGAAGGATCTTGGGCATCTTACATATTTCTTATGACTGGAAGTTATCATCAGAATCATGGTTTGTTTTTCAATCAACATAAATACATCCTAGATCTCATTATGCTAGCTGGATCAAAGGGTGCTACTGCTGTTGATACACCAATGGAGGTGAATGTGAAACTTCCGAAAGATGAGGGAGAGCTTTTGCCCGATCCTTTCTTATATAGATAGCTTGTTGGTAGTCTTATCTACCTAACAATTACTAGGCCCGATATCTCATATTCTGTCCACATAGTTAGCAGGTTTATGCTATCTCCTTGCCATCTTCATCTTGCAGCCGTTTGTCGCATCATTCGTTATCTGATTGGATCCCCTACTCGGGGGTTATTTTCCCTAAAAATTTGGCTCTTCATTTGACTGCATATAGTGATGCAGATTAGGCTGGCTGCCCAGACACTCGAAAGTCTACTACAGGTTGGTGCATTTTTCTTGGAGATGCCTTTATTTCTTGGAAGTGTAAAAAGCAAGACCGTGGCTCTAAATCTTCTATAAAGGCCGAATATAGAGCCATGTCAGCTGTTTGCTCTGAAATTGTGTGGTTAAGAGACTTCTTTCTGAACTTGGATTTTCTCCAAGTGATCCTACTCTACTTCATGGTGATAATACTAGTGCAATTCACATAGCTAGAAATCCAGTCCATCATGAATGCACAAAGCACATAGAGGTGGACTGCCACTATCCGGGAGGCCTTTACTCGAGGTGTTATCACTCTTCCCCATCTCACTACTTATCTTCAAATTGTTGATGTCTTTACGAAGGCTTTCACATGCCAAAGACAAGTTTTTTTTTTGGCAAATTGTTGCTGGTTGATTCTCCAACATCAATTTGAGGGGGATGTCAAATATTCTCCTTTATTTGTTAACATACTTAGATGATTGTGTAATTATTGTAATTAGATGTTCTTCTTTATTTGTTAACATAATTAGATGTATATGTAATTATTTTAATTAGAGTATTTTTAGTATTTGTATATTTGTTTTGGATAACTTTGATTTCTGGCCAAAGTTAGAGCCTCCACTCTTGTATATATATAGGTGTAACATATTTTTTATAAGAGAAAAATTTTCAGCAAAAATTTGTCATGGATTTTTGTAAGCTATATACCGTTGGACTCATTTTGTTGTTTACATTATACTAGTGATTCAAGGATGAGCTGATTATACATAAAATTATAGTACATTTCCAAGGAGCTATTGTTTATCACAGCAACGAACAGACGTAGTTTCCACTCAGGGCTGATAGCTTGAGTCATGAACTGAACATAGCGATTGAATGAAAGATAGGGAACCCTTGAAGAGTTTCAATTCTCACTGTAGTTTTCCGAATTGTGCAGACAATTTGAGGAGGTAGAATACAAAGTTGGGGAGATAGTAACAATATATTTGGATTTCAGGGGAAGGGATCCAAGTGTAACGCAATGAGGAGATGAACTGATTCCACCTCCTCCCAACCTAAACATTTAATAAGTTGAGAGTGTTGAAGAAATATGATCCTTCCGAAAGTGTCAATCTGTGTGATTATTGAAGTACAACTTTAATGCTGTAGATTATCATACGTAGAGATATCCTGCCATTCCACCTTTCAGAGCCAGAAAATTTCTGGTTGACAGCAATTGTAGGATGACCTAATATGAGACATAATTTGGATTCTAATAATAGCGTAATTGTATACACTAGAAGGAAGAAAGAGGATCAAATAGTTGGGTTGGATTCTATAAAGGGTTCGTTTTATCATTATCTATCATTTAACCCATAAGTTGCTCTTTATATTGCTGTGTTAGGGTTAGTTAATTCATTTATAATAAATTTTGTTAATGGGGTCCCATACGATCTAACAATGTAGGATATCATGGTTTCTACGGAAGAGGTAACTTGGTTTGGTTTCGCTTTCTAAAAATCTGTCAAGGTTATATCACTAGAATTTTTTTCTAGACTTAGTCGTCATTTCGATGCATGCTACAAAGAGTCACTTTTCGAACAATTTATTGTTGTTAAATAAACGGGGAATGCTAATTCTTGTTGTGAGTTATGGATTGTTCATCGAACACAAACAAGGAAAATGACAGAAGAGCAGACAAGATTATGAGATTCAGAAAAGATGCCTACGTCCTCTGGTGTGTGCGGTTGTCTTATTGTTGTAGAGTCGGTTTTTGGTACAACCCATAAGGAAGAAAATTACAACTCCAACACATAAAAGAAACCCTATACAAATTGGGTCACAAGACCCGCTCCATACTGCAGGGGCTTTGCCTTTGCATCTCGGACCCATTGGACTACACCCGACCTAGTTCTTTCTCCAAAAAACAAAGGCTATCCCATTAGACCATGGCTTTTGCTCTGCCTGCTTCCTTCATTACTCTCCCCTCCACTCGAACCACAGTCTCTTGATGATATTGAGCCACTTTCAATAGTTCTTATTTTATGAGTTTATCCAGTTAGCATCCCGTCCTTGAACTAATAGAGGAGCATTATCTAAAGCTACTTTATGAATGGATTGAAATAGTCAATTCGAGTACATATGTGAGTTTGGAGCCCACATATCTGGATGGTGCAATGCATTTGTCTTGAGATCTAGAGGCTCTTTTAAATTTTAATCAGTTTGGGGTAATTTCCAGGTCTTTTTACATCAACTCACCCATCGGCCTTACCATACTGGTCTACCCTTTGGCTTGCACAATTGATCTACCATTTCTAATAAAGGGCTTGTGTCCATAGGGCCTTAATATACCAATTGTACTTCGTATAAAAAATCAATAGAACTCAGCTTGTCGCCAGTCTCAGCTGGAACATAACAAGCTCAAGGCTAAGAAATTATGTTTTAGATGCAACCAAACTTCCCATCCATTGCACGATGCCAATCCAAAGTAGCTTTAAATCATTTTACCTAAACCTTAATTGGTTTTGATACCATGTAGAACAATACGGGGGGAAAAATTGTTATCTTACTCCGAAAGATAAAGGAAAATGAAGAATATATATATATATTAGACTTAGCGGAAGTACAATCACCTACAAAAGTTTATAGGATAGGGATCGACAAGACAGTTGAGTAAGCACAATGAATCAAGTAATACGGTATAGACCAAGGGTCACATACAAATATCACAAAATCATTTGAAAGAGATAGTTAGATGAAATTACACGTAACACAGTATGACAACCCATACACACTAAGTCTTTAGTGTCTACATTCCTTTTTATTCTTAAATAATTGTGATGAACACATCACACAGAAAACTCCACTAGGCCTTAATTAGGGCCGGCTCGACCCGGTTTTCCAACCTTATTATTTTGCTTGATACATCATATAAGTATACGAAGCAAATATAGGGTTCAAGGAGTAAAGTACCAGTAAGACAACTTCTTTATTAGTTTGTGAGGGGTTGTACGACCTATCCTTCTAGTCTCATACATAATATGCCATGAGAGAATCGTACACAATCCATCATTCCATCACAATGACGGTCTAAAAGACCATTCTATCGTAGATGACGTGCACCTTGGAACCACCCAAAAAGAGAACCCGCTATCTCGATGGCACGACCTAACCCATTCGAGATCTAGTTTGAGGTTAGTTAATCACCCTAAAATACCGATATACCCTTATGTGTTTGCAAGGCACAAAGGTAGAATGTTGCGTCTTATCATCCTATACAATCGACGAGTTGATCGAACTCGACAGATAGTTTCAATTAACAATTTGACCCAATACCCAACAAACGACTACACAAATCTTAAAAAGAGATTTAACTCAAGGCACCCCATTTATAAATAATTAGCCAATTAGTCAATAAAAGCGTTGGCCAAGAAATCGTGTTTTACAACATAAGCGGAAACTAAACGAAAATTTTCAAATATTCTCGTAAATTACTTTTCGTTTAACAACATTTTCATTTGACAACTAAAGTAAGAAGGAAAAATATTAAAAATCCCTCAAGTTCATTAAATTCTCATGTTATCTTTGCTAAACAATCATTTGGACAATATGCCCATTCACAGTGCACCATGTTCATCATTTTATCACCATGGCGATATGGCGGTCCATAGGTGCTGCACCTCAAAAGGGCTTCATGACAACTATGATAAAAAAGCATATAAATCTAAAAACACAAAGTAAACATACCTTTAATTAACACAAACAAATTATATTGGGTTCTTTGTTAAATAATTTAGCAACATTGGCAGTGGAATTTTGTTTAATCCCCTAAGTAATGTACCATTGTTATTCTCTTAAATATTTTGGATGCGGTTATTCATAAATGCCACCACATCCATTCATAAAGCCCTCAGTAATGTAATTATATTAATTAGGAAGGATTTATTGGTGTCATCAATGAAAACCCGCTATTACGTGATGCTGACTCAAACCGCATTAATTCCAGACTCAACCACACCTATACCAAATCAAGCACATTATACCTGGCGAGATGACCCCAATGCCGATTTATATCCATCTTTCCTCCCATCCAACTACTCTGTGATAAAGCATTTGTAGACTACATCACACCAAATATTCTCCCTTGTATAGGTTGAGAGAACTGCTGCACAATTTCTTTTTGTTGCTCCATTCCGCGCTTGTTGACTCGCCAGTCTTTGCCAAGGTATGAAATCTTTGTCAAGTAAATGAGGAAATTCAGATTTCATTTTTGAAGTAGGTAGGTTTGGAAAAATTAGATATTTAGAATTCAGAAAAGATGAAGATCTAAAAGAAAATGATGAAAATTGAAGATCTAAAGGAAAATGAGGAAAGTTAGATTTATGTTCGAAGACAATAGAGTAAAGTGCAGGGTTATAAAAGATCTAGTGATGTTTCGCATGGTGATCCAGAAATTGGATTTCTATTAGATTCACTTTAGAGTTGTCAAAATGCATTGAACCTATCGGGAAGGACCGTCCTGCCCACCTATAAAGGGGGTTGGTTTAAGTCATTTTTAACCTGCCCATATGGTATCTTGCCCTGCAAAAATTCATCAAAGTATGGTTTGTAGGTTGGGTTTCCTCATCAGCTTATTTTGACAGCTCTAATACTTAATTGTATTGTCCAATCAGTTTGAATAACGGTGTTGACTTTGGGAAATATTAGAAACTTTGTAGAGTATGTAAAAAGTTACAAAAATAGGACAAAACTATTTCAATAGTATGTGCAGAGCTGCCGAAATGAGTTGAGCTTTTCAAGTTCACCCGGCCCTGTCTTAAAGGAGGGTTAGTTTGAATTATTTTTAACTTGCCCCCACCAAAACCAGCCAAATTGTAGATTATAGTGGGTTGTGAATTGGTTGACCTGTTAGCCTGTCTTGACAGCTCTATTCAAATTTTTTAACATGTGAATAATCTTTGCATTTATAGGATTACGGTGTTAAAAATATTGAAGAATTTTTTTAGTGGGTGCATCTTTCCTAGCATATCCTAAATACACTATTCTCATGAAACGTGGCCATCTTTCTTGTCTACATATGCCAGAATAAAGTCAATTTATTTTCATAAATACAATTACTGGATTTCTTATTTAATTTTTTGGAGTTCTGTTAGATCGTTTGAGAACAATTGTTTCACAGTTCTCTTCAATCAACGTCTTGGGGTTGTGCCATCTGCCTGAAGCAAAAAATCATCTTATCCTCGTGAAGATTGCCAAATAATAACATGAGGTATATCGTGTTGTTTAACAAAATTTAAATAATTTTAGCCATAATTTTATGCTGATTACTTGTTTTCTAATCATTATGGTTAAGTCTTTTGTCACAAGCTGAGGAAATAAAGGAAGGGTTCCTCTCCAAAGCTGTTGGAAACGCTATTAAGTGGACACAAGTACCTGGCCTAAAGGTTGTTGCTGTCACATGCTTTTAGGTGTTAATTTCAACTTCTGTCCATGCTTTTACTGATCAATCTATTCATTCACTTTACAGCTACATAATCAAGGTTCAGATGGAACTTTCTATGTCTCTTGTGACTGCATTGGAGTGGCTGCAAGAGCTCATGTCACTATGCCTTTTGATCTAGTTGAGGCATGTTTACTATGATACTCCGGCTACATTGTTTTCTGGGACATATAAGCATTTACATTCTATTTCATATGTATATATTTCACAAAGCACATTGCAAGTTATATGTTGATTTCAAAGGACAATTTGAATCAATAGATTTCTTATAGTATTATTCATGTAGATAAATGAAGTCCTCAAAGACAGGCCATCTTGGTCAAGACTTTGCCGGAAAATGAGTGTTATCAACACATATCTGACTAGCTGTGGAAATACTATTGAATTAATCTCCACACAGGTAAGCAAAACTACCACAGTTTCTGTCCTTTGCCTAATATTGATGAGATTGATAGTATGGTTTCAGCTGACGTCTATAATTGCTATTTATTCTGCTTTGTGTTTTATAGTATTATTCCCCCACAAACTTGGCTTCTGCTCGAGACTTCTGGACATTGAGATATACTTCTGTATTAGATGATGGAAGCATTGTGGTATGATTTCTTTTTCAAATCCTGTCTGGACAGATATATAACAAAATACTAACATGTTTCAGATCCACACTCACTAGCCCTATGCTACATCATTCTGAGGTTGCCAAATGATTATGTGCTAAATGCTGGTTCTTGTGTTATTGTTTTGTTTTAAGGTCTGCGAAGGGTCTGTTTGTGGTTCTCATGTTGCACCATGTCCACCTACTGCCATAGAATTTATCAGGGGAGAGAAGCTGGCTAGTGGTTATATAATCTGCCCTAATGAAGAAGGATCGACCATATATATGGTTGAACACTTTGATATGGAGGTATTTTCAATTCTTGTCATATATCAGTATGTAATATATCGATTCTAACTCTTGATGGGTAATTTGAGTTGGAGTCTAAACTTGTTTAGGCATCTTCTGTTCCGGAGCTGATAAGACCCCTTTATGAGTCACCTGAACTTGTGGCGAAGCAGATGATTCTTGCTGTTAGTAAACCTCTTACTTTACATTTCATTGCACCAGGTGCCTTTGTATCCTATATTTTATAGATGAGGTTAACTGTTGCCATTATACTACTTACCTAGAAATATCCAAGATTTAGATTTCTGCTTCCCTACAGATGATTTCAAGTTATAATTATACTATCATATATAGCATAGCATGTTGTAGCTTGGCGGTTGCCTTCTTTACCTTGTGACTGGAACCTTTCCATTCTCAATACTTAGCTTTCTAAAGCAAGCGTACTATGACTCTCTTTCTTTCTCCCCTACACACATAAGCATACACAGAGTTTCAAACTATGTGTTGTGCATGTATGCAATGCACACACTTATCTATTAACTTAGATAGCATTGCTAATCTTTGTACTCATATTGCCTAACCAATGTCTAATTTTATCTACTGCATTCATCACTAAAATTTTCTAATTCAGTACACCCTCATATTAATCTCACTATCTTCATAGGTTTATCTCCTTGATTCTAGGTTTTACTACTACTATTACTCTTTGCAATCATTTCGCGTTGAATCTTCCAAGACCCTTTAAACTAACCAAGCGATTTAGGTGCAAAAATGGCCAAAAGCTTACTCGTAAGACAAACATACCCATCATTCCTGTTCTCTTGGTTCTGAAGAAGTAATCTCCTTGATATTATTTTTCAAATTAACTTTGTGGTATATAGGATTTAAATGGATATGTGAACATGATATATTCAGATAGCAAATTTTAGGGAGTATATCTTGGATTTGATGTCTGAAATGGGATTTGTCACTGTGGTGGATTGCATTAGAGATCTGATAGAAACAAGATAAATAGATAAGAACAATCAAATGGAATCAACTATTTGCCCATAAGCCTCCAGGCTATTGTATTTCCAATATCAAGTGTCAAGTCTCAAACCCTAGTTGTTTTTTTGTTAGAAACTACTACTTTTACTATAACTAAAATAAGCTCATTCAACACACAAGGGACAAGCCTAACCCAAAATATAACCCAAGACCTAATAAAAGATAAGTCCACCTATATGATATGACAAAATAAAGTAGTAAAGTAGACTAATGAACGTAACTCACGAACGGAAGACCTAAACCTATCTCTGTGTCGATATTCAAGCAACGGCCAAGACTCTTCTCCCTCTTTTATCGTAAGCTTATGCTCTCTTCGATCATGCTTTCTATCAATTTCATCTCCCTTTGAATTGAACTTGTCCCTGAGGTCAAAGTAAGAGAACTGGAAATGAGCCATGCTTAGCCAAGTTGCCTTATTGTTCAGTTGTCCCACCGAGATTTGATTTTACTCTTTTTAGCCTTCCCATATCTTTCGCAAGGCCAAATTAAGTCAAGCTAAAAAATTTGATCCACCGGGAACTCTAGACCGTCGGGTAACTCCAACTCCACTAGTATAGGGTATTTATCTGAAACTATCACCTTATTTATCTCCCTGTAACTAATGCAGAAATGCCAATGATCGTCTTTCATTTTCACCAACAAGACCAGGCTAGAAAAGGGGCCGAACTCAGTCAAATGATTCTTGTCACTGTATACTCAATTCTTACTCTCATCCTCCTAAGTGTGGCTATAATGATATGGTTGCAGCTTCTCAAAATACTCAACAAATTAATAGGAAACAACCCTATGTTATCCCACATATGATTATGTGATTCTCACAAACTCTCTCCATCACCAATTTAAAAAATTCAGTCTCCCGGGTTCGACCAATGTCTTATAATTAGGTTACGATATAGGGTTTGGTCACCCGTCAGCACTACTTGGCTGCCTTTTCACTAAAAGGGCATAGCTAGCGCTATCCAATTTGTTCTGACCTCACTTAGCATGACTAACCAAATTATACCAAAAATAGTATCAGCACCCCCAAGGGAAAATACAAAACAATCGATCGTTACCTTGCAGCCCGACAATGAGACTTTAACTTACTGGCGTAATCCTTTGGTTTGCTGTCTCCGTCCATCCTCTAACTAGACTACAGACATTGTTGTACGATAGGGTGGTAGTCATAGAGTGGATACTAAGAAAAAATATATAAAATTGTGATTAGTGGCACAATTGATTAATATTGTTATCTTCCATTCCTTGCACAACTACATGCAACTGCATAGTCCGTAAGCTCAATAAGAAAAATGTTAAAGGTCGCCTCTTCTATCGATGCATCCACTTGTTCTTCCATCCAGTTTTTGTGTCAGGTAGACACATAATACTCAAACTGTTGAAGGTCTAAAAACTTTTCTTCTTCAGCTATCATGACCCAAAATTGTTTGAGGAAGGCATTCATATTTTGGAGTATATGATTTCTTGCAGCGAAAACACAGCCCCTTGGCTTGCAATTCAACAAATTCTTGGGGTGAGAGGCATATAAATTGAGTTTGGACTTTTCACTAGCCAATTGAGCCACGGAAAGATGATTAGAAGGTTAGGAAGAATTGCTGAGATCCATTGTGGCTGCCCCTTGTTGTTGAAGCCCTAATTATGTTGCTTGGTCAGGGAATAAAGCTTATGTGTGGTGTCGGACTGCTGAATGTTTGGTATAGGTATTTGCGCTCCTGAAGATTAGTCTCAATGTCTCTAGACACCTCCATGGTTGTCTCTAAGTCTTGGGTCGAAAAAGGTGGAATGTACTTCAAATTGGATCCTTTAAACTTTGCCTAAAGTAGCCCAAGTAGTGCTCATCAATCAAACCCAAAACTAGGTCAGCCAATTGAACAAATAGAGCCATGTAGTAATCCAACGATCTTTCTTGTTTAATGTCTCCTACTTCTTCAAAAGAACTGCCATTAAAACACGTATCACATTTTACCACCAACATTTCAGAAAATTTATTCCATGTTAGCTCCGACTTTCAAGAACTAGGTTGACCAGTACAACTCAACCTCTTCCATTGCCACCACTGTCGCAGGCACCTTATCTCTTGACTAGTGTTATAGAATTCAAATTATTGGTTGTTGTGGGCAAACTAGCCTATCGGGTCTAAATCATCAATATGGAAGTTGCATAGGACCTATTGGCAATTTGGGGTTGGTTTCTAGTTGAAGGCGGCAGCGGTGTGTTAGCCTTCATTGTCGTGTTGCCCTCTATGCAGAGACCTATTTCCATTTTATGCGATCTAGAGGGTTTCAAAAACACCTTTGAGAATTCGGTCAGAGTCACCAAGATTTTTGCTAGTGGGATGTTTGTTGCCTTTATATTTTCCGTCATCTCAGCTTAATCAACCTTAAGTTTATCCAATCACTCTCCTGTTGATCTTATTGTTTCCGTAATCGGGATCCGATAGGTTGGAAGAAACAAGTAAGAGCTGTCGAGATATTTTAGATATTTAGTTTGAGATTTGGTAGATATAGTTATTTAAGTCGTTTAGATTTGAATTTATCGAGTCTGCTTTATGATGCCTATATATAGACCCCTATTTTGGTTATGAATAATAATACAATTTTTCAGTTTTCCAAATTTACTTTTGATATGGTATTAGAGCCAACTTTTCTTCTGCCATAGATATAGCCAACCAACTTGCGTTTCTCCGAGTACATTTAACCTGAAATGTACCCGGAGGTCTCTCAATTTTGAGATTTTTTCTATAGTTTATAGTCCTTTCCGTTTCTGATTTTGATTTTGTTTTTAGTCTTGATTTTGTCAACATTTGAAGTCATGTTTGCGCATCTGTCTGCGATTCGTATGTTGCGTACCTTCATATCCATGTTTCTAATTGCATTGGGACTCCCATTATTTCCGACTTTGTGGAGAGTACTCCCGTCGTTTTCGACTCCAGTTGAGAGTCATGTCGTTTTCGACTCTTTTGTGAATTATGTTACTTTTTACTCTAATTCAATTGAGAACATTGTTTCTGGCTTTGACTCGGTAGAGCGGCCGCAGTAACGTCAGACAAGCCGTTATTTTTATTTGCATCTATATTCAATTTTTTTATCAAACTCAAGTTGGTTTCTGTTATACTACTTGAGTTTGAGGGGATGTTGATATATTTTATATATTTAGTTTTAGATTTTGTAGGTTTAGTTATTTCAATCGTTTATATTTGAGTTTATTAAACAATATCAATCGTTGAACAAAGAACAACCAAACAGAATTAAGCATTTGTCTGAAAGCCTCCCGCCTTTTGTATTTCCAAGATCAACTATCAAGTCTCAAATCCTACATACTTCTGATTAAATACTACTGCTAAACACCACTTACTAAAATTAAAATAAGCTCATCCAAGATGCAAGGGACAACCCCAACCCAAAATATAACCAAAGGCATAACAAAAGAAAATCCACCGAAGACATGACAAAATAAACTAGTAAAGGAGACTAATGAAAGTCTAAACCCTAAACCCATCCCCGTTGGTGATATACAAGAAACAACTGAGACTCTTCCTTCCTCTTAATTCTTAACATCATGCTCTCTATCCGAAAGCATACATTCTTTTTGGATTTACAATATAGAAATGTGAATTCTCTTAGGGTGTGTTTGTTTGAAGGATTTTGGTGGATTTCCACTATTCATCCAATTTTTTCCCCCCAAAAACATCAAATCAAACACCTATTTTTTATTTTTTATATTATACTAAAAATCAATTTTACATTCAAAACATCACATCAAACCCTATTTATATCACATCACACAACTATTCAAATTCAAAATTTTTACTATTCAAATCCTAACTCAAAATCCAAACCCCCAAACAAACACACCCTTAGTACTTGTGTTGTCTTTTCAGCTGTATTGATAGTTAGATGTAAGGAATATATGTTCTGTTGTACCAATTTAGCTTGAACTACATTCCTTATAGAACCAAGATCCAAGATGAACTAAAAGTTGGTGGTTCGTATAGGGGTGAGAGGACCTCAAACTGTTAGCCTCGATTATGATTTTTTTTTTTTTTTTCTAGTTAGACTACAAATAAATTGTTATGTCAAAGTTTTCAGATATTCAATTTTGTTTTATTATATTTACTGGTTGATCTTAAGGAATCAATATTAGACACAATTCTTCCATTTTGACAGCATAAAGATTTTCTATGTTGAAAAGCCAACTACATTTCCCAGTCAAAATTTTTATTTTTCCTGTTTGCATTGCATGTATTATATTAGATTTGGGTGCACTACCCAGTAGTGCCTTTAACCTCGCCTTTCCACAAGAACTTGCTTTTATTTTTTGGAGAATGTGAGTATTTGACCACTGACTATAACTGGTATTTCTCCTATTAAGGCACTTCATTATATTGAACATATGGCCAATGAGAAAAGTGGTAAGCTGAAACAAGCTAGCTGTGAGGATCCTGTTTCTATGAGATTTATCAGTCAAAGACTTAGCAGGTAAAAATCTAGAATTTGTGTTTCTACAGGCTTTATCTTTGTGAAAGTATACGTAAGTTGCTATTCTTTATACAAGTGTAAGGGTATACATGTATTAAAGGATTTGATTGCATGAATCTCAAGTCTGTAATGGTAAATTCATTGCATCTGTGTATTAGAGAGCACTACGTAATATTTGTTCATTGAAGTGGATTTACAATAAACTTCTTATGAAGCCATTCAAAATCCTTTCTTACAAATCCTCTCTAAAATCCAAATCCTTAAACTACATGACAAAAAAAAATCTATTATGTGAGCCTGGCCATAACATCACAACTTTATTCAGGGACTTCAATGAAGCTGTGAATGGATTTCGTGAAGACGGGTGGACTTTGTTGAATGTTGATACCTCTCATGATCTTATGTTATCCGTCAAGACAATTAAGAGTTCTGGAGCAAATCCAAATGATTATAATGTTCTTTGTATAAGATCGGCTATCCTTCTTCATGTGAGTTAAATATGAGTCAGCTTCTGCTAATTGTAGCTTTTAATAACTTGATCAAGAAGTTTGAGCCTATCAATCAGCACTTCTTTTTGAAACAGAATGTTTTTCCTGCGGACATGACAAGGGCTCTGAAAGAGCACTTATCAGCTTGGGTATACAAGTTCTCTGGCTGTGATTCTTCTGATCCATGTTCAGAAGCTGTTAGCTTTGCCTCTAAGTCAAACAGTGTTCATAATCTTGTGGAATCTACTGATCTGCTTGGCTACACAAGTAGCGATGAGGTTGGTTGAATGTAAAGATGCTTTACCTGTTAGTATCAATATATTTTGACGGTATCATTATCATGTGTGTGCTTTCACATTTTTGTATTTGGTTTCAGGCATTGGAAGCAACTCGATTTAAATACAATCCAGATTGCATGCCTAATGTTTCTTCTGGGGATCTATATCATTTGATGGTACAAACAATCCTCTAACCATTCTTGACTTTCTAAATTTCGTTTGACATCATAGTATGCTATCTGGCTTATGGAGATTCATAAAACTAGTATAAGCTATTTCTGCTCCCGTTTAGTGCTGGATAGTTTTTCAACTAATATTTCTGCAAGACACAAAAGATAATGAAAGGGAACAAAAACTGCTTCCAGTAGCTGGTGCTTGGTAGGCAATAACTGCGTGTTCCCAACAAATATATGAAGAGATGTTAGATATAATCAGTGAGGAAATTTGCTCCCATCTTATCCTTGTTATGTTGTAAAATGATTTGATTTGATCTATGTCATAATCATAGTTAAATAAGTTATTTGTGCTTAAGATACCCTTTCTGTATGATAATGGTATTTACAATGCTAGTGGTTACAAATTTCAGCGTTTTGGAACCTAATATTTGTGTGGCTGTTTTGCAGCTTATCAATGGAATGGAAGATACTGGTTTTGGTGCTTGCTCAGAACTAATATGTGCACCATATGAAAAATCTATGTTCATTCAGTCTTTTGTATTGTCGTTTGGATTTCGAGTTATCATGCTGGGCTCATCTCCAGTTAAGTTCCTGCATATTTTCAGTTTGTAATTCATGTTAACTTATTTATATGATGTAGTGTTTTCAGATATTACTCATGGTACAACTATGAAGTTCCTCAATCTTACTATTTCTTGTACAAAATTGTATGTTTATGTGTGATGGGCAGGAGTCTGGGACATCAACTGATTTGACACCAAAGGTTGAATCTAATAAGAGGAAAGCACTAACAAGTTCTACGCCACCACCCTCGCTACTGGTTCTTGCCTTCGAGTTTCCTTTTCAGGGTGATATTCCAGAAGGTCTAGTAGTGATGGCTCGCCAGTACATTCAAAGTGTAATTTCTTCTGCCAAAGATCTAGCTCTGGAAGTAATGATGTCTGGAGAAAGACCTGAAAAGAGTGCCAAAAAAGATATCCCGGAGACAGCTGTTGTAAATCCTAATGCATCCTTTGCAGACAACCTTGCTACCTTGTTATGTCTAAGCTATAAGTAAGTGGTTTTTGGATTTATATACAGCATTTTCTATATCTCCTTCATTGCTATCTATGGGTTGGGGGTCTTGCGTTAATTATTTGTAGATTAATGTGTATTAAAATCCTTATGTATGATATTTCAATTGTTATTCCATTGATATGCAGAGCAGCTAATTTGTACAGTAATATTGAGTCATAATTGCAAGAGCATCATTGTTGGTTTATGGATATCATCTGTAGTGCCTTCTGCATATGAAAATCTTCAGATGACATGGTCTATCATATGTTACTATTCCTATTTCAGCTCTATAAAAATTCAAAAGAGATCACTCGTAGGCTTGTATCCGCTTGACATCAATTATACTGGTTCATTCTTGGAACTTGTGCAGCACCTTCCACATGCCATTCTCTGTGTCTCATTTTCGGTATGTCTCTACTTCCTACTCAGATATGTAAATATACAGCATTACGATGCATCTATTCTTTGGCCGTGTATGCATAGGGAATGACATAACGAGCTTATCAACTTGAGTTCAAACTATTAGTAAAATGTTTAAACTTTCATAAAGGTCCCGACAGCTTGCTTAACTTGTAAAAGTAACTTTAAAATATAATATAAAGCATCAGGTTGATGAACTACTCTTGTTTGTCTGCAGTCTATTCCAGTGCCTTTATACGCTAACGACCAAGCAATGACAATGCTAGAGGCTACAGAAGATACCCTGCAAATGGTCGAGATGGAGAGGATCCTCGGCTTCTTTGATGATTACCATACACTGCGTTCTGTCGTCCCAGTTGTACTGTATCTGGTAAAACATCTAAAATAAATTATGATGGCCTTGCATCAATGTTTGCAGACACGAGCGCGCGGTAAGTACGATGCTGTTATTTTGCAGGGGTATTGTAATTTGCGGAAGGGAGTTGGTTTGACATTAGACGATAACATCTTCTCCTATAAAAAAGGTGTGGTGTGGCAAGTGCAGCACTATGATGGTTCAATCCATTGCCTTGCTATGGCGTTTCAAGATTGGAAACACATGTAAGAATTTTCATTTCGGTTGTGGATATTGTCCATTTGCCTCTTCGGATTGTGGACCATTTGAGCGCTTTGAATTGGTACCTTTTGTTTTCGCGTTTGTATAGTTTTCATAAATGTCTTGATAATCTACTCAGGATGGATGTTTCGACATGAGTTGTTTGATCTGAATAGTTTTACTTACGTATATAATAGGTAAGAATTAGAACTTAATAATGTTTCTTATGCTTGTGCTGTGCTATTTGTTCATTTGTTTTTAGTTATGGGTGTTGTGGAAGTCTGGATTAGTTTTCACTCAAAATGTTTGTTGTTTCTTATGCTTGTGCTGTGCTATTTGTTCATTTGTTTTTAGTTATGGGTGTTGTGGAAGTCTGGATTAGTTTTCACTCAAAATGTTTGTTTCGATGATGCAGTTTGAAATTGATTTGAAATAAGATGTTATATTTAAATTTTTTTATTTCGATAGTATTTTGATAAACGGGGGCTCTATTGTAAACCTTCTTATTCTTAGACTCTTATGATGACTTTGTTTCCCAATGACATTTATGCATAAGTGTGTGTATGGATGAGATTTGGGTTTATTATTACTCCATCCGTCCCAAAAAAGACGTTTTATTGAGTGTTGAGTATTGCCACGAGAAATAAGGAATAATAGTTAATTGAAAATGACTATAAAGTAGAATGTAAAATACTAAAATATATATATTTTTTTTTTAGGATTTTGAAAAGTATATTAGAGTAATAATGGGGTAGTTTGGAAAAGTATGAATAATTTTGTTATTAAGTGAGGACCATAAGAAAATAAGATAATTATTTTGGGACCGACTAAAATAGAAAAACAAGACAACTCTTTTGAAACGGGAGAGTATTAGTATTATTTTTTTTAAGTCAGTCTAGATTTTGGAATTTTAAGTTTGAAAAAAAAAATTAATTCAAATGGTTGAATGCGATATAAATAGATATTGATATTTTTAATGTAAATTTAATTTTTAGTATAATAAAAAAAATAATAATAGTTTGATTTAGTAAAATTTTGAATAAAAAAATTGTGAATAGGAAAAATAATTCCTAAACCCCGGAACCAAACATATCTAAAATAAATGATTTACCAAGACAAATGTCTATTTGAAAGATTTGGTTAGATTTCTATTATTTGTTTTGTTAAAAAAAAAAAAAATCTATTAAACACATTTTTATCTTTTATATTATATTAAAAATAATTTTGCATTCAAATCAGTATACTATACAATAATATTTCAAAGAATTTTGTTTTGAACATGTTATATAATATTCCCATTAGGGAAAAAATCATTTTTGTTCTAATATAACCAAAATTCATTAATTTTGGTTCAAATATAAAAATTTTATAAATATAACCAAAATTTATCATTTTTTTGTCTCAATATAATAAAAACTCATTATTCTTGGTCTCAATATAAAAAGTTTTATCAATTTTAGTCCCAATATAACCAAAACTCATCATTTTTTGTCGCAATATAATCAAAATTTATCTTTTTTGGTCTCACCGTCAACAAACCGACGAAAAATGTTGACATGGACTTGCAAGATTGTGCAATTTCTTCAAATATAAACATAAAGTTTGATTTCTTTTTACGTCAGCATTTTCCGTCGGTTTGTTGACGGTTGGACCAAACAAGATAAGGTTTGATTATATTGGGATCAAAATGATGAGTTTTTGTTATATTTGGATTAAAATTGATAATAATTTTATATTGGGACAAAAAATGATAAGTTTTAATTATATTGAAACGAAAATTGATAAGATTTTTATATTGTAATCAAAATTGATAAGTTTTAATTATATTGGAACTAAAAATAATTTTTTCCCAAATAATTATTACGAAGTGACAAATTAAGAAAAAAGATTAATTTAATGTGTGATAATTTCAAAGGTAGGAAGCCTTCAGTTAGGAGAATTTTTGCCATTCCCTTGCAAACTTTCCAATACGGGATAAGAGATGTAGCCACTTTATTTGACAAATTAAATATTAGACATTTTTATTTTATTTTATTTTATTTTTTTTAACAAATATTTACATTGGCGATCTCCAATACATATGTCGATAATTTTCTTCAAATTCTCTACTGTCATAGATTTGATAGGGCCTGGATTTTTTTCTAAATGTCCACTAAAAAATAAATAAATAAAAAAATATCAAGTTCAAGTAACGTTGGAACTTGAGTCATGTTACAATTTGTGTCACTATAAATGTACGATTTTCAATGATCTTGATATTTTGACTTCATCTTGTTCAATTATTTTTCATTCAAATATTACCTCGTATTGTTATATTTTGTTTTAAGTATGAAAATGAGGCGTTAAAGTACCTAAAATCAAATTTATTATACTACTGGGGATTTTTTATTGTTTTTTGTGCTATAAAACCGGTATAAAAAACTCATACGGTAGTTGTTTTTTTAGTATCAATAGAACTAACATCTAAGTCAATTTATCAATCGAACATATTGTTTGACTAAAAGATTTTTATATGTCTCGACACTGTTGCATGTTTCAACAAACTATACTAAATGCTGCTTTGGGTTGTATTTACCGTCAATTATTAGAACTTTGGTGATTAATAATCTATTGACATCTTGAAAACATCAATCCTTCCCGTGTAAGACTTCGTGTGTGTATATATATATATATGTTGACTTTGAACTTCTTTGAGAGTTCTTTTTATATATTGTCAAAATGAGATACATAGATGGAGAAGTTAGATGATGTTTGGACTTTGACTTTTTTTATCCATTTTTTCTTTTGTCGGAATGTTGACTTATTAAAATATTTCTTTTTAAATATTGGGAGAGATGGTTGTTTTTCACTAATAGAATCGGATCCTTTACACTTATCTAAATTGGCAAGAAGCTTTGCGATAAGGGCATTTCGTTGTTATATATATTAAGTCATTCCTTCAACTACCTTAGTAAGTGCAATAAGGTGATCCTCCATGTTTAAGGTGTTGTAACCATTATTGAAGTGAAGGTTGATATGATCAAATGACTTAAAACTGACCGAAGAATAGCTTGTGCAGAAGTACTTTTAAAACTTTCATCTTCCTTGTAGGGCAGGTTTTGATATGCAATCTTTGAAAAGGCCTATTGAGAGAATAAAAGTGTTTTATTCCCCATTTTTCTTGTTCTCATTCCGACACTCATAGAAATGCTTATAGACTTTGATATAGGTGTGGTATTCCTACGATGGTAGCTACTTAAGCAACTGTCCTTGATGCAAAATTTAAAAATCTTGATCTTGTGGAAAGTCATCCGATGTTGTATAGTCTTCGATGAAATAGGAGATAAAAGTTAGCATGATCTCACTAGCCATGCCATAAATTTATAAGGAAAAAATTATGTTATTTCAATAAACATAAAATCATACAATTATATATAATTGGTTCAAGTGAAAAAAAAAAAAAAAAAAAAAAAAAAAACTTTATTCTTTAGATGAGTTCTTTTTTTCTATTTGGGTCGATTTGTTGTCAACTTGAACTTGATAACTTCTTTGGATAATCTAAAAAGACTTTTATCTTCAGAGACGTGAATTTGACCTTCAATTTGGCTTTAATGATTTCTTTGAATGATTTTGGAGATTTCATGTGGTGAATTTGGTGCACCGTTATATTACTCGACATCATGTTTGTTTTAATTTTGAATAGAAGATGATTGACTCCTATAAACTGACTCTTAAAACTTTGGCATCAACATAAAGAAATTTGTATTGACTTAGGGACTTAAGTTTGATCCTTCCATGAGCTTGAACATACATTGGATGTCATTAATTTATTGATTTAATTAGCAAACAATTAAATTTGCTCAAATCTGTAATTTTCAACAAAAGAACGTTTCAAATGACACCAAAAAAATAATAATAATAAATATTAATTAAAAAATTTAGAGAAACTTACTTTTTATTTGAATTCTATGTTAACTTTATTGTGTTAAATGATTTGACCAAATTGCGCTTTAATTTCTTTTTTTTTTTTTTCCAAAGATATCATATGACACACTCTAGTTGGTTGACGAAAATATTTTATAGTCTACTCTTTTTTTTGTCGACATGATTTATATCTTTTTTTATTTTTCAATGGATCTTTAATAGTGATACTTTCTTTTATTGGAAAGATTCATTTTTATTCATTATTTTATTGCCAAAATTATTCTATTTTTATTTATGTGTAATATATGCATATATTTTTCATTTTTAAAATATTTTGCATTAATTATTTATATTTATTGTACCAAAATATCACATATTGGTTTTGTTAAAATCTTATTTTCTTTGATAATGTACTTATAATATATATTTTAACATAATTATTCTAAATTAGTTTTCTTTATAAATTATAATTATAATTGAATTTCACATTCATATTTTTAGAAAAAAACTGTTTTTAGTCTCATACGTGACTAAAATTTATAACTAGATTATTTTAATTTTGTAACTAGATTATGTATAGGATCAATTTCACAACTAAAAACAATTGACAAAAATAGTTCTTCGACACCGAAATTGATGATGTGGCAGCATTGTGACACGTCGAAAATGATGTGGATAACATGTAAAATATGCGAATGTGTGTTGAACATATATTAATTTATTTTGTATAAATTTAAATTAACGGCATTAATATATTATATTTTATAAATTAATTGAAACAAGAGGCGGACGCACACAGGGGCAACGGGGCCTGCTCGCCGCTGCCCCACTCCTTTACTTTTTATACATATATATATATATACTATACAGTCCTCATTTCATATTTTATTCTCTTATTTATTTATATTCTTTAACATATATACCTGTAAGATTTATATATATAGTATTAGAAAAGGATAATTATAATAGATAAAAGATATACTAAAATTTTATATATGGTGTATTTGTTTGGGTTTTGAGATTCTTTAAGTTTTGAATAATTTAAAAAAATATTAAATTTGAATATTTTTTTAGAATATAATAAGTGTTATGTAATATTTTTAATTTAAATTATTTTTTTAATAAAAATAAAAAAAAAATATAAGAAAAACTCCAACAAAACACGTAGGAGAAAAAAATCTTTAATAATTTATTTTTTTCGAAAATTTTTAAAATTAGCTCTCCCTCTCATCAGATCCTAGTTCCGCCACGGATTGAAACCATATGTTACTAAGATAACCACTATTGTGTAAGTCATGTTATTTTATATATTAGAAGGTTGTGTGATTGAAGTGGGTTATATGCATGTTTGGTCACATTTAATATAGTGATGATAATTTGGTTATTTGTATGTAAATAAAATATATATTTAAAGACGGAAATATTGTTTGATACACTACTTTATTGTTAACATGTAGTTGCCAAAATAAGTTTATTAATGGCGAGTCAATAATTTGTCTAAAGATGATTATTGATGTTATTTGATAACTTGTGCTGAAATTACTAGTTTATTTTAAATTCACATGTGGTATTTTTTTCAGTTGCTTATAAGCATTTTTTATCGAATCAAACTCTTATGCATTGAATGCGATTACGATTATATTTAGTTTAAGGAAATTAAAAATTCATTAATAATGATTATTGTATTTTGACAGAGAAAATCAAATGTTTAAAGTTTCGAAAGTAGTCTCTTTTATATAAGATTTTTATATGTATTTTAATGCAAGTATTTTATATGTGTATTTTAATTTATATAGTTATTTTTCGGCTCAACGACCGTTGGTAATTGACATAATAAAATATACGATAATATGTATGGAGTAATTATATGGCTTTAATTTATATGAATAATGAATTAGTCCAAAGAGTGGTTTATTATTTGATAATTTATTATCTATATATGATTATTGCAACAAAATGGCTTCTAGCAATCAATATTATTAACCGAAGATTAATCATTAATGTTGCATTTAGTGTCTTGAGATGAGATTGTTTTATTCTTGAGTTTCATTATCCTTCATGATTATTTATGTATATATTTGTTCGGTCCCAACATTATTTTGAAAAAACTTTAAAGCACCGGAAAGAATTTATATTAATTCATTTGAGTTGTATAGATTTTGTGATATCCCGGCCCGCAAGCCACGCGAAGCCGAGCAAGTCAGGATGTCGTAAATGACCCCACAAGTCAACACAAGTCCTTCCAGCTCGCTTAAAAAATTAGATATTTAGATAAAATTGATAAAATGTGACCAAAATTTTAAATAAAAAAAATCAAAAAGAAAATGTATGAAAATATATAATTGAGTGAAACGAAGGAGTAATACTTTAATAAGAAAATTTGATAAAATGTGACCAATAAAAAAATTAAAATGAAAATGTATGAAAATCACTTATTGCGACAATACAATACAATTGATGAAGATACGGTTGTGTCATAAAATTAAAAAAAAAATTAAAAAAAAATTAAAAAAAAAAAAAGGGGATATGGTTTTGTAGTGGCCTTCGCCATTATTGAATCCATCCAAAGCAATAATTTACGCAATGTGCCCATGCACATATTTACTGCGTGCGTATTCAGTATGGTCCGGAATGGACCATTAGTCCAGACCCTCATCACCTTGGGAGCTGGACCTCCGTACTGCACACTTTGTTTCATGTGCATTAATGCAGGGTCGTGTTTGATGAGATTTGAATAACAAAAATTTGAATTAAAATAGTTGTATAATGTGATATAAATAAATGTTAATGTGATGTTTTGAATGTAAAATTGACTTTTAGAATAATATAAAAAAATAAAAAATAAGTGTTTGATTGATATTTTTTTTAAAAAAAATTTAGATAAATAATAAATTTTTAGCAAAATTCCTAGAAAAAACACCATTGAAAAGTACCACTCTGTTTACGAAAATTTTTGGCCGTATTCTTCTGTGTTTACGAAAATTGTGTGTTTGTTCTTGTCATTGATTTTTTTGGGTAAATTATATAACACCCTTTTTGTATTTTAGTAAAAATGCATAAAATAGCTCGTATTTTATTTATTGAGTGAAAAATTTTTTTATTTTATTTATTGTGTGAAACCCTTGTGTTAATACAAAATTTGCATAAAACACCCATTGTCCAAAACTGATGTTTGATTCTAAATAAAAACCTAAATTACATAAGTTTTGTACATATAAAAACCGTAAAATATTTTAAATAATTTTTTTAAATAAAATAAATAAATAAATAATTGATTAATACTTCATTTTATAATTTTTTAGAGACAATTATTTGTTATGTGATTTTTATAAAAACAATAAAAATAAATTATTTATTATTTATTTTATTCAAAAATTTATTTAAAATCTTTTTTATTTTTTATTTGTATAAAACTTAGGTCTGAGAACCAACTATCAGTTTTTGACAAGGGGTATTTTATGTAAACTTGGTATTAACACACGAGTTTCACACAATAAATAAAATACAAATATTTTATACATATTTATGAAAACACAAGGGAATGTTACATAATTTTACCCTTGATCTTTTTATTTTTCTTTTACTGCAAATTCGATATTGAACTAATCAAATAAGCATCAAATCGGTCAGCATATTAAATGAAAGTAATAATATATGTTAAGTTATAACTTAGTATATTATATTTTATAATATAACATATATTGTCTAATTGTATGAATAATGATATATTTGTAATTTAGATAAAACTTAATGATATTTTAGTATTAATGTATAATTTATTTTTACTAAAATAAAAGAACGATACTTTTGAGGGGAACACATAAAAATTATTATTAAAAAATATTTTGAATTTAAATATATGAAATATATTTTATTATTTTTAAAATATTGTAACAAAAATAATTATACTTTTATAAAAATAATATGGACTATTCCAAATCCTAAAATAAAGCTCATACACAACTAATTTTTTTGAAATGTTGCATTAAAAACATGCTTCAAACTCAATTTTCATATTGGACACAAATATGACATATTTGATTTGCACTTTTTCATAATACTCCCTCCGTCCTATAAATATAGTTTTAATTGGATTGGACACGAGATTTAAGGAATATTGATATTATATTGATAGTTGGTAAAAAGTATGGATAAAAAACTTTTTTGTTCTTTGAGTGTATTAGTGTAAAAAGTAGTGACAATTGTGTAATAAAAATAAAAAAATAGGGGTAGTTTTATGATGATATGATTATTTATGGAAATAAGACTATTGTTTTGGGACGGACAAAAATAGTAAACAAGACTATTGTATTGGAACGGAGGGAGTATTATTTTTTCAATTAGTAGGAACAAATATACAAATAGAAAATTTCTAATACTCCCTCCGTCCCACATAATTTGTCTCTATTTTTTACTTTCGTCCGTCCCACATAACTTGTCCTTTCTATTTTTGGAAATATAATTATGCACTTTAATCGCATTTTAAATTTTATAATTTTCTTAATTTTAATTAAACTATTTACTTATTTTAATCTTAATGTATAATTATTTTTACTAAATAATAATTATTTTACTAATATACCTCTTAATTACTTACTAATTATATTTTACCTGAATTTTCGTGTCTACAGTAATACACTCATATTACATGGGACGGAGGGAGTATCAATCAATACATCTAAGCATAATTCAAATTTGAATAGTCAATCACATTTAGATAATGGAACATTCTATAGGTAAGTATATGATATCTTTTGTCCCTTGCAAATACCTCAATAATTTCTTATCATGAATTTATATTTAATTTGATATCTATACATATAACTTTCTAAGTAGGCTATTTTGACAAGGATTCAAAATTTAAATATTAAATTTAATTATATATTCAAGTATACAATTAATGTAATATATTAATATAATTATATATTAAATAAATGACACTAAGTAGCATAATATGATATATATATATATATATCAGTGTATTGTATAATTGTATTTGTGTGTTCTAGAATTAGAGAGTTAGAATTAGTGTGTGCTTTTGCTTAAAAATAAAATTATTATATTTATTATATTTGAATTTGACTCAATTTATAATAAGTACATTAATTAATGTTAATATAGGGAGTAAATTCAATTAAGTTGGTGCTGATTTGACTGAATCAATCTATGCTATGGAAGTGACCAATTTATATATATATATATATCTCAGCGTAATTGGATTAAAAATTAGCATATGTTTGAATTATAATATAATATATGATAAATATTGTCATTATAACATATATTGATCCGATTAAATCAGTACTATCGGAGCAGTTGATCCCAGCCCTTAATATAGTATTATAATCGAATTGATATGTCGGGTTTGAGTTGAAAGTTTTAATCCTAATTTGACATGTTTGTTATCGTGTTGGGTTCGTATTAATTCGTATAAATAATTGGATCAAAATCTTTAATCTATCACCGATTATTATTCACTAATTTCTTTAATGAATAACATAAGAAACCATGCAAGCAATCGTTTCGATCAATTTTGGAGGGACATATTCCAAAGTTGTACTTGTCCCCACAGGATGAACTCTCGATATCTTCTTCCTTGGGGAATTGCAATTTTGGACTCATCCATTCAATTCAATTCAATTCAATTCATTTAATTTAATTTGTCGAGGACAATTCTTCACCTATATATATATCAATCTTAATTTCTGTTCATTTCATCGAAATTTCGAACACATTATTGCATTTAATTTGTTCGGACAATGGCCAAGGTTCCACCGAAGAAAAGCGCAGCGAGCTTACCGATCAGCAGCATCAGCCGCGGCGGTAAGAACAATGTTAATGTTTTTAGGACAAGGAGGTCGTCGGAGGAGATATTGGCATTGTTTATAACGGTGCTATGCGGGGGGTGGGCGGTGTATTATTACCAGTACCAGAATTTGCCGGCGGCGCTGACCCTCGAGCAGGCCGGGAGCACGGGGTTCTCGGAGTATGAGGCATTAAAACATGTCCGGAATTTGACCCAGTGGGGCCCACATTCCGTCGGGTCCACGGAACTCGACAATGCAATAAAGGTGCACATTATGTTTGTTAATAGTATTGATTTTGGTTTCGAGATTGTTAAAATATATTTAGAAAATATATATCATATTTATGTATTTGTAAGATTATTACATTATTTAGATGATTTGTACTGAAATATAGAATTTCAGTTTAATATTTTAATAGAAATAAATACTAAAAAATGAATAAGGCCATATTCAATTTTCACTCCATTTTTGCAGTTTACAATAAAAGTGGTTTTACTCCAACCATAAATTTCAATTTTCACTCTAAATAATTTTTCATATTTATAAATTACACCTCAACTTTAATTTATTTTATACATTATAATCCATACATATATAATTTATATTTTGTTTAAAAATTACATATATGAAAATTAACATTTATAATTAAAAACTATTACAAATAAAATAATTTTTAAAAAAATAAAATTAACATTTATAATAAAAAACTATTACAAATAAAATAATTTTAAAAAAAATAAAATTATACATTACTTTTAAAAAAATAAGATTATATATCATTTTTTTAAAAAATAAATTTATATATCACTTTTCAAAAATTATAATTATATATCACTTTTCAAAAATAAAATTATACATTATTTTTTTTAAAAAAAAAGTAAAATTATATATAAGTTTTTAAAATATAAAATTATATATCATCATTCTAAAAAATATAAAAATTACACAATATATCCAAAAAAATAACAAAAATACACCAAACACCACAAAATATTACAAAAATTCAACTCCGAAACACTTTACAAAACTGCAAAAACAGGGGAAGCGCTCTTTTGTCTCTTATGTTATGAATTGCAGTACGTGGAAAGCGTGGCTTTGGATATTAAGGAAAGCGCGAAAGGGAGTGTTGGTGTTAGGGTGGACGTGGATTTGTTCCATTCGGCTTCGGGTGCAAACCTTATGGGCGGCGGAGTATTCGATGGGAAGACACCTGCTTATTCGGATTTAAAGCACGTTTTGCTAAGAATTGCGCCAAAATCATCTTCTGCAAATTCAAATGGGCTTTCGGATTCTTCGATTCTTATCTCTGCCCACATTGACTCGGTCTTTGCAGCGTATGTTTCTAACTTTTTGTTTTTTTAAGTATATTGATATAGGTGGATATAAGGGTGTGTTCTTCCACACTTTTCTAAAAAAAACACATTTTAGTCCGTAAGTGGAGCTGTCACAAACTAGTTCTATAAGTGAAAATTTTTTGTTATTTTAATTCTCCGGCGCCGGAGATGTCCGCATGGCTCGTCAGAACCTACGTGTCCGCCGGGTATCCCGACATGTGTAGCTGAGTGTATTTTATATTAAGCCTAATTGAATGCAGTGTATTTTATCCTTCTTACAATATGTATTTCATAACCGTAATATTCAATTTCTCTTTATTCATTTCGATTTTCATAAAAAATTCAGCTTCACAAAAATTATACTTTATCCATCAACAATATATATATATTACCACATTTAATATTATACTCTTATGCAAAATATAAAAATATATTTTTAGTTTTCTTATATAATACAAATTAATAGCAATTATGCTGGTTAGATTAATAATATTTAATATATTTGTTTTGTGTTTTGATTTGAAGAAAATATTTAGATGTATAAATATAAATATTATATAAATAATATAAAAACAATAAGTGCTTATGATATAGTAATTTTTTAAAAAAGAAAATTTTGTTTGAATTTTTTTTAAAAAAATAAGAAACAAACCCAAAAAATATTTGCATGGAAATATTTTTTTTAAAAAAATAGTATAAATTAATTTTAAAATAAATAAAATAATAAAATCAAATGAAAATCATATAATAATTATATTTATTAATTTCTTTAATAAATAATAATTAATTACTAAAATTAAATTAATTTTGACACCGAAATTATTATTATTTAAAAATAATAGACTAAAGCTAATACATTAATAACTGGATATGATAAAAAAAAAAAAAAAAACTTTCTATCTCATCGAAAGATTGTCATTATTTTTAGTATTATATTGAATTTTAGTAAAAAAAAAAAATATTCATATTAGTATTGTGTAATATAAAAATAATGACATTTGTATAATATATTATAAGTTGAAAGGATATTTATTATGTTAAGTAGATTAGATCAAAATAAAAAATGACAACTTTAAATATCTATTAAATAAATTATGAATTTGTTTATTTTATATTTTTATGATAAAACTCTTTATAAATATTATAAGAAAATAATATACACATATACTAAAATAATACTCCCTCCGTCCCATATACCATGTCCAAGTTGCCGTTTCTGTCAGTCCCATGTACCATGTCACTTTCTTTTTTAAAAAAATAATTATACACTTTAATCTATTTTAAATTTTTTAATTTTTTTTTAAATTTTAATTAAACTAATTAGTTATTTTAATCTTAATTTATAATTATTTATATCATAGAATAATTCAATAATACATTTTTAATTGTCTATTAATTACATTCCTCCTAAAATACAGTGTCGGCTAGCAGACGGTATGTGGACAGGAGGGAATGTATAAAGTATAATATATATATATATATATTATATCAACCGAAAAATTTAACATAAATCGGAAACACATATTACCAAAATACCCCCGCGTACTCGTCTTCTATGTTATTTACAAACGAATCCAAAATTTCAAAAGTAAAATGCAGACCGACGTACCTATACTGGCTGTGTGTTTTTCATTTTCAGTGAGGGAGCTGGTGACGACTCGTCGTCGGTGGCTACTATGCTGGAACTTGCTCGAGGGCTTTCTCAGACCACTGCTGATTTGAAGAATGGTGTTGTATTTTTGTTTAATACCGGAGAAGAAGAAGGTTTAATGGGTTCTCACGCCTTCATCACTCAGGTTCCATTCATTCCTTCTCACTCATACAAATTATGAGTATATAATCGCTCTATATTTATTCTTCCTCTCTATTAATTAAAATAAATGTTATCAACCTGCCAAATCTTCTTCTAGTTTCAATGGTTTTGATGCCTTTTCATGGCCGAACTCTGCTGCTGATGCCGAGAGGTTTTTAATTTGTTGTTAATTATATTTAAGTTCGTTGCTGGACATAAGACCTAAGATTTTCGACTTTCGAAAGTGCCTATTGTTTGAATATTTTTTACAATCGCATACCTGCTGCAGCATCCTTGGAGGAAAGAAATTAAGCTTGCTGTTGATCTGGAAGCTGTGGGTTTGGGAGGAAAATCTGGTATTTTTCAGGTCTGTATATATATATATATATGTATGTATAAGTTCATATGAGTGCAATCACTGTCTATATCATTTTGTTTTGTCTAGTTTGGCTTCGAAGCTATATGTTTGTGCATCTCTATATACACGTACTTGAACTGTTTATATGTTGAATATAACTATAGTCTACACATAAGGAGACAGATGTGAACAATGGAGAAGAAATAGGAGAAAGACTTTCGTTTATTCTTGAGAAAGCTTTTAGTTACTCTCACTCTGTTTCACTCTAGCTTGCTAAATCCTTCATCTATACCTTAATTTATAGCAACATGGCCGGTCTAGTTGAGTTTCCGAAACACATATTTAGGTCACAACTTATGCATTAATCACTCCCGATCATACACATTAATTATTCACCAACTATTAACTAAACACATACTTCGAGTTTAATTCCAATTGATACGGCCATGTATTGGTTATTTTGTTGTTATTGAATTTATTTAAGAATAAGAAATATCGTATCAAGCTATTTTCGGGAAGAGTTGTGCGGAGTCCACGCTCGAGAATGCTGATACGACATTGAACAAAGGGTGAAATAAGGTGGAAATAAGGCAACTATGAAATTATTATTTGAATTATGACTTAATCGTGTTGAAAAGACTAATCTTTAAAGTTCCTCTCCACTTTCTAAAATTCTAAGTATTATTGCACCTATTTAGTCATGTTCATGACTAAATGAAAGGTTATATTTTGGAATATGATAATTTTAAAAAGGGTTTGTTTGTTTTGATAAAAAATCCCAACATATTTTTCTAAAAAATTTACTTCCTCCATCCCAGATATTTTGGATGTGTTACTGTAGATATGAAAATTTAGTTAAAGTATAATTAATAGGTAATTAAGAAGTGTATTAATAGAAATAATTGTTATTTAGTAAAAATAATTATAAATTAAGATTAAGATAAGTAAATAGTTTAATTAAGATTTAAAAAATTATAAAATTTAAAATGATTAAAGTGGATAATCATCTTTCCAAAAAATGAAAGGACAAGTTATGGACAAATTACTTATCCTCATTATTTTTATATTATTTACACAGTTCTCTATACTTTGCATTAAAAATTTTTCCTTCAAACCAAAACACAAAACAAACAAATAGTATGTAATTTTCAAGTATACAGTAATACTTATTAATTTTATTTGGAAATTATAAATTTTCAAATGAGGAATTAAATAAATTAATTACTGGATAAAACCTTATAAATTCAGATTTATTTAAATTTGAGATTTGGCAATTTAATAAAAATTGCAACTCTTCAAATTGAAATTTCAAATTGTAACTTTTCAATCAAAGGATGTATCTTTTGGATTCAAGTTTAAAGTTGCATCTTTAAGAAAAAGAGACCTCCCATCTACAAATAGGATTCTTGTCTTCAGAATTTTAAAAAGATAAAAAACAAAAGAAAAAAATATTTAAAAAATGAGAGAGTGAGAAAATACAGTCAGCTACAGAAAATCACATGTTCTATGTCAAAATAAGCAGAAACACTCTCATAGTCTCTTTTTGACATAGTACAGTCAGCAATAGAAAGTCACATGTTGTATGTCAAAATAAGCTGAAACACTCTCAGAGTCACTTTTCTCTTATGTCAAATAAGCATAAACACTCTCCGAGTCTCTTTTCTCCCGAATTCTGAAATATATTTTCTGCATACATAAATTATTTCTCAACTTTCTACTTGCTCGAAATTTCGTCTAGAATTAGAGTGTTGTTTTGTTTTATCATTGTACAAATTTCGTGTAACCCGATGCGTTAATAGAATCTAAATATTGTTTAAGGAAAGCGATTTACGTGACCAAAGTATATCCCAGATCGTCTATACCATGCTATATCCTATTTTTATTCAACCCCATACGATATTTTCCAACACCATCTCTGCACATGCACACAACACAAATATGCGTATTATATGTTGGAAAATATGTAAAACTCCTTTTGATTTTAGCATCTGAGTACATGTACCAAGCCAAGTAATGCCATAAAGAGAAAAGAGATGAAAATATTCTTTTGTTTTTATAAAAGACGCAGCCAAATCTACATATTGATGATATCTATGTTGCCTTACGATTTCTTTCGAAATTTTCGTATTAAAATTAATAGCATGGGTTAAACAGGCTGGTCCTAATCCTTGGGCCATTGAAAACTTTGCTAAGGTAGCAAAATATCCATCTGGTCAAATTACTTCTCAGGTATGTTAATCCTCCAATCATTTTTTGTTCATGAGCTAAAATTTTGTATCTCCTCAAGTTTGGAACTAACACTCAGCAAAACTTGTACTTAGGATTTCTTCTCTTCCGGGTTTTTAAACTCTGCGACAGATTTTCAAGTATACAAGGAAGTTGGAGGACTTTCAGGGCTTGACTTTGCATATACAGAAAAAACTGCTGTACACCACACTAAGGTAGTATACCTAGAGGAATTGCAATTTAAATATGTTATATAATAGTTTCTTATCAATGTCAAACATTTTTTTGTTGATTTGAAGCAATACTGGAATGCAGTATGAGGTTATCAACTATAATACCTTTTCATTGTAGAATGACAGAACGAAGCTTTTAAAACCTGGTTCTTTGCAACATCTTGGAGAAAATATGGGCCCTTTCATTTTGCAAGCAGCTTCTTCCGAGCTTCCTTCAATCAATGGACTAGAATCAAATCTAAAATCCAATGAGGACAAACCCATATATTTTGACATTTTGGTATTTTGATCAGCACTATTCAACAATACTTTTCGAGCTTTAAATTTCTTTGTTAATGCATTTTCTCTTCCTTGTTTGTTATGTTTCCTGAAATATTGTGCTAAAGGTACCTATTTCCAATCTCAGGGTGAATACATGATTACGTTTAGACAGGGAAAAGCCGATATGATTTATAATCTCGCAATATTGCTCTCTCTCCTGCTATGTATTGCATTAGTGATGATTGGTGGTTATTCAGCAGCAACATCGTTGGCCTTATCTTTTTTGGGTGTCATACTAATGTGGATATGCTCCATTGGTTTTGCTTCTATTGTCGCCTTCTGTCTTCCACTTGTTGTCTCCTCTTCTCCAGTGCCATATTTCTCTTCCCCATGGTTGGCAGCTGGACTGTTTGTTGCACCTGCTCTATTCGGGGCATTTGTAGGTCAACACATAGGTTATCGTTTGCTTGTAGCATATTTGTCCCGTACATTTAGTGGAAGGAAGGATCCATATACTAGCTTACAGGTCGGTATGGCTGAATTGGATGCTGAAAGATGGCTCTTTAAAGGAGGTTTACTTCAATGGCTTCTTGTACTAATAGCTGGAAATTACTTGAAGATTGGTTCTACTTATTTAGCTCTTGCTTGGTTAATCTTCCCTGCAATTGCATGTAAGTTTCGTTCAAAATCTTAGCATATTCTCTGTGGTATTTTGGTAAGGCTAATTGGGGTTCCAACCGAATGCATATATCTATTCTATTATGGGATTTGAAGATTAGAACTTGTGACTTAGTGGCTTGTAATATTAACAGATAATCATTTTTAGCACAACTTTGGATTATTAACAGTTACTTATTATTCTTCGTTTTTCACAATCAAATATGTGCTTCTTGAATCCCAGATGGTCTGTTTGAAGCAACATGGTCGCTGGAAACATTGCCGAGTCCACTCAATACACAGTCTCTGCTAGTTGGCATGTTTGCTCCTGTTGTGCTCACTGCTGGAGTGGTAATTCAATTGGCAGCTACTGTAATTGGATTCTCAGTTCGTTTGGTGGGGTAATATTTCTGTGTACTTGCTTTTGAAAAAGGACCTAGGATTCATGTTTTGATAAGCCATTTGTTTAGCTTATTTGATGCTCTCATAAATCCATAATGACACTTGAATAAGCATATGATGGCATGGAAGTAGGAACACATCACAAATGAATAGATGTTCTAAATCGTCGTCGTGAAGCTGTATTGCAAGGGCTTTATGACCTCTTTCTGATAGTACCTAAAGTGTGGTTGGACAAGCACAGTATAGTTCAATACTCACAATGTGGCATGGTATATTTTATATCCTAATCTGCAATTTGATGGTCAGATTAAATGCATGAAAATTCATGGCTGAGTACTTGCTGTTATCTTAGTTAAATCTATTGCAAATTGATGAGGCATAGTATATTTTTTCAGGCCATGATTTCTTGCTGAATTCATCTGCTTAAAATCATGATTTCAGTAACAAATCTATTGTTGTGCAGAAATCCAGGTGCTTCTCCAGACTGGATTGGAACCATAATAGTTGCTATTTTGATGGCTGCTATTGTATGTTTGACAATGGTGTACCTTCTGTCATATGTTCACATATCAGGTACTGAAACATAGCCATTAATGTTTTATCTTCTATCATTCTTCTTTTTCCATTAATTCATTCTATTCAATCTTAAGAAAATGGATTCACACCTACCCTTTCCATCAGACACACTAGACATAAGCTAGAAAGGTCCTACTTCTTAAGTTGTACCCTGTTTTTTGTTTCTTTTTCGTTGTCCTATTAAGCCTGTTGCATTGTTGGTTTTCTAGGTGCGAAACTGTCACTTATCGCTGCTACAGGAATTCTGTTTGCAATTTCTCTTGGAGTAGTTTGGGCTGGTGTTGTTCCACCATTTACAGAAGATACTTCCAGAGCTGTAAATGTGAGCAACCAATCTTTTTAATATATATATATATATATATATATTTTACACTGTTTCAATGCTATTCAGTTGAACAATAGAATATTTATTGTATAAGTGTATATTTATTTATCAAACTACTTCAACCTGGTCAGATCTGTCGCAGAATTAAAGAAACTATTTAAGCCTGTGCTTATATACATGATTCTATTTGCGTTTTGATGTCTACATTATTGTGCATAATAGGCTCTCTCTTTTTTTTTTTTTTTTTTTTTGATCGGATGCATAAGCTCTGTTTTTCTAACATGTTTTATGGTTCACATCACAAACAGATTGTGCATGTCGTGGAAACTAAAGGAGAGCAAAGCAGAAGAAGTGAGCCCATTTCATACTTATCGATGATCTCAACAACTCCGGGAAACTTGGACAAGGAAGCCTATCTTATTGGGGAAGGATTTATTTGTGGAAGGGACAGGTACATCGATTTTGTTACTTTTCAAGTGAACTACAGTTGCTGGACAGACAAGAATGCTTATCTTGGCTGGAATCAATCGGACATTCCGACAATCACCGTGCAAAAGGATATCGTAAAGAGAGGGATTCGGAATACTCAGGTGTTACTTGACACCAGAGTCTCTACTCGTTGGGTTCTCAAAATCAATATGAGGGAAATTGAAGATTTTCAGTGGAAAGGTACCCTATACTCACAAATATTATGTATTTTTTTCATGCATTTTTTTAAAAATACATTTATGCATAGATAGATACATCGTAACTAGTAAAATAGAATAATGCAATAAAATATACTATTTCGTATATTTCATTCTCAGTTTCTCAAAATCTCAGAAACAAGGAACTTTGTGTTTGTTTTAGTTGTGTATTAGCTTTGTTTTGGTGTTTTAGGAAAAATAGAAATGCATTATAAAATAAGTAGCAGAAAATTGAAAATAAAAACACACATAAATACAGTCAATTTTCATTATGTTAATATATAGATATAAAAGAGTATTTATTTGTTCATTATAAATATGCCTAGAATTTCTTTTAATTTAGGTGTATATTAAGTTACAACTACATAATGCATCATGTGATTTAAATATAGTCATTTATGAAAAGAATACTTTATTTGTTTGTCAATCTGAATAGTTTTCTTTCAATTTACAATCCAACTAATTTCCAACTTCTAAGTTTATGATTTTTTTTTTTTTGTTAAATATTATATATGTATATTAAAGTCAGTCAAAAACCAGTCCTCAATATATCTATGAAGTATACTATGAAACTGTATTTTAAATGGTCATTTCACTACTGCAAGATTACCTTGGCAGTCATGTTTTCCTATAACTCGTTTCAATTCACAGAAGCAAACAGTTCCAATGATTTAATCCCAAGGGGTGAAAAAAGTGTTCTTGATGGATGGCATACCATTCAGTTTGCCGGAGGGGTCGACTCCTCAAAAAAATTCAAACTCTCCCTGTTCTGGTTCAAGAATGGTCCTCAGACATCCAGCGACGATCCTCTTCTGAAGCTGAGAACAGATGTCGAGAGAAACACACCGATCACTCAAACTGTTCTTGATAAGCTCCCTGTGTGGTGTACCCTCTATGGTAAGTCCACATCTCCACACACACTATCGTTTCTAACTAGTTTACCGGTAGTAAAGTAAGGGTAGATTTCGATGGTTTGTGATGTATCCTTGCTTGTTAAGTGATGGTTATATCTTGTGTTAATAATGTGTGAACTTGAGGTTGACATTTCATGCTTGTGTCGACTCAACTCGACTCGGTGCATTAGAGAAAACACCTTTAGTGTTTATTGTTGTTAAGGCAGACATGATCCTGTAATAAAATCCCCAGTGTGTTTGTGCTTTGCTTAATTGCTTTGAAGAGTTATAATCAGCAATGGAACATTAATGGAAGAATAAGCAGCAGATGTCAAACATCAAAAGCTTTAAATTATCCCCGGTTTTAATCCCCCGTAAATTATTTTTTTATGAATTATTTTACTTTTGATTTGAATTCGAATGTGGAATTGAATTAATGACGATTTAAGAACGTCGTGTTGTATAGAATTATTTTACCTAATTATTTGACAAAAGTAGTAAAATTAATATATTTGTATATTAAATAAAAATTATTATTATTTAAATTATTTTAAATATAAATATTTAGAGTGTGTTTGACAAATAGCTTTTTGAAGAGTTGAACAGTTTTAGCTTTTGACTAGTCAAAAAGTTTAGGTGTTTGGTAAATTAGTTTTTTTTACCAAAAAATTAATTCTGAAAAGTTAACTTACCAACTTTTTGAAATAGTTTTTTCTGTAAAAAAAAAAAAAATTATTTCTTATATGTCCTTAAAAATCTATTATGCATTTTACACAAATAAATTTTTATTTTGATTATTTATTAATTATATTAGAATATTTTATTTTATTATAGTTTTACTTTTATAAATTTAAAATAATTAATTTTTATATATAAATTATTTTAATTGTAAAATATATAAATTTATTAAAATCAACGTCAAATAGAAAATATAAATATTAATAATTTATTTTTATATTAAAATTAGATTATATAAATTTTATACTAAAAATAAATTAAATTTATTGAAAATTATAAATATAATGAACTAATCGATAACTAACATAATAAATATATACACGAAAAATTTATTATTTTATATTTTCTATCATTTTCAATAGAAAAAAATATTTATATATTTCAATAAAAATATATTATTTTTAAAATCTAAATATAATAAAAATAAATATTTTTATAGTACTTTTACAATTTTCAATAACTAATAATAAAAAATTTCAAATATTCTAAACTCAAAAGAACATAATTGAATATATTAGAAAAAAATAAAATAAAAATATCTTCAATTGTCATTTAATTTATAAACAGCTAATATCAAACAGTTGTTTTACCAAACATTTTAATACAAACAGTTAATCGAATTACATAGTCAAACCAACTAATTAAATCAGCTAACAGCTATCAACTAATTAAATCAACTAACAGCTAACAACTATCCGTTAATTGTCAAACACGCCCTTAATGTGGAGGAAGATAAATTTGTATAAATGAATTATTTGGTGTGGATATAAAATTAAATGAATTTTTTAATAGCAGAAAAAGTATGACATGGAATAGATGAGAGAGTGGAAAAACTCACATTGGGTTTCTTTGATATACATGGCCTAAATATTGTATTCTTTTGGTTAATAAACAAATGAGACGTTTGATTAGTGACATGATATTTAAGGTAATATAGCGTAAATTAATGATATTATATTTATTATACTCCCTTGGTCTAGCTACAAACGACTTATTTTTTTATTATTTTTTATCCGTTCCATAAAAGATAGTTTATTTCTATTTTTGGTAAACGCACTTAATAAATATAAATCAATTTAATTAAATTTTTAACTTATATTTTTTTATCCTTAAAACTCCCAATTTTTTTATAAAACTAATTTATGATAATGATAAATAAATAAATAAATACTCTATATTTTTATTTATTTGTATTATATAAAATTTTATTTTCGATAATATTATATATTTTTTTGAGATACGATGTTAAAAGTATTTAAATATATATTTTAAATTTATTTTAATTATATATAATATATTTCTATTACACGTTATTATTAAATAACTAATCATCAGTATCTAAATTAACAGTATATATTTATTTATAATTAATATAAATTAATTTTATAAAAAATAAATTTTTTAAATATAAATAAAAATATTTATTTATTGAAAAAAAATATATAAATAAATAAATTTCGAGTGATCCTATATGTCAAATATTTGAAATTTAATTAAATAGATTTATATTTATTAAGGGTGCGTTTAATAATTAGCTGATAGCTTTTAGCCATTAGCTAATTCAATTAGCCGTTAGTTGATTCAATTAGCGGTTTGCATTAAAGTGTTTTGTAAAACAACTATTTGACATTAGCTATTTATACATAAAATGACTATTAAGGACAATGATATATTATTTTTTAATATATTTAATTTTGTTCATTTTAGTTTAAAATTTATGAGAATTTTTTTTATTAATTATTGAAAATTATAAAAATATTATAACATATTTATTTTATTTTTATTATTTAGATCTAAGAAAATTATTTTTACTAAAAAATAATATTTTTTTATTGAAATTATGTAAAATATAAAATAATAAATCTTTCATATATTTTTTTTATTATGTTAATTATTGTTTTAATATATATAAATAAATTAATAACTTTTGTTTTTTTATTTGATTTAGTTTTAAAAATTTATATATTTTACAAATAAAATAATTTATATGTAATAATTAATAATAGTAATTATTTTAAATTTACAAAAATAAAAATATAATTTAATAAATTAAATAAATTAAATATATTAAAAATAATTAATAAATACTGCTATAAAAATATATTTATATGTATAAAATAAATAATTAAGTGTTAAAAGGTAAATAAGGAATAACCAAAATTAAAATGAAAAAGCTCTTTTAAAATGCTGTGTAGATGAGGTTTTCAGAAATTAGTTTTTTTTTTTTTCAAAAAGCTCTTTCAAAAAGTTAATTTACCAAACAACTAAATTAGTTTTTTAACTGATCAAACAGCTAAAGGCTGTTCAATAACCTAAAACTCTTCAAAACGTTGTTTCCCAAACGTGCATTAAAAATTGATAAATATACTAAATTGTTATAGGACGGATAAAGTATTTTTATATATTTGTATATAATTTATTTTATATTATTTATTGTAGTTATTTATATATATTTTGTATTGTTTTCCAGGCCGATGCTTCTTTTTTTTTTTTGGATTTTATTTTGAATTTTGCATTTTGAGTTTGAGTTTTACTTTAAACAATGCTTTATATGGAATGTTTTTTGAAATAAAATATTACTCTTTTAAATCATTCAAATTTATATTCATTATTTTTTGAATATTTATAAAAAATATATATATTTTTTCTTTTTTAGAAAAAAGTACGTAATTTTTTTATATTTTTTATTATAAAAAGCAAAAAGTAATAGTTATTATTCACTTTTATTAAAACTCGTTTTGAACACATATTTGGATGACGAATGAAGTATATTTTTATGAAATTTTCTAAAACTTGAATAATTATTAAAAGTATCAAGAAAATTATAAGGTGTGTTTGTTTGTAAGGTTTTGGTTTATATTATATTTTTTTAATTTTTTATTACAAAATATCAAATTAAATATTTTTTTTCATTGTATTACAATAAATTTTAATTATATATTTAAAATATCAGATAGCATATATTTATAAAGTTGAATAATACTAAAAAATTAGAGAAAATTATAAAGTGTGTTTGTTTCTAAGGTTTTGGTTTACATTATATTGATTTTATTTTTTTTACAAAAATATCAAATCAAATATTTATTTTTTTATTTCATTGTATTACACTAAAATTTAATTTTACATACAAAATATTGGATAACACATATTTATATTTCAATTCAAAATTGTATTATTCAAAATTCAAATCCAAAACTAAAACATTACAAATAAAAATGATACTTTGGTGTTAGTGTATATTTACTTTTACTAAAATAGAAAATATATATTTTTTAATGAAACAAACGAAAATAATAAAAAGAATATTTTAAATTGATACGAAGTAAGTATATAAAATACTCCCTCCGTCTCGAAACTAAGTATAAATTTGATTTTTGTACGTAATTTTAGAAATATTAGTATTATATTAGGATATAGTAGGAATAAAGTAGAAATGACTAAAATAACCTTATTAGTATGTGTGATACAAAGATAATGACATTTGTGTAATATATTGTAAGTTGTAAGTGTATTTGTAATGTTAGGTAGACAGTACAGTTACTAAAAAAAGAAATGAATAATTTGTTATGGGATGGACTAAAATAGAAAAATAGATACTTTGTTATGGGACCGAGAGAGTAGTATTTTATTAAAAAAATAATTAAATCAACATAGTACAAGAAAAACACATTGATAAAATATTAAAAATAAATAAATATTCTATTAAAGCTCTGAAAAACACATTCAAACATTTATGGTTTAATTAATTCAACATTCAATAAATATAAAAATTAGTTATTCACACGCATTTGAGAAATTATGTATTTTAATTGCAGAAAAATTAAATGTTCATCATTATTGAATTATTAATTACAATATTTATTAACTAAATTAATTATGGTTTCAATGACATTGTTGAGCTAAATTTTATGTATTTCATTTTAAAATATTAGAAGAATTATAAGTAAATAAGTAAAATTTTATAATAATGTAAACAATTTTTAAATACAACAAGACTGCTGTACTACCAAAAATATTGTTGAAAAAAAAAATAAAAATAAAAATTGTTTACATAAATTCAAGTCCAAATAAATATATATTGAAAAATTCAAAATTCAATTTTATAAAAAGCTTGAATTATTTCATGCAATTCGAATATTAATTTATTTTAAATAATAAATTAAATTATTTCAATAATAATTTAAATTTTCCTTTTATGTTTCCATTAATGTACACATGATATTAATAATTCGGTTGACTTTGAATCATTTATTATAGCAAGTTCTTTAATTTACCGGATTTTATTTTAATCCAAACTTTGTAAGAAATTGCAAATGACTCCCCATAATTTTAACAGTCTTCCGATTATGCCTCCTTTTCCCGCTCTTTTGTAAACATAAAAACTACGGTGGAAATTAATTAGGGCTTTTTTGGAGGGGATATATATATTTGCCCGTTCAAAAATGGTGTACATTTGTCGATCGAAACCATCCCTGAGATGGATTCTTTACACTCACCTCCTACATTTTGGGGGATTGTGCCATTCTTTTTTGTGTATGAATTTATCTTGATATTGTGTAATTAAATGTATATATTGGGTTTGAGTAAAGATGAATGTTTGCTTTGTGGACGAGGGATGCATTTAAGGCTCATTTATTGAATATTTACCAGCAGCTTAATATGATTAGTTGACAGCTTGATTTTTGTGTTAATGACTGCAAATCTAGGAGCCAACATTCAAATTTTGGGAGGCCTGGGTGTGTCAGGGGCCCTATGTGTGTTTTCCTATAATATCAGTATATATAGGACTCCATTGTTATTTGTTAGCACTTATTTGGTCTCTCATACACTTCAAGGTAGGTGCATTTGACATAAGCAGTCTACAGTGAGTTTCAGATTGGTATTTGTGGTAATTCGATACAAATTTATTTTATATGATGTGGGAGTGTTGTACTTTTCTGTAGGGTGATTATCTGTGTTTTGTATGCTTATTCATCAACTGAACATGGCTTGGTCGAATAGTGATTGTATATCTCAACAAGATATCTTGATACACATCCATATACATATGGTCATGTAATGTATTTGGGTATGTTGTTGTAGCCTTTGATTATTGTGACCATGGAAGCAAGCTTAGACTAATTGTGTCGTGTTGTAAAATAGTGTTTGTGAAAGCATTATGAGTTTTTATGTCAAGATTCTTGTAATTGATAGATGAAGTTTGGTGGATGAAACTAGAATAAAATATTTCAGATCTTTGTAAAATCTTCGAGGTTAATAGTTAAAACCACAAACATGGCATCCAGCGGATGGAATTAATGTTTTGAAAAGACATTTTCTGAGACTGACAATCTTGTAAAAATTATAGTGTTTCCTGTTGTGAAATGTTTGATCAAGAACCCATTTAATTTTCTATAACTCTTAGAAAATTGACACGTGTTTGGTCGATCTGGCCAGGACAAAATATAAACTAAACGACAACGGTCAGTGGCTTGAGGGACTTAATACTACCGACAACTTTAATGTTACTTTCGGATATTTGCTGGGTTATTTAAACTGGCATCTTGTAGCTTATTTATTTTCTATCTGCTTACATGTATTTATGAGTTGTAGCTCACAAACACAGTTTCTAGTCCAAAAATCTGGTGTAGATACCCTTATAAGCTAAAGGATCCGGTACTGGAGTTTTGGTTTACAATGAAAAGAAGTGGAAACACATGTGGCGGCGAGAGTAGCAAGAGGGCAAATACCTCCACTCAAGAGGTTCGGCGATATGCTAGATACACAAAAGAGCAAGTTGATGCGCTTGAAAAACTTTATACAGAATGCTCGAACCCAAGCCATGGACGGCAGCTACAAATTATTCAGGAACATCCTCTTCTGAAGGGCATTGACATAAAACAACTTAAAAATTGGTTTCAAAACCGTAGGTAAAATATGTACACCTTTATCTTTTCCTTTGGAGTTAATATTTTAACTATTCCAGTTCCTCCCATAAATATGCTTGTTTTACTTTTTTTTGGTTTTGATAGATTTGAAGATATTATAGTAGTAGTGCTTTCATTTTTCTGATTTAGGTAAAAATTCCAATGAAATGTACTAAAATGTTTTAAAGCATAAAGTTACACTTGACACACTATGTTGTGGGCTACTCTCATTATTCAAATCGACTATTTTTCACTGGAATATCTGCTGCAATATATTGAAATCCACTGAATCTTTTTGGAAAGTAGTTAAGGTTGTAAGAACGTTTTCCTTGTCAGAAAAGGGATGGTTGGAGTAGGAAGTAACCCAGCCAACTACCTAATAAAGCGTTACAAACATGAGAAATAGGAGTACCAAAAAATGAGTTGGGCTTGACCGCTTGAGCATTGGGCTAACCAATAGCTCTGCCTAATTTAATTTACCATGGCGGATAGTTCCATCTAGGCTCACTAGTTTTCTATGAAGGCATTTATTTTTATATGTATATCTGTCTCTTTCTCTCTCTTGTGTGTGTGTGGACAAAAAGGGGAAAAAAAAAAAAAGGTATTGTTCGAAAGGTATCCCCTTATTCTTGTTTTGTTTTTAGGAAATGATCCGGAGCTCAATTTTGAGTACAAAAAATAGCATTTTCAAGCACTAAATTATATTTTTCTCATTTTGACTCAATAACAAACACAACACAGTGTTGCATATAATTTTTTGTTGTTCTTTTTCTGTTCCCAGAAGTCGAGAAAGGCAGAAAACTGAGAATGGGCACCTTATCGCAGAACAAAAACAGCTGGCTGCATCAAATAAGCTGTTAAGGGAAGAAAATGAGAACTTGCAGAAAAAGATGGACAAATTAAGATCTGAGAATGAGAATTTGCAGAACCATGTCATCAATGTAAGCTTTATCATATCTAGATTTTCTTATTACGAAAATTATGCTTTTTTATCATTCATTTATTTATGTTATAAAGCAAGCTGTGGTTTCTAACTATTTCAGATAGGTGAACTCTATATTCACAATTAACAAACCTCTGTGCAGTTTATTATGAATATGCTTTTGCTTTGTACCTTGTTATTGCAATATGGTGGTATTTGTGCTGGTACTGTTGTAATAGATGATGGTGAGGATTCAAATAAAGTGTTTCTTGGTTATTGTAATTAGAATAGTTGAATAATCACACAATAAATACACCATGGTGAGTTAGTATTTGGATGGCAGGTTGTGTGGTATCAGAATATATGTTTTAGCTTTGAACTTGTGGAATGTTGTTGTCTTTATTTCTGTGACTTTTTATAAATCAAAACTGGGAAATTGCATATGAATTTGTACTGTAGTATACCATTAACTTTCAAAAGTGAAAATCTAACTTGTTGCAACTACTCTAACTAATCCAAAAGGTTAGTTTTCCCTAAATTTTGAGATATCTTTGAGCACTAACAACTTAAATCTTCCACACTTGCAAGTAATCTATTGTGAAACATGTGTGGAATGAATATATCTGCTAATGAGACATAGCTAAGTTGTTTCTCAATAACATTTTCTTGGTTTGATCATGAGTAATTTTGTTGGGTATATGCTTTTATTTTCAAGATAAGCAATTGAGAAATCAGAATAGCCATTTAAAAAAAATATAGAAGATATGATTGGATCATAGTGTTCTATGTGAAGATAGTTTGATGGAAACATCGAGTCACTTTTTTACGAGAAATAAGAATTGATGTGAAATATATAGGTGGCAAATTGGCTGCATTTATAGAAAACATAGCGATGAAGTATCTTTGTGACTGAAGATAATAACATGGCCTCAGTCACTTACAAAGATTAAATCATATATATGTTATGACTCCATATTGTATGTCTTGTATCCAACACAATATATAAAATGAAAGTATTACTTTCATATTTACCATCTCATTAAAGAACAATTTCAGTTAAACTCTATTTTTAAGATTGATATGTGAACAAATGTCTTGACATGAAGTTTTAGAATTTATATTACAAACTGTTTCACATAAGTTTACCTATGATACTATACCAAGGTGAAATAGAAATTAAATTGAATCCATGGCATATTTGGTCATATTCTAAGTTTCCGCCTTGGTCCAAAAAAAAAGTTGATCGCTTTCCTTCTGTGTTTTTGGTTTTCTTTTTCTGGATTCACTTTCTGAGATTGCCGTCTTATCTTCTGTTTCTCATTTCATGCTCTTTATGTAATTACCCAACATTGACTCTCTCCCTAGTTTTTAAATAAGTCTTGAGATTTAGGAGAGATTGTGTAAAGTTATATGATTAGAGATGTTGAAGTCGTGAAAATGGTTTTTTTTTTTTAGTAACGAGATGTACTATTCATTCAACCTTCCTATTTTTCTCCAAAAACATCACATTCAATGCCCAATTTTCATATAAAACATCGCACCCAACTATTATTTTACCTCATAAAACAACAAAATCAAAACTCAAATAGCAAAAAAACAAAAGAAAACACTAGTAAGCAAACCTAAAATATTACATTTTTGTTGATGGAATAAGTCAAGGAATATCGAATTTCTTAGGTTAGGGAGGAGTTTTTATGTCATTAATTTAGCTTAAAGAAGCCCACAATAATTCTATCCCATTTAAAAACCATGTAGCAAATATGTTTTTGAAAATTTTCCAAGTTCATTATTTCTTTTAAACCATGATGATCCTAACAAGAAAGAGGAACAAAGAATCCCCCGTAACATTCAAAATTTGTATAGATAATAGAAAATAAGAAAAATTGTTAGAATTAAGAGAGGCTGAATGAATATAAGGGAAAAGAGAGGATATTTTCTAGAGTGTGTTCACTTGGTGCTTTTTTCCTAACATTTTTACTATTTAATCTCTCATTTTCTCTAAAAAAAAATAAAAATAAAATTATATCAATCAATTATTTGATCTCACAAATAGCAAAACCAAAAAAAAAAAAAAAGTAAACAAACCATTGGTGTTGATACAAAAAAAACATAAATAGATAAATAACAAAATAAACGAGATTTCTTGTCTTTTAAATCCTTTTTAAAATTTATAAACAAGAAATTGTAACACAGAAAAGAGGCGTGCCATGTGACAATAGTGTTGTAGTGAAATGGAGTTTCCATAAACATCTATAACATAACATTCACTATGGCATATAATAATACATCAAAAAGCCTTTTGCTTGTTGGAAATTTAGTAAGTCAAAAGTGAAATGTCTCCTTTTCAACGTATGCTTTTAAGAGTTACGGTCTTCGAATCCCTCGATCATCCAACAATGTAAAATGCTATGGCTAAGGTTTTTTGAAGTAGTCCTAATTACACATGAGGTTTAAAAGAGTAAAATAGTAATATATTAAAAATGTTTATAACCCGGATACCAGGTTAAATGACTATTTTACCTATAAGTTTAATTAGTTAAGCTAATAAGGTATTTTTTTAAAAAAAAGTAATAATAAAAAGATGTAACATCAATTTTCATTTTACAAATATTTTCAACACTGCAAATTGTTCAAAATTTTATATTTCCTTATTAACACTAAAATAAATAATAGTAGGGCCATCGTCAACTAATATAGCAACAATAGCAATTTCTATGTGCTAGTAAATGTATGACTATCTATTCATTTATATTTAATAATATACAACTATCTATTTATTTGAATTTTCTAGTGTATGGTATTCATAGAAGCAATTACATACATCAAAAAGTCCTAGCGTGTGTTCTTTTTGTGTTTTTTTCAAACACATTTTTCCAAAAAAAATAATATATTACACACATTCATTATTTTTATACTACCTGTACAATTCTCTATACTTAACATAAAAAATATATCTTCAAACTATTTCACAAAACAAACGCACCCGTAATTATATAACAATAATAATAATTTGGTATAAAAAATGAGGACACATCATCGTCTGATGCCGATTTAAACAACATTAATTCTCCACCTAACCCTTACCAAATAAAATGCATTAAACCCACCAAATCTGACAGTACCTGCCTATTTATCCCTCATTACCTTGCATTTTTTCCCATTCTGTAATAATTATTACTTTCTTGAATGTGACGGCACCTGCTTCGATATATATAACCTCTCCTTGTATTTTATATGTGTTGAGAACATTTCTGTTGTTCGATTGTGTGCTTGTCAGCCTGCTGTTCTTCATTAAGGTGAGATCAAAGGCTTAAAAACTTATTTGTACTGTCAAAAAATTGGATGGTAGAAGATAATGTAGTTCTTTCTTTTGGTGAAGATGTTTCCTTACATCCGAAAAGTTAGAAGAAAATGGAGGTTTACCAAAAAAAAAATATAATGAGAGACTCATATAGACAAAAAGAGATTACAACAAAATAAATGGGTGGCCGGGAGATGTTGGTCTAATTATTTGCGTATTACTATTTCTTTAACTTGCTGGCATGAGATTTTTTGTCCATTTATAGGATTATAGCAGTATGTTATTACATGTATTTGGTTTGATTGTTTTGTATCGTCAACATCGTCATAAATCCTTTATCTCACATATTTTGTACATCGATATAATTTTTGTATAATGATTGATGATGTAAATAATGTAAAAATGACTACTAACTTTAATATAGACATTTTAAATATGAGTGTATTCGTATATTTGTGTTTATGATTGCCTTAAAAAATGGAATGATTAAATAATATTTAGATTTCGAATATAGATGTATATATATAGAGAGAGAAAGCCAAAGAAAAGTTGTTTCGGAATGTTCATATCTTCGGTGGTGGTTTTGAAAGTCAAAGGATGTAAAGGAGTCTGAAAACTTAGCCTATCATGAGAAGTTGTTGAGAGTGGCAACCTTTTTCATTTTGAGAAGTTCTTTGAAATTATGTTTTTCCTAGATGCATTCATGGTCTAAAATTTTAAAACATGTTATTTAATTAGTTGGCATGCATGAATAATATTGAAGTTCTCTCCCTGTCCCTCTTGTGTGTTTTCTTTCCATGTATACAGGATTTGAATCTTTATAAGATTGTATGTGTAAAACAATTGTTTTGCAGTTATCATCTTCAACAAGCTTCGAACTGCCCTGTCTGCCTGAAGCCAATAATCTTCCAATACCTGACAAGATGGCCAACACAAGGTATATATTGTTGTGTGTGCAACTAAATTAAAATAATGTTAGTCATCATACTGTGCTTCTTACTTTCTTTGACATTGCTATCATATAGACTTTTCTCACTGGCTGAGGAAACCAAGAAAGAGTTCCTCGCTAAAGCTGTTGGAGATGCTATTACCTGGATACCGGTTCCTGGGCTGAAGGTTGTCAATATTTCAGAGTTTTAGGTGTTAATTTCAGTGCCTGTTGTTGTTTTTTCTGATTCATTTCCTCGTTCAAATTTCAGCTTCAGAATCCTGGCAATGCTGGGACTTTCTATGTCTCATCTGCTTCCATTGGTGTTGCTGCAAAAGCATGTGTTACGATGCGTTGTGAACCTGTTGAGGCATGCGCTATTACTTAATATGATACTCTGTCTGTGTTGAATTATAGGATATATATAAGTTCAACTTGATTTTTTGTGTATTTATTTTTTTCACATAGTATATAGTGCAGGTTATATATTGGAATCAAAGGTCAGTTTGGATCAATAATTCTCTTAAAATTAAATTGCTTTGCTATTTGTGTAGATAATTGAAATCCTCAAAGAAAAGCCATCTTGGTCGCAATATTTCCGCAATATGAGCATCATTGACACATATCAAGCGTCCACTGGTGGAACGATTGAATTTGTGTACACACAGGTAGGTGAAAACTGCAACAATTTTATGCTTCCCTCATATTGATTAGAGTATGGTATGATTTCATCTAACATCTATATTGTTTTCCAGTATTATGCTTCTACAACCATGGCTTGTGCTCGAGACTTCTGGACACTTCGATACACTTCTGTATTAGATGATGGCAGCTATGTGGTACAGTTACCTTTGGAATATGAGTAATATCAACTGATTTACTAGCAGTTAAATATGTTTCAGTTCCAGAATATACAGTTACATGTGCCCGAGCACCATACTAAATCATTATTGGGTTACTTGTGAGGATTAGCTCAACCCTTGTTCCTGTGTTTCTTGTGTTGTATTTTTAAGGTATGCGAAAAATCAATTTCTGACCGTGATGTTGCTCCAACATCACCAACATCCCTAGAGTCTGTGAAAGGAACTAAGCTTGCTAGTGGCTTTATAATTTGTCCTGTTGAAGGGGGATCAACCATATATATGGTTGAACACTTGGATATGGAGGTACTGTTGATTTTCATCATATCAAAGCTGTAACATATCAATCTTACTCAGGATGGATAATATGACTTGGAGGCTAAACTTGTTGCAGGCATCTTCTGTACCAGTGGTGATAAGGCCCCTTTATGAGTCATCTGAACTTGTGGCCAAGCAGATGATTGCTGCAGTAAGTAAACCTTGTACTTGTATAGCTCCGAATAAATCCATATCAGTTATGTATATGTTGTATGCTTGAAATTTGATGACATGGAGTCAACTGTTGCCATTATGTCGCTTAGAAGTTAGAAATATGCTTGATGCTGTTTCTGTTTCACTATGAAGTCATTCAAATTAGTATTGATACGCTGTCATTCTGCCTTCTTTACTTTACCTGGTTTAAGTACAATAAAGAGTTTTTTTATAAGTCAATTGTTATAACAGAGTTTTCAGTGATACAATTTTTTATTGATCCTATGAAATTGACATTAGAAACCTGTCTTCCTTTGTGACTGCTCTGAAGATTTCCTATGTTGAGAAACTAACAATGTCCATATTGTCAGTTTAGTATCTCTTCTTTTCCATGACTGCATTCCGTGTAATGATCTGGAAATTTGGCTGTGCAACATGCTGTAGTACCTTTATTTGTCTTTCCAAATGAGGTTTCCTTTATGATGTGGAGAGTATGATGAGTATTTTGCTCACAAAGATTAATTGGTGTTTCTCCTTTACAGGCACTTCATTATATTGAACATATTGCCAACGAGAAGAATGGCAAAGTGAAAAATTGCTGGATGGAGCCTGAATCTTTGAGATCTCTCAGTAAAAAAATTCACAGGTAATAATCTTAAATACATGACTCAATGCTTATTTTTGTAAATTTTAGAAAAATTTCTACTATTTGGATAACTGGTCTAATCTAGCTAATATTTTTTTATGGACGGATTTCAAGACCATAATGATAATTACATTGGTTCAATTTGGCTGGATCTATTACACTGGTGAATCCTAAGGCTTTAGCTCAAACTTTTCACTATTCCTTAAGTAATTAGGATGGATTTAAATTTGATTTCTTATAGAGCCATTTGAAAACCTTCTTTAAATTCTTGCTTAAATCCAAATCCTTCAATTTAAATGAGGTGGACATAGATCACACAGTTTAACTTTGCATTTGACTTTATTTAGGGGCTTCAATGATGCTGTCAACGGTTTCCCTGAAGATGGATGGACTTGTCTGAATGCTGACAGCACTGATGATCTTATTATGTCCATCAAGGCAGTAAAGTGTCCTGGACCTACTCCAACTTATGATAGTGTTCTTTGTATAAAATCTGCATTTTTAATTCAAGTGAGTAACAAATGAATCGCTATGCTAACTTTAGCCTTTAATAGCATGACCAAGATTTTTGGGTCTCCATATATCAGCTTAATTCCTTTTTCATTCTTCTTTTTGGTAACAGAATGTTATTCCTGCGAACATGACGAGGGTTCTGACAGAGCGTCTCTCATCTTGGATCGACTTTGACTTCAGTAAGCATTCTGAATCATATTCGACTGCTGTTTGCTTTGCCTATCCATCCAAGAGTTCCCATAATCTTTCTGAAGATCCTGCGAAGCTCGGCTACACCAATCATAAGAATGAGGTTGGTTGAAAGTAATGATGCACTGCCTCTTTAAATATCAATCTGTAGGAAATTTTACTCATTTGTTACCATTTTCACAAAATTGACTGCTTGATTTTATTATGGGATTTGACAGGCACTCAAAGTAATGCGGTATCGACGCATATTGGATCGCCTATCTGGTGTTTCTTCTATGGATATCTATCACATGCTGGTAAAAAACCTGTCTTCCCTTAATGTTGACAAAAGTGCTGTCAATAGGTCTTTGGCAGTATGTACAATTTTCACTGCAAATACATGTTGAGATGCTGGATACCATCTAAATATAACAGAGGAAATCACTCCCTTGTTTTATCCTTGTTTATATTATTTGGTCTACATCATAATTATAGTCTAGTCCAAATATTGATTTCTAAGATGCTCTCTGAGAATATTGTATTTACAATCTGATGATTGGAAAATTCCACATTTCTGGAATCTGATATTTCTTCGTCTACTATACAGGTAGTTAATGGAATGGAAGACACTGGGTTTGGGCTTACCTCAGAGCTATTATTTTCAGCACCTGACATGGAAAGCAGCCTTGACGATTTTCAATTAACATTCGGATTTCGAGTCATCTTGTTGGGTTCGATTCCAGTTGAGTACCTACATTGTTAGAGTTTGTACAACAATTAAATCCTTTGATCTTACTCAGTATATATCTTATAAACCTGTAAGTTCACATGTATTTATGTTCAGGGTACTGTTCCATCAGCCATTTTGACACAAGAAGGGCCATCTCATCCTATGCGGACCGCAGTATCAAATTATAGCCTACCACCTGCACTATTGACTCTTGCCTTTCAGTTTCCTTTCGAGGGTGATTGTCAGGGAGATCTGATGGACATGGCTCGGAGCTATGTTCGTCATGTTATTTCAAATGTGAAAAGTATTGCTCTGGAATTAAAGCTGTCAGGAACATATCGTGTGAGGAACCTTGCCAGAGGTAATTCAAATGCAACTGCTGTAACTCCAGCATCAACCTTTGCTGAAAACCTCGCCTCCTTGATATGTCGAAGCTATAAGTAAGTAATTTTCTTGATTTATATAATTCCTTGACTATACAATATCTTAATTACTATTTCATTGATCTGCACAACAGCCGACATTTATGCAAAAGTATGAAGTTTAAGGTCATAACCATAGAAGCATCATGATTGTGTCACCACCCCTTATTCAGCACGTTACAAACAATTTGCACTTCCTAATTTTTGAGCTTCTACTCATGGTTGTCTTGTTATTTGGTATATGATTATTATCAAATGAAAATTGAGTCCATTTTACTGAAACAGACGTGGTAAAATGGCTATCCTGCAATATTTATTCTAATTTCAACTATTTAACAATGTTTAGGTAATCTGACACCTTCTGTTTTTTCCACTTCAAACAGATTGACTACAAATATAGATTTGGTCAGGATCAATCCTCCTACCACCATGTTGCAAGCTGTGTATGGCCACCCGTTCTCTATTACATGTTTTACATTCTCGGTATGTTTATATTGCTTCCACCTTCCTGTCATAATGACTATTCATCTTGAGTCTGAACTATTGTGTTAAGAAACTTCTCCTAAACTTTTATTTCGAATATTTACAATTATCTAAATACTTTAGTGTTTATAAAAGATGATCAGATCCTACACTTTTTTTGCGTAAACTTTCAAAGAAAGATCAGAGGATTATAATACTTCCAATCTTAAACGAATTTTTGTTCTTGCAGTCTATCCCTGTCTGCATATATGCCAACCAGCAAGCGCTCATGATGCTAGAGACGGAGACGAACAACTTGCAGATGATCACTGTGGACAATATACTCGGGGTCTCTCATGAAAACTTCAGGCTGCATTCTATCCTCCCACAGATAATGAATCGGGTAAATTATTTTCGAAATGATTACAACAGCCTTAAGACATTTTTATTAATATTGCAATGAAAATGTGAGCAAAATGACAATGGTGCTGTTGTTCCTCAGGGGTATGTTGTTTTTCCACCGGGATATGGTAGAACAGCTACCAATCGTCGGTTCACATACATGAAAGGGATGGTGTGGCAAGTGCGCGGCTTCGATAATTCCATCCATTGCCTTGCTTTGGCATTTTACCGGTGGGTATTGGTCTAAAATGTTCAACTTGAAATTTGTGTATGTGTGTTGAGAGAGTGACTATTTGTTGGTTCAATTCCGTCTTGTTTTTTTTTTTCTTTTTTTTCTTTGTTTTCATGTATTCAAGATTGAACAATTTTTTTTTTAGGCTTGCTTAAGGACAAACAAGTTAAGCTTGGGGATTAATAAAGTATTTATAATTATTATAGTCTCTTGGTCGAGCTACAGATAAACTATTTTTTCTATTTTGTCCATCATATAACAAATTATTTCTTTCTATTTTTAATAAATGTATTTATTTAGATATAATTAACAAATATAAATCAATTTAATTAAATTCATAACCTGAGTATGATTATCTCATGGATCTTTTATTTCTATTTATTTCCTCAATAGATAAAAATTTAATTCTATATTTAAAATACTTATTTTTATAAAAACTAATTTAAGTTAATTAAAAATAAATAAAAATATTTTTTATTTATTTGTATTATATAAAATTTTAATATCTACAAAAAATAATTTATATTGTATATTTTTATTAAGATATTTTATACATAAATTAATTGTATGTGTAACGGTGAATTTGTAAATTTATGTAAAAATTAAAACACTTGTAAATTTATATAAACATTAAGTATTTTGATATTAATTTATGATTATTCTTACGAAAAAATTGCAAAATATATATATATTATTTATGTATACTCAATTATCACTTTCATCTTCTATTTATTTGGTTGGCAAAAATATATTCTCCTTGTTCCTAAAAATGATGTTTTCTGTGACTTACATCATATACAATCTAACTTATCTTTCCATCTTATTAAACTATATATACAATATATGTTGTAATAATGTGTATGTATATTGTATTTTTTTTTAAATATTTATGGAGAATCGATTAAACGGAAAACTAAAGTGAACAAACCCAAATAACAACATGTAGCCGGGAGGTATGAATCCATAAATTGTGGTAAATTCAATTATAAATGATATGACTTTGACTATGATACGTGTTGACTATTTATGTGTCAATATTTGCATTATATTAACATAAAACACCCATACATTTCACAATTTATAAGTCATATAATGATACAACTAATGCATTCATACAACAAAACTATATATTATATAACCCAAAATGTTTTCTTTGTATCATAGTTTGTATTGACGTTTTCTTTATAATGTATTGTGTGTTGATTTTTTTTTCCTCATTTAACAGAGTAATTTCCGCCTAATTATTTACATTGAGAAATTATATATGTTTCAATTTCAATATTTTATCATTATTAAATTATCAATTAAAAATTTCTTAACTAATAAAATTTGATAATGGTTTTGGATTACATGCTGATTTGTTAAATTAATTCAGCATGTGCCGAATTAATACTAACCATTGATTACAGAAGGATAATTTAGTCAATTCAAATATTTATTGTTAATCAATAGTGCTAAGTTAATTCAGTCATGCTGAATTATTGTGTTCAACATAGAATCCAATCTGTTTTATAATAATGTAAAAGATCTAAATACAATAATATTGATTTATTAAATGTTTATATAAATTCAAGTTAAAATCATTAAAATCAAATCAATATATATAATAATTTCAAAGCTCCATTTTATAAAAAGTCTAAAATTAATATTGCATCCCAATTCACATATTTACTTGTTTTAAATAATAAAATAATTTATTTCAAATTTTTTTTACAATTTTATTCTTCTGTTTCTATTAATATAAACACACTAATGTTAATAATGATTAATTAAGTAAGTTTTTAAAAATAGAGTTTGAATTCCGGAAGATTGCTAGCTTATAATTTCAAAAATGCAAATCAATACTATTTAATCTTTTAAATCATACTTATCCGTTCCAAAAAAATAGGGACATTTGTGAGTTTAAAAGTATTTTTTAAAAAGATTAAAATGCCTCGTACTCATGTAATTTTGGAAAAAAACGTGAAGAGTTAGTTAAAAAATAGAAATGAGACTTGGACGATACGCAAGTGGTAATTATTTTGAAATCGAAAAAAAATATAAATTTTAATAAAAAAAAATATATTTTTTTCAAAGATAATCTCTATCGAAACTAAAAATATGAATGACAGACTGACTTATTAGGATACACATCATTTTTTTATTTATTTATTAAAGACTCAACCAACAATACATAATATAAAATTAATTTAACATCACAATCAAACAAACTTTTTGTTTATAGTATTTTATTTTAATCCAAACTTTTCAAGAAATTCCATACAACCCCCGTAATTTTAACAGGGTTTTGATTATGCCTCTTCTTCCCGCTCCTCTGTAATCCCTCGCATAAATAACTATGGTGGAAATCAATTAAGGCTTCTTTGGGGGGATAGATATTTGCCCCATTTGTGGATCGAAACCATCCCTGAGATGGATTCTTTACACTCACCACCTACATTTTGTGGATTGAGCCATTCTTTTGTAAATACATATATATATTCATTTTAATTTTTTGTGTATGAATTTATCTTGATATTGTGTAATTAAATGTACATTTTGGGTTTGAGTAAAGATTAATGTTTAATTTGTGGACAAGGGATACATTTAAGGCTCATTTATTGAATTTTTATCAGCAGCTTAGTGTGGTTAGTTGACAGCTTGATGTTTGTGTTAGTGACTGCAAATCTAGGAGCCACCATTCAAAATTTGGGAGGCCTGGGTGTGTCAGGGAGTCCCTATGCATGTTCTCCTTTAGTATTAGTATATATTGGACTCCATTGTTAATTGTTAGCAGTTATTTGGTCTCTCATACATTTCAAGGTAGATGTATTTGACGTAAGCAGTCTACAGTGAGTTTCAGATTGGTATTTGTGGTAATTTGATACAAATTTCTTTTATGATGTGGGGCTTTTGTACTTCTCCGTAGGATTGATTATCCGTGTTTTGTATGCTTATTCATCAACTGAACATGGCTTGGTCGAATACTGATTTTATATCTTCTTCATGTAAGAAACAAGATATCTTGATGCACATCCATAGACATATAGTCAAGTAATTTATTTGGATATGTTTCTATAGTCTTGTATTATTGTGTCCACGTAATGCAAGCGTAGACTTATAGGATTATGCTGTAAAACATTGGGTTTGTGAAAGCATTCACGAGTTTTGATGTCATGATTCCTGTAATTCAGAGGTGAAGTTTGGTGGATGAAAGTAGAATAAGAAAGTTCCGATCTTTGTAAAATGTTTGAGGTTAAGGCCACATATTTGGTATCCAGCAGATCAAATAATGTTTTCGAAGAGATATTTGACAATCTTGTAAAATTGTAGTATTGCCCGTTGGTGAAATGTTTGATCAAGATTACATTTAGTTTTCTAGAATTCATAGAAAATTGACACCTTTTTGGTCTGGACAAGCTAAAATGCAAACTAAAAGACAACAGCCAGTGGCTTCAGGGACTTAATATGCCGGCAACTTAATTGTTACTTTTGGATATTTGCTGGGTTATTTAAACTGACATCTTGTAACTTATTTATTTCCTATCTGCTTACATGCATTTATAAGTTGTAGCTCACAAACACAATTCTTAGTCCAAAAATCTGGTGTTGAATATACTTATGAGCTCTAAGTTCATGTCCTGGAGTTTTGGTTGATGATGAAAAGAAGTGGAAACACAAGTGGCGGTGAGAGTAGCAAGAGGGAAAATACATCCACTCAGGAGGTTCGGTGATATACCTGATACACAGAAGAGCAAGCTGATGACCTTGAAAAATTTTATACAGAATGCTCGAACCCAAGCAATGCACATCACCTCCAGATTATTCAGTAACAGCCACTTCGGAAGGACATTGACATAAAACAACTGAAAGTTTGGTTTCAAAAGCGCAGGTAAAATATGTACAGCTTTACCTTTTCCTTTCGAGTTAATGTTTTCAACTATGCTTGTGCCTACCATAAATATGCTTGTTTTAATTTTGTTTAGTTTGATAGATTTGAAGATATTATAGTAGTAGCCCTTCCATTTTTTCTGATTTAGGTAAGAATGCCAATGAAATGTATTAAATATTTTAAAGCAGAAATTTACACTTGACATATTATGTTGTTGTGGGCTACTCATTATTCAATTCGGCTATTTTTCCCGGAAAAATCTGCTGCAATAATTAGGGTCTATTTATAGACATGATACAGAAAGGGTAAATTCAAAATTCTAACAATGTAATCTAGTCAATATGCCTAAATAATACCAACCTAATATAATAGATATGTCTACATAATAAAAACTCAATTTAAATAATATTAACCAAAATATATATATATATCTATAATATATGTAACACCTCGCTTCAAACTCAAGTTGGTGTTGTAGAAACCACCTTGAGTTTGGCAAGAGAGACCCAAGGTGGAGTTTTAGTATTGATGGACTTTATAACCGAGCATCAATTATAGACCATTCAAATCGATTTTGGCCAAATTAAGGTTTCTAGTGGCGGATATCCTCTGTCGCAGAAAGCACCAACGATCCTCTATAGCAATGGCGGTGCTAAATTCTAAGAAATTAAAGTTTTAACCAAATTAGGATTTTTAATGGTCACAATTCTTTGTCTCAGAAGCAATCCTCTATCGTTGCAGTGGCGTCAAATTAGAGGTTCTGATGACGGCGATCCTATGGCGCGGAGGCGGCACCGGCGATCCTTTGTCTCAATGGCAGCGTTAAACCCTAGGAATTAAAGCCTAATTGATAGAAACTTCGGATATATAATTGAGACCAAACTACAAACTTATAATCGAATTTGGAATCAATATGGGATTGATAAAAAATTTAAAAACAACTTCATGGATGGGTTGGAAATGTCCCAGTACATTGTCCTAGGAGAATTCTAGTAATTGGACACAGGTAAAATTTCATATGCTTCCGGAGTCCGCTGCAACAAAATTGTTGACCGTGTTGACCATGCGTTGACCAAATGTTGACCGACGCAAATAACTCACATGTGTTGGTTGACGGTGTCATTTGGTGGAAAATGTCATCTTAAAGTCAAGAATACAGTGGCGGTGGGGGCATAGGTCAGATCCATTGGGAGAGTGACAAATAAATGTAATTAGAATGGATTATATGTTTTCGAAGTGACACTGGATCTTAGATTCAAGAAGTAGTTGTCCAAATACATTATAAGTTATAACAATGTACCCATAGAAAATATGTCTATGTACCATGTTATACTTTGGGAGAACTTTTGAGCTGTTTATTAATAATGAAGTTAAGATCTATTTATAGACTTGATACCGAAGGGAAAAACTCGAACAATAGCAATATAATCTAGTATATATACTTAAATATTAACAATCTAATATAATAGATATGAATTGCTTTGCTACAGTATTCGAGATCAAGACACCAGGGAGACTTAAATATGTTTTGGGAATTGAAGTGGCTGATTCTAAAAAAGAAATCTTCATATCTCAACAAAAGTATATTACTGACTTGCTTAAAGAAACAGGTAACACAACCTGCAGACCAGCAAGTACTCTAGTTGACCCAAATATAAAGTTGAGAAGTGCGAAGGAGGATATTTCCGTGGACAAGGAAATGTATCAAAAACTTGTGGGCAGACTTATATACTTATCTCACATTAGACCAGAAATTGCTTTTGCTGTAAGTTTAGTCAGCCAATTTAGGGGTGTATTCAATATAAATTTTGTAGGATTTTGTTGAACTTTCAAAATCTGGGTGTATTCAATCAAGACTTTTAAAAGTCTTTTAAAATCTAGAGGTATTCAATCAACACTTTTAAAAGCCTTTTAAAATCTTGAGGTATTCAACGTAGACTTTTAAAAGTCTTTTAAAATCTTGAGATATTCAACAATCCATAGACTTTGAAAGTCTATGGATTTTAATGGATTTTAATGGATTTTTGTGAAAATTTTATATAGAAAAGAATCTCTCTTTACCGTCACAGGTTTTGATAGATTCTTAGAATTATTATTATTATTATTATTATTATTATTATTATTATTATTGTTGTTGTTGTTGTATATGTGATCAATAATATGATAATATTTATTACTATTATTATAATTTTTAATAAAAATAATAATTTAAAACTAAAATATATTAGCAAATTATTATGAATTTTTTTTAAATATATATTTTTATATTATAAATATAATTTTAAAAAATATTGTTATCACAATAAATATGTCTTACTGTCGTATTTTCTTTTCAATTATCGAATACACTATATTATCATAACGATAATGGTGAAATAGATATTTAAATATATATTTTTTGTTGAACCGTTAATTTATATTTATATTTATTTTTTAAAAATCGTAGATTATTTATTTATTTTAATATAATTTTTTTACATAAAAAGTAAATACGTATATATTATTTATTAATACTTATATATTATTTATTAATATTAAATATTATCTTATTAATAATTATTTATTATATTTATAAAATGTATTGTTTGATATAAATTTATATAATTAATATATATTCATAAAAAAATAATTTTACAATCCTACAAAATCCATATAAATCCATAAAGAATTCAATAGAAATCCATCTAAATCAATTACTAAAATCCATCAAACTCAACATAGACTCTGTGGATTTTTTAAATTCACATAAATCCATAGACTTTTTAAAATTCAAAAAAATCCATTAAAATCCCAATTAAATACACCCCCTTAAACACCAACCAAAGGAAGCACATTTACAAGCTGCTCTTAGAATTGTCTAGTAATTGAAAAGGACCTCTGGAAGAGGGATTTGTTCAAACGAAACAAGAGTGTAAGTCTTAAAGCATATACAGATGCGGACTATGCCGGGTCAGATCAACCACTGGATACTGCACCTTCCTTAGTGGAAACTTAACAACTTGGAAGAGTAAAAAACAAAGTGTAGTAGCTAAATCAATTGCTGAAGCAGAATTTCGAGCAATGGCCCACGAAATATGTGAACTTCTATGGCTGAAGATTACATTGGAAGACTTGAAGATAAGGTGGGATGGAATGATGAGGTTTTATTGTGACAATAAATCTGCAATTAGTATAGGCCACAACTCGGTGCAGCATGATAGAACTAAACATATCGAGGTTGACAAACACTTTATCAAGGAAAAACTAGACAATGGAATGATTTGCACACCATATGTATCCACTCATAATCAATTTTCATACATACTCACCAAAGGGCTAAACAACATTAACGTTGAAGGAATTATATCAAAACTGGGAAAGGAGAACACCTATTCATCAGCTTAAGGGGGAGAGTCAAAACCGTGATTGTATTTGTGTAATTTAGGAAGTTTTATATTTGGTATATTGTATTTCTATAACAGTTGTATGTTTACATTATAGGTTTATGTATTTTAGGATCAATCCCATAATCATAGAGATTTGATTCCTTTGAACTAGCTGTCCTAAAATAGGCTGCAGGCTCATGTATATATAGAGGTCTAATAATCTAATAATAAAAATAAGAAAGAATACTATTTCTTTCAAATTTGAAAAGGAAAAAGATGGATGACCAAGACGAAAATGAACTTCAAAGGGAGTACGGGTTCTAGAATATGCAACGTGGGACTTAGACTCGGTAGGTGTAGGGATATCAAGGATATAGAGCCCCCTGACAAATGTCCACTACCAATAATCCTCTTCGTCGCACGGTCCTGAAACAGAATGATCAGGGAAGAATGAAACACAACAGTTTAAATCACAAGTTAATTTGCTAACATAAATCAAATTAAACGCAAGGCCAGGAATATATAATATGGACAGTAACAGAAGACTCAATGTAGAATGAGATGAATTAACTGAACTATACTGGGACACAGTACTCCATCCATCACCATCTTTTCTGTTCCTCCAAATTCTGATTCCCTATCTCCCATTATATACACACCAAAAATTCGCCAAAATAGACCAAAATCATACCAAACAAACTACCCAAAAACAGAACAAGGCAGAATAGAACAAAACAGGGCAGAACAGACCCGAACAGGGCAGAACAGTCCAGAACACGCCCAAACTGTATCAACCTGGAACTGACTGGCAGCGGCAACTTCGGTGACAAACAGATCAGCCTCCAAAACAGCCTACCCCAAAACCCTAATATTGCTCTGATACCATGTTAACGTAGGTTTATTCACTAACTTTAAAAAATACAGTAAAGTTACATCGATATATATGTGCAGCCCTAATCTATTTTGGGTCAAGACCCACTATATAATTAGATACTAATTAATATATATACATATGTCCAACACTCTATATGTATATAAAACAGTGACTATAACTAATTTATAAGGTTAGTTTTCCCTAAAATTTGAGATAATATCTTTGAGTGCTAACAACATAAATCTTTCCACATTTGCATGTAATCTATTGTGGAACATGTGTGAAATGAATAGATCTGCAAACTTACATAGCTAAGCAGTTTCTCAATTACATTTTATTGGTTTGATCATGAATAAATTTGTTTGCTATATGCTTTTAATTTGAAGATGAGTAATTGAGAATTCAGAATAGCCATTTTACAAAATGATTGAAAATATGATTGGATCATAGTATTCTATTAGAAGAAGATTTGATGGAATCACTACGATCGCTTTTTTGGGAGAAATGAAAAATTATGTGAAATATGTATGCGGCAAATTGGCTGCATTTAGAGAAAGAATAGTGATGGTGTATCTTTATGACTGAAGATGTTACATGGCCACGGTCTCATAAAGATGAAATTATATACATATTTATATGCTATGACTCCATATTATATGTTTTGTATCCAACACAATATATGTAATGAAAGTATTACTTTCATATTCACTCTTCATTAGAGAACAATTTCAGTTAAAATCTATTTTTTAAGATTGATAAGTGAACAATAATGTCTTGATATGGAGTTTTACAATTTATATTACAAACCCATTCACATAAGTTCACCTATGGCACTATACTATGGTGAACTAGAAATTAAATATAATTAAATCCATGGCATATTTGGTCATTTTCTAAGTGGCTGCGTTGGTCAAGAAAATGTTGATCACCTATTCCTTCTATTTTTTGTTTTTGGTTTACTCTATTGGGGCCACTTTCTAGGATTGTGAGCATATCTTGTGTTTGCTGTTCTTTATCTAATTACCCAATGAAACTATCTCCCTAGTTTTAAAACAAATCTTGAGATTAAAGGAGAGATTGTGTAAGGTTATATATGATGGAAGATATTGAAGTCCCAAAAATGGAGTCTTTACTAACAAGGTTGTTAGTCATTCGATATTTCTAATTCTTATTCAAAAACCATATTCAATACGTAATTATCATTCAAAACATCACATCTTTCTATCATTTTACCTCAAAAAACAAAAAAACCAAAAACCTAGTAAAAAATAAAAATAAATGAAAAACACTAAGAAAACCAAAAATATTACATTTTTGTTGATGGAATAAGTTGAGGAATATCGAAATGCTTGAGTTAGGGTGGAGTTTTTATGCCATTAATTTGGCTTAATCAAGCCTGCAAAATTTCCATCCCATTTAAAAATCAAACCATATATGTTTTTGAAGATTTCCTATATTATTTTTTAAAAGCCATGTTCGAAATGTACTCAACAAGAAATAGAAAAAGAGGAATAAAAGAATCTGACATAGTCTTTTTAAAAAATTGTATGGATAATAAACATAAAGAAAATATGTGAGAACTAATAGAGGCTAATTGAATATAAGGGAAAAGAAAAGGATATTTTTTAAGTGTGTTCACTTGGTGTTTTTTCCATGAATTTTATTATCTCTGGAATTTCCTCCAAAAACATCAAATCAATCAATTTTAATCTCACAAATAGCAAAACTTAACACACAAACCAAAATAAGATTAAAAAAAAAAGACAAGTAGTGAAATGGAGTTGCCACAAACACTAACACAACATTCACTATGACATATTATACATTAAAAAATGTTTTGCTTGTTGGAAATATTCGCAAGTAGAAAGTGATATATCTCCCCTTTTAGGGGGTTTGGTCTTCGAATCCCGCCATCATCCAAAAATTTAAAAATTAAGGCTAGGCTTTTGTAAAGATGTAATCCCATTTACAAGTGAGCTTTAGAAGAATAAACTCTTTATATTGAAAATAATTTGTCTCCAATACCAGGTTTAATGACCACTTCAACTATAAGCTTAATTTCTTAAGCTAGTATAGTGATACAAAAAAGAAAAAAAAATAAAATTGTTACATCAATTTTCATTTACAGACATTTCCAACACTGTGAATTTTAAATAATCTATATTTCCTTATTAGCACAAAAATAAACCATTTTAGGGTCATCGTCAACTAATGTAGAAACAATATAAATTTTATGTACTAATAAATATATGACTATATATTCATTTAAATTTTATAAATTTAGGACTATCTGTTCATTTCAATTTTCCGGTGTATGATATTCATAGAAGCAATTACATGCATAAAAAAGTCCTAATTTATATAATAATAATGATAATTCGGTAGCATAAATGAGGACACATCATCATCTGATGCTGTTTTAAAAAAAAAAAATTAATTTTCCACCTAACTCTTACCAAATAAATTGCATTAAACCCACCAAATCTGACAGCACCTGCCTATTTATTACCGCTTGCATTTTTCTAGCAATTTGTTACAATTTTTATTTTCTTGAATGTGACGGCACCTGCATATATATATCCACCTTTCCTTGTATTTTATTTGTGTGAGAACATTACAACACATTTTCTGTTGTTTGATTGTGTGCTTGTCAACCTGTCGCGCTTCATTAAGGTGAGTCAGAGCTCTAAAATTTGTATTGATAAATAAAAAATTAGATGGTGGAAGATAATGGAGTTCTTTATTTTGGAGAAGATTTTCCTTACATCCAAAAGTCAGAAAACAATGTAGTTGTAGCAAAAAAAATAGAGGGATGATTGGGATATTGTTTGCGCATTTATAGATGGAGAAATAGAGGGATGACCGGGAGGTGTTGCGTTGATTATCTGTACATCACTATTCTTTAACTTGTTTGACGTGAAATTGTTTGCGCATTTATAGGATTATTTTTATTGCCTGTATTTGGTTTGATTGATGATGTAAATAATTTACAAATGACCACTAATTTTGAATGTATGCATCTTAGATATGAGTGTTTGAGCATATTTGACTTTATGATTCCTTAAAAATAGCAAAATGATTAAATAATCTTTAGATTTCGAATATGGTTGTGTATATAAGAGAGAGAAAGCCAAAGAAAAGTTCTTTCAGAATGTTGATATCTTTGGTGGTGGTTTTGAAAGGATGTAAAGGAGTCCGAAAACTTGGCCAATCATGAGAAGTTGTTGAGAATGACACAACCTTTTTCATTTTGAGAAGTTCCTTGAAATTATGTTTTCCTAAAATAATAAAAGACTTCCCAAGCACATCATAATATGTATTTGTTTCGCATGAAAGATTGTATTTATGTTTCTATATATATGTGTGTGTGTGTATATATGCCATAATCTAGTAACCTTCTTGCATTCATGGTGTAAACTTTTAAAACATGTTATTTAATTAGTTTGCATGCATGAATAATATTGATGTACTCTCTCTCTCTCTTGTGTATGAGTTTTCTTTCACTGTATACAGTAGTTGAATCCTTATAAGATTGTATGGGTAAAACAATTGTTTTGCAGTTATTGTCTTCAACAAACTTTGAAGTTTGATCTGCCCTGTCTGCCTTAAGCCAATAATCTTCCAATATCTGTCAAGATGGCGAACACAAGGTATATACTGTTGTGTGCAGCTAAATTGAAATCATGCTAGTCATCAGACTGTGCTGCTTACTTTATTTGACATTTCTATCATATAGCCTTTTCTTGCTGGCTGAGGAAACAAAGAGAGAATTCCTCTCTAAAGCTATTGGAGAAGCTATTACCTGGATACCGGTTCCTGCACTGAAGGTTGTCAATATTTCAGGGTTTTAGTTGTTAATTTCAATGCCTGTTGTAGCCTTTTCTGATTCATTCCTCGTTCAAATTTCAGCTTAATAACCCTGGCTCCGCTGGGACTTTCTATGTCTCATCTGCTTCCATTGGCGTAGCAGCAAAAGCATTCATTACAATGCGTTCTGAACCTATTGAGGTATGCACTACTACTAAATATGATACTCTACCTGTGTTGTTTGTATAAGATACATAAGTTCAACTTGAATTGTTTCTTTGTTTTTTTTTTCAGATAGTATAGTTTGCATCACAATTTATCTTAAAATTAAATTTCCTTGCTATTTGTGTAGACAATGGAAATTCTCAAAGACAAGCCATCTTGGTCATCATATTGCCGCAATATGACTGTTATTGACACCTATCAGGTCAATAATGGTGGAAAGATCGAATTTGTCTACACACAGGTAGGTGAAAACTGCAACAATTTTATGCTTCCCTCATATTGATTAAAGTACGGTATGATTTCATCTAACATCTATATCATTTTCCAGTATTATGCTTCTACAACCATGGCTTGTGCTCGAGACTTCTGGACACTTCGATACACTTCTGTATTAGATGATGGCAGCTATGTGGTACAGTTACCTTTGGAATATGAGTAATATCAACTAATTTACTATCTGTCAAATATGTTTCAGTTCCAGAATATACAACTAAATGTGCCCGAGCACCATACTATATCATTATTGGGTTACTTGTGAGGATTAGCTCAACCCTTGTTCCTGTGTTTCTTGTGTTGTATTTTTAAGGTATGTGAAAAATCAATTTCTGACCGTGATGTTTCGCCGACATCACCAACATCACTAGAGTCTGTGAAAGGAAATAAGCTTGCTAGTGGCTTTATGATTTGCCCCATTGAAGGGGGATCAATCATTTATATGGTTGAACATTTGGATATGGAGGTACTGTTGATTTTCATCATATTAAAGCTGTAACATATCAATCTTACTCAAGATGGATAATATGACTTGGAGGCTAAACTTGTTGCAGGCATCTAATGTACCAGTGTTGATAAGGCCCCTTTATGAGTCATCTGAACTTGTGGCCAAGCAGATGATTGCTGCTGTAAGTAAAACCTGATACTTACATTGCTCCAAACATATCCATATCATTCCTTTATATGTTGTATTTTTTAAATTTGATGACATGGAGTCAACTGTTGTCATTATGTCACTTAGAAATATGCCTTACATGCTGTTTTCTGTTTCACTGTGAAGTGATTCAAATTATTATTAATATGGAACTTTGACATAGATCATTTTGTTACAGCTAGGGGATTTTGTCTCCCTTTATTTTGTCACTGAAACAAATATGTACAAAACATATATATATATTTCAAGCAAGCCTACTTCAGTTCTCTCTCTCTCTCTCTCTCACACACACACACATGCGCGCTTGCACATACGCGCCTTGTTTAACCTTTGTGTTGATATTTGAATAAAAATCATTTTGGAACCAAGACCAATGTTGAGCTCAACTTTGGCGATTTAGATATTAGCCTAATCTTTTATTAGCACTTTCCTTGGTTTTCAAATTATATCCTTTACCTGGTTTGGGTACAATAAATAATTGTTTGATGAATCAATTTCTATTACAGAATCTTCAGTGTACAATTTTCTATTGATCCTATGAAATTGACATTAGAAACCATTCTTCATTTGTGCCTGATCTAAAGATTTCCTGTGTTGAGAAACTAACAACTTCCATATTGCCAGTTCAGTATCTCTACTTTCCCATGGCAGCAAATCAGAAAATTTTTCCATGCAACATTCTGCAGTACCTTTAGTTGTCTTTCCAAAAGAATTTTCCTTCATAATGTGGAGAGTATAATGAGCATTTTGCTCAAAAAAGTTTAATTGGTGTTTCTCCTTTTCAGGCACTTCATTATGTTGAACATATTTCCAATGAGAAGAGTGGTAACGTGGAAGATTGCCGTCTGCAGCCTGAACTTTTGAGAACTCACAGTGAAAAAGTTCACAGGTAATAATCTTAAACCCCCGACTCCAAATGCTTATTTTATTAAAATTGTAGACAACTTTCTACTATGTGGATAACTTGGATCATCTGATTAATATTTTCTGAATGGATGGAATTCAAGACAATAATGATTATTTCATTGTTTTTATTTGGCTGGATCTATTGCACTATTGAACCCTAAAGCTTTATCTCAAATTTTGAAATATGATTCAAGAAATTAGGATGGATTCAAATTTTATTTCTTTTAGAGGCATTTGAAATCCTTTATTTAAAATGCTCTATTAAATCCAAATCGTTCAATTAAGTTGTGGTGGGCAGAGGTGACACAGTTTGACCTTGAATTGACTTTATTTAGGAGCTTCAATGATGCTGTCAATGGTTTTCGCGAAGATGGATGGATTACTCTGAATGCTGATGGCACTGATGATCTTATTATGTCCATCAAGGCAGTAAATATTCCCAAAGCTACTGGTCCAGCTTATGATAGTGTTCTTTGTATAAAGTCTGGATTTTTACTTGAGGTGAGTAACAAATGTTTCGCTTATGCTAACTTTAGCCTTTAATAGCATAACCAAGATTTTTGGGTCTCCATTTATCAGCATAAGGCCGCCTTTTTTTTTTTTTTTTTGATAACAGAATGTTATTCCTGTGAACATGACGAGAGCTCTGAAAGAGCGTCTCTCATCTTGGATCGACTTTGACTTCAGTGATCATTCTGAATCATATTCGACTGCTGTCTGCTTCGCCTATCCATCGAAGTGTTCACATAATTTTTCTGAAAAACCTATGATGTTTGGCTACACCAATCATAAGAATGAGGTTGGTTGAATGTAATGATTGCATTGCATCTTTAAATATCACTCTGTATAGAAATTTTAGTCATTTGTTCTCGTTTGCACAAAATTTTCTGCTTAATTGTATTATGGAATTTGACAGGCATTCGAAGTAATGCGGTATCGAGGCATATTGGATCGCCTACCTAGTGTTTCTTCTACAGAGATTTATCACATGCTGGTAAATTAATCCTCTTCTCTGAATGTATACAAAGTGCGATCAATAGGGGGTTGGCAGTATATACCATTTTAACTGCAAATACATGTTGAGATGCCGGATTCCATCTAAATTAACAGAGGATATCACTCCCTCATTTTGTCCTTGTTTATATTATGAAATGATTTGATTTGGTCTACATCATATTTATAGTTTAGTCAAAATATCAATTTCTAAGATGATCTATTTACAAAACTGATTATTGGAAAATTCAACATTTATGGAATCTGATATTTCGTCTACTGTACAGATGATTAATGGAATGGAAGACACTGGGTTTGGGCTTAGCTCGGACCTATTATTTTCAGCACCTGACAGAAAATTGCCTGCTGAATCTTTTCTATTAACATTCGGATTCCGAGTCATATTGTTGGGTTCAATACCAGTTGAGTACCTACATTCTTCGATTTTGTTATCTTTTTATTTAGATCTTAAGTATTGTACAACAATCATTGTATTTGATCTTACCTACTATACATCCTAAAAACTCGTAACTTCAATGTATTAATGCACAGGGTACCGATCCGTCAGTCAATTTGGCACAAGAAGGGACATCTTATGCTATGAGTGAAGTAGCAAATTATGGCCTACCACCTGCGCTAATGACTGTTGCCTTTCAGTTTCCTTATGAAGGAGATTGTCATGAAGATCTAATAGACATGGCTCAAAGCTATGTTCGCCATGTTATTTCAAATGTGAAAAGTATTGCTATGGAAATAATGCTGGCAGGAGCACAGCATGACAGTAACCCTGCTATAGCTAATCCAAATGAAACTGCTGTATCTCCAGCATCAACCTTTGCTGAAAACCTTGCTGCTTTGATATGTCGAAGCTATAAGTAAGTAATTTGCTTGATTTATGTATTGATTCCTCGAATATGATATCTTAATTGTTATTTCATTGTTCTGCACAATAGCTGATATTTATGCAAAAGTATGAGGTATAAGGTCATAACCATAGAAGCACCATTATTGGTTTATGGATTCGATTTGTGTAGCGCCTTATTCAGCATGTTAGAATCTATTTGCACTTCCTGATTTTTGATCTTCTACTCATGGTTTTTATTTGGCATATGAATATTCATAAATGAAAATTGAGTCCATGTTACTGAAACAGGTGTCGTGAAATCGCTATCTGGCAAAATTTACCCTAATTTTATCTATTTTGCAATGTTTCGGCTACCTGAAACTTTTTTTTTTTTCCAATTCAAACAGATTGACTACAAGCCTGGATTTGCTCTGGGTCAATCCTCCCGCCACTTTGTTGCAAGCACTGTATCGCCACCCATTCTCTATCATATGTTTTACATTCTCGGTATGTTTATATCGCTTCCTTAGCTATGGTAACAACAGAATTTTCTGTTCTTTTGCCACGGGTGCATGGGCAATGTCAGAATGACTAATTCAGCTTGAATCTGAAATATTGTGTTAAGAAATTTCTCTTAAAATTAATTTTCGAGTAGTTACAATTATCTGAATCATTTGAATTTATTAAAAAGATATCAGCTCCTACACTTCTTTCTTAAACTTTCAAAGAGACATGGAAGGATTATAATACTTTGATCTTGATAAATTACACGTTTCCTTGTTGCAGTCTATCCCGGTGTGCATATATGCAAACCTACAAGCACTCATGATGCTAGAGACGACGACAAACAACATGCAAATGGTCACTGTGGATAATCTACTCGGGGCCTTTAATGAAGATGACAAGCTGTATACCCTCCTCCCACAGATAATGCAGCGGGTAAATTTATAAATGATTAGAACATCCTTATGTTGTTTTTATTATAATTGCAATATAAATGCGAGTAAGATGACAATGGGTTTGTTGTTATTCCTCAGGGATATGTTGTTTTATCACCGGGATTTGGTAAAACAGCTGCTAATCGTCGGTTTAGATACAGGAAAGGAGTGGTGTGGCAGGTGCGCGGCTACGACAATTCCATCCATTGCCTTGCTATGGCATTTTACCAGTGGGCGTTGGCCTAAAAGGTTCGACTTGAATTGTGTTTGTCTGTGGAGAGAATGACTGTTTGTTGGCTCTATTTCGTCTTGTCTTGTTTGTTTTTCAGTTATGGTCTTGTTGTTTTTCATAATAAAGGTCTTGACGGTTCTAAGTCAAGTCCCAAATTGCTCGGCTACGCGATGCTGCCGAATGCTTTTGTTTGCGACTTCATTTGGTTTGAATAATGAGAAACTACTATTAGGTTGTGTTCTTTTGTAGATTTTATCATATATTTTTACTATTTTAGTTTTTTTTTTATATATATTCCACTACAAATTTATTTTACAATAAAAAATATCGCATTAACCTCTATTTATATTACATCAAATAACTATTTAAATTAAATTTTTTACTATTTAAAAATTTAAACCTAAAAACTAAAACCCACAAACAAACACATCCTAAGTGTTCTTTTATTTAGTATTGTGTTTTGATGTTTTTTCAGTTTTTGAAGTGTTTCGAATATGTTCTTTTCACATGAAATAATTGTTAAATGTGATATTTTTTATTTTAAAAAAATATATATTATATTTTTATTACTAGAAATATAATTAAGAGATAAAAATAAATAAAGAGAATAAAGTCTTGAACTTTTAACTATTTAGTGTTTTTTTTCTTTTCCAAATACATATTACAACACTATTTGATAGATGTATTGTATATTCAAATTTTATAATTAAAAATTCAATTACTATATATTTATATATTATGTAAGTAAATAATAACATTATTTGATATTTCTATTATATATTTATATTTTTAAAATACAATTACAAATTCAATCAATAAATAAATTGAAATATACATTTATATTATTTGATAGTTGTATTATATATATTTAAATTTTAAAAATAAAAAGTCAATTACTATACATTATGTATTAATAAAGTAAATAATAAATTATATTCATATTTATATTATTTGGTAGCTCTATTATATATTTAGATTTTACAAATAATAATATAGTTATCATATATGTACATGTATATATATATATACACACACACGTACATATATGATAATTTGGTAATAAAAAGAATAATAAAACAAATAATTATTCATTCATATTATTTGGTAATTATAGTCGTATTTAAAAGAATAAAAATAAATATCCAATGACCATATATTGAAAATTAATGACAATACATATATTTTTGGTAACTCTAATGCATTTTCATATTTTTAAAATAGCAAGTTCAATTATCATATATTTATAAATGTGGTAATAAAGGCTGTAAATTTATATCATTTGATAATTGTATATGTTATTATTTATTTTTAAAAATATACAAATTCTTGATTACCGTATATTTAAAATGAATAATAAATTAATTCAATACTAATTTATATTATTCGATAATTTTATTATACAATTCGAGTATATTGTTAGACTTTAAAATTCAGCACAATTTCATTGTTTTAATTTGGCACAGTGACTTTTTTAAGCCCCAAATCCAATACCAATTCTTATAAGTTGTAATAGACCAAGTTCCTAGAATATATTCATATTGGAAAATTTGGAATATTTCACAAACTAATTTTCAGATTATTCAATATTTGTATTATGAATTTAAAACCCATGAGATAATCTGAATTGAATACGAGGATTCTCCACAAATTGTTGTCGGCTACTAGATCCAGTGACGACTACCAATTTTTCCTTGGATCGATAGCAGCATTATAAACGCCAATAAAGTGAAGGTTGTCTGATAAAAACAATTTGTACATTCTCACAGCAACTAGGAGGTTCCTCAAATTGTGTTGAGAATGAATAATTAAAAGACTATTAACTATAGTTTATACGTAGTATTAATTTCCTAGGGTAACAGAGAGATATTCAAATAGTAGTTGGATATGTTATGAGGAAGATTACTCTTCCATATCAAAATGGGTACTTTTGCTTAAGGGATGTGTCATTTGTTGGGCTTCTAAAAAGCAAAACCGTATTACCTATTCGATTATGGAATCTGAAATTTATAGCATTAGTCTGGCAAAGAAGTTGAATGACTTCATGATTTAGTTTATGAGATTTCATTGTGGACAAAATCGGTGTCACTTATTTCTATACGTTGTGATAGTGCAACAACGATGGCCAAAGCATATATTCAAATTTATAATGGAAAGTCTAGACACCTAGGTGTTAGACATTGTATGATTCGTGAACTAATCACGAATGGAGTAATTTTAGTGAAATTCGTTCGGTCACAACATAATCTAGCCGACATTTTGACAAAAGGATTGACTAGGGACTTAGTGCACAAGTTATCTATTGGGATGAGTTTAAAGTCCATTTAAATCTGCGAAGGGTGAAACACCCAGTTCTATCCTGATACAACGTTACGAGCTGAATTCAATGTAGAAATATTACATTTAGTAAATTGGAGCCCATAATGTTTATACTTCCCCAGGTGTGCGTTTGGACCTGCAAGAAAGTTAGGTTAAGAATTTATCTCTTAACATTTCCTTTGAAAAGTCGTCGTGCATGGGTGAGACTAAAAAGAGGTACCTATACGAGTATAAGTTATGCCGCTTTAAAAAGGTTGTGAACTTACTTTCGATGTACTCGTGAACGGATAGGAACACATGACTTATAAAGTGTCAAATGAACTTATAAAAATTGTAAATTCGTGTGTACTTACCTTCGTATTTTTAAATGAGTTGAAATGTTCATTTTCTTAAGACGCCTTGATTTTCGAATATTTGAGACGCGTATTTTACAAAATGAAAATTCAATCTTTACGACATTTTCACTTATGCATGGATTTATGAAATTTGGTTATTGTTAATTGGGTTGAGAATCATGCTAAAATGTGGACTATTGTTGGAAATTTATCATAATTCTGATGTATATGTGAATTTAATTTTATATATTTAATATAAAATGACAAGATAAATGAATACGGAGATGAATTAATTGAAAAATAAAATTTTATATACATTATATACAATTTTTGTATTAATTGATATATATAATATATATATATAGGCTCGAGAGATGGAATAGATAGGGCCCCACAAGTTTCGAATTCGCCACTGGGGAATTCACACGAAAGGGAACGAATACACGACTTTTCACACACAAAAAAAAAAAAACCTAATTCAGAAAGACATCTGCAAATTCTAATATCTGCACAGGGTTTGTCTCTAGGATTTAAAACAAAAAAATACCTATAAGAATTAAAAGGCACATTTTCAATTTCAATGGATGCTTCTGTATTATAAGCAGAGTACAAACACAACACAAAAATATATATATATATATATAACACAATAAGAGAAAATAGAATTCTCAAATTTCACATATTTTTTTTACAAATAAAATATTTATTTTTTGGAATGCAGAAATCATTATGCAACAAAATATATTTACATTCCCAATATTCCCAAATTTTCAGCCAAGCTATCAAATCATTATCATTGCACTCTAGTCCCTATCTTTAACAAAATTTTCATTGGGTTTAATATTCAAATAATGTATAATAGAATATTTTGTGAGAATTTTGTACAAAAGAAAAACATATTTAATTTTTTTATTACATATTTTTAAAAAAATACCAACCCAACTTGATCGAGTCATCTAAAGTTTTCGAGCCCAATCCTCACCGATACATCCAATACAAGTCGACTATGACCTGATTTTAAAATTTTATATAAAACTTGTATTTGTTTGTGAAGTTTAAATTTCTATTTTAATATTTATTATTTTTTTCTTCATCCATTGGATATATTAATTTAAATCAAATAATAATTTAAATCAATTATTTATTATTTACAACTCCAAAAATTACATAAAATAAATAATAGCAATTAATAGAAAATTGAGTACTCTCTTAGTCCCTCATGTACCTTTTATTTTGATGGTAATAGACTTGGATTTTAATCCAAGTCTCCCTTTTATTAATTATAAAATATATTAAATAATTTTTAATATTTTATCAAATAGATATAAAAAAATATTTTTATAAAAATTAAAAATATTTTAATATTTATATATAATTATTTTTGTTATAATAAAAAATAAAATAGATAAACTAATAAAATAATTCATCGAGTTGGAAGGGGATATAATATTTAAATGAAAGATAATATAAAAAAATGAAAAATGAAAATATAATTTGATTAAAAATTATGTCAGCTCAATGGAAACGTCGTCGTACTGTCATGTTGACTTTTGTCGGTGTATTTCAACGCAAAAAAAGCTCGTAGGGGATATTTCGTAATCTTCTGTTCCGTTTCCTCAGAACAACAAATATACGTATCGGTAAGTACACAAATCTTGCTATTTATAGTTTTAGTGATTCTTCGCTGCTGTTTGCTTTAACATATATCCACAACAGCGCTGCTCAGGGTTTTTCTGGGTTTTTTTTTTTTACTTTTCCCGCAATTGTGATGTGAAAGTTCTATACAGTTGTTCCAAATCAACAGGTTTCAGTTAATTTGATTCAATTATTCGTTGAAAAAGATGAGACAGAGACCTAAAGGACCTTCTTCAAGGTCAAAGTTATCCTCTTCTTCAAATTCGAAATTGTCAAGTGATGGTGGCGCCGGTGAAAGTAGTGGCAGCCGATTCAATAATGGCCTGGCGGGTAAGAACGTGGCCCTGAAGGCTAGGAGGTCGGCTTATGTGATACTTGCACTGTTTGTGCTGATCATATACGGTTCTTGGGGTGTGTATTATTATCAGTTTGAGAATCTACCTGCACCGCTGACTCTTGATCAGGTGGGTAAGAGGGGCTTTTCTGAGTATGAGGCTATGAAGCATGTTCTAAATTTGACCCAATTGGGGCCCCATCCAGTTGGTTCTGAAGCTCTGGACAAAGCTTTGGAGGTAGGTAATTTATGATAATCTGATTAATGGCTTTTCAATGATATGCATGTATTGTTTGAGTTTCGATGCTAGAGAGTTATGTTACACGGGCATTCATTTAGTTTGTAGCTACTCAGGTTGGTTCTGATGCTCTGGACAAAGCTTTGGAGGTGGTTAATTTTTGGTAATCTGATTAATGGCTTTTCGATGATATGCATGTGTTGATTTTGTTTGGATTTCGATGCTAGAGAGTTATGTTACATGAACATTCATTTAGTTTGTAGCTACTTAGGCTCTTTTACTCACCTAAGGGCAAGCTTGCAAGTATTAAGATGAAATATGGTTCAGCTGTACTTACTGATAAATTTATGTTGCTCTAGTTCTGTTTGCTCTCATGTATGGACTAGACATTCCCTTGAATAAGAACCTGATTAAATTATTGATTGAAAAGTTGCTTTGTGATGTCTGTTTGTTATCGCTTCTTTATTCCTGCAGTATGTGGCTGATGCGTCAGAGTACATAAAGAAAACGTCTCATTGGGATGTTAATGTGGAGGTGGACTTGTTCCATGCACATTCTGGTGCTAACAATCTGGCCGGTGGCCTTTTTAAAGGGAAAAGTCTTGTTTATTCAGATTTAAATCATGTAGTCTTGAGAATCGCTCCCAAACATGTTCCTGAAGCTGTGGAAAATGCAATTCTTGTTTCCTCTCACATTGACACTGTTTTTTCCGGGTATGTTTTCTTTCTGTTTTACTATTCTGTTACTGCAACTCAATATCATGAATGATTTTATTTTGCATTTTCTCATTTAGATTCTTAGCCTGATCGTTCACTCAGCCTTGGAAGAATTATAGTAACTTATCAAGGTCACTATAGAGATATTCTTTTTGGGATAGCCTGGGAACTATCTATTCTTGTAACTAGTTATTTTTCTTGTGTTTGATGATCATAAATTTGTTCTTGCAATGTGTCTGTTATGATAACATCACATAATCATAATCTAACTAGCATTGAAATAATTCATACTACTATTTCTAAATTTCAATGTGTTGCTTCATTACTATATGTTGTTCCATAGTTGTCAAACTCAGACAGCAGTAAATGGTGGTCAATGCCTAAATTGCTATAGTAAGATAGAGGATAACAGGATGACTCCTATTTAAAAACTTAAAATATACATATAAAAATCACTATATATGCACCATCACATTCAAAATATGTATGGAAAAATGCTATAAATTAATTTCATAAATATCATTCCAACTAATATGTTAAGTTTTACACTAAACAAAATAACATGTTAAAATAGAGGTCATAGATAGTTATATACGAAAACACAATTGGATCATTACTACTTTGATGAATAGATAAATAAAGTTGATCAAATTCAAAAACAATTTTCTTCCTCATTTTCACTCTCCTCATTGCATTCTTGATAGATATAAGCCACATCAACCCGATTTCCCCCGCTGCAAAAAGCTGCTACTGCCATGAGTGCAGAAATGCACCGCAATGGAGGGGGGTGGGGGTGGACAATCGCTCTGCTCCGTGCGGCGCAATGTGCACTATTGCTACTTGTGCTTAAAATGCATCTTATGAATTAAGTGAACATTACAGGTTATTATATCATGTAGGAATGAAGGGCCATAAATTCTCACTCATTATCTAAATTCTGGAGTGTAGTTGTGGTGTTCATTTTGCATTCTATCTCCATTTGTTTTCTTTAAACCAAATTTAACATTGAGCTTATACCTAACATGATTTTCAACACATCATATTGGAAAGTTGTGGAGAGATATTTTTGATTTGTTTATCTTATTTTTTGTGGTAAATGATAAACTTTACATGGTAAAGTTCTATTATTTATTACTGTCAATATATCTAGTTCCAATATTTTTGTATTGTGTAGTAACATTGGTAGATTTTGCATGATATAGTAGGCTTGATTGCTTGATTGCAACATTAACTCCCATTATACATGGCTTAGTCATGCCACAGTTCCTCTTAGAATTGAAGAAAGTTGGATCAGTTCATGTAGGAACTAAGTCAGAATCGGAATCACAACCATCAAATTGTGTACGACATTCCGCTTTTCTATCTTAAAAACTGGAACTGGAATTGGTTGTTCAGTACTTCAGTCTGATTCAAGGCGATATATGCCTAATTTCTTTATATATATAATGCATATTAATTCAGTATATAACAATTCCATGAAATTTTCTTTCCTGAGTATGTTATTTAAAAATAAATTAATTATAAACCTGAGAACTGTAAAGCAATTTTCATTAAGCTTGTAAAGAACTAGGAACTGATAGCTATATTTGGATAAAAAAAGAAAAAGAAAAAGGAAACACCGTTTGCTTAAGGTTCTGTCCTGGCTCCACAGAAATGAGGCATTATAATTGTTGGTTGTTAGATATATTATGTATAGAGGCATTTTTGTATTTATAATAACTAAGAGCTTTTTAGGTATTTTGAGAAATAGGTGTATATTATGTAGGGCTGTTGTATAATGTAAATAAGATTGAATATGATTATACAGAACTAACTTCTTCATTGGTTCAGAACTGTGTCCATGGAGGTTGATCATACCTAGACAAATCTACTTTTGACACTTAATTTGCATAAAGGCATTTGAAAGGTGGAGTGGTCGACAATCTCTAGTTTTACATGTGAACTTTCTCAAAACTTTGGCTCTTAATCACATATCGAAGTTTCTGTATGGCATAGGATAATTTAGTTGCTACTAAAATAGGAGAAACAAATGAACTAAAATTTCACCTTCATATGAAGGTTGTCTTGTTTGTTAAGCAAAATGGCTATCTCTATTCTCCCATTTGAGGCAATAACTAATGATCATTAGAAAGAAGCTAGGCAGTTACATATTAAAGCTTTACATTTCCCTTAGTTGCATGGATCCCCAATGTTAGTGTTGACTAATTCTGCTCTACTCTCTGCGATAAGTGGATGGGTCAAAGTAAAAAATATGAACTGTTTCTTTATGGTATTTCTAGAGAAGGAGCTGGTGATTGTAGTTCATGTGTGTCTGTTATGCTGGAACTCGCTCGAGGAGTTTCTCAATGGGCTCATGGATTCAAGAATGCCATTATATTTTTATTTAATACTGGAGAGGAAGAAGGTTTGAATGGAGCTCACAGCTTTATTTCTCAGGTTTGTGATTGGTGGCCTCTTTATGTCGTAGTTTTATATAAATGTAAATCTATATATATGATAGTTTGCTCTATCTATTATAAAAATTCCAAATTTATTGGAACTTAAAAGGAATATTATGTAGATTATTTTAATTATTCTTTTAGTATTGCAGCATCCTTGGTCTGACTCTATACGAATTGCTATTGATCTGGAAGCCATGGGCATTGGAGGCAAATCTAGTATTTTTCAGGTCTGATCTCGTGTTTGATTGCAATCATCTTTATGATCACTGTTTTTACATGTCTAACTTCGTTCAGAATTTTTACTTTCATGCATATGCACAACAAAAATGTATGTATTACATATACGGTAAATTATAAGAATTTCCAATGAAGTTGGCAGGGTCATTTATGCTATAAAAAGCGGGAAATAATGCTTTTCAGTTCAAATGAAATTACCAAATATACATCGTGATGATATATAGGTTTTCTTCATTATTTGTTTCAAATATTTTCATTTATAAGGTGGTGGTTACACAATTTCTCCTTTTCCTCCCTTCTCTTGTATGGAAGGAGCTCCATTTGGGCTTTTTCTATTCAGCACTGATTTCAGCTTTGTAGATCAGGTTATTAGATATATTAATCTTTTGATTGCATCCGACAGGCTGGTCCTGATCCTTGGGCTATTGAAAAGTTTGCTTTGGTAGCAAAATATCCATCTGCTCAAATAATTTCTCAGGTATTTTGATTCTTTCATTTCTGTATATAACCTTAACTGCTGTTTGTCAGAATATTCTTGATATTATTATTATCTATGATTAGGGGACTATCCAATCTAAGATCATTATCATCTTTATATTTAGATTGGTTTAGATGTGATTTCTCATACCAGGTGTACCCCAAGAATTATAAATACTATGTTGAGGAGGCTTGCATCAATCAATCAAGCTTTTTTTCTCATTTAATGTAATATCAGAGCATACCTGCTAGAAACCTAACCTTCCTAATTTTGTAACAACCACAGCATTCAAAATCATTGCTGAAACCCTAGCCTTTGATTCAGCCCTCTTCCACTCCAGTATTAGATATAAATTCTCTCAATGCAATGTGCCCCAAGCATTATAAATCCGATGCTTAGGAGGCTTGAATCAATCAATCATAACTATATTCTTAATTTACACTGCTACTCCTCAGTTTTGGGACTTAAACTCTACATGTTTATGCTTAGGATATCTTCACTTCTGGAGCTATAAAATCTGCAACTGATTTTCAAGTGTACAAGGAGCTTGCGGGACTCTCAGGGCTTGACTTTGCATTTGCTGATAACACTGCGGTGTACCACACCAAGGTAACATTGTTAGAGTATGTGGTACTGATGTTTTTTATATTAGGTCTTTTCAATGTCAATGCACTTATTTGATATGAAGAAAATTTGGTAGTTTGTTTGATGGACAATGAGCTTACCAATGTAATTACATGTTTCCTTGTAGAATGACAAGTTAAGTCTTTTGAAGCCTGGTTCTCTCCAACATCTTGGAGAAAACATGCTTGCTTTCTTGTTTCATTCTGCCACATCCCCCAGCCTTCCTAAAGGAAATGATATGGAATCAAATATCAAGTCCAACCAGGACACGGCCATATATTTTGATATTTTGGTATTTAACAAGCTTCTTTCAACTATTTTCAATTTTGTACTTTCTTTATTTATACAGTTTCTCATCTTGTTTTCTATGTTTCTTAAATCATTTACTGATCTTATGCTCATTCCAATCTCAGGGAACTTATAAAGTCACATTTCGTCAACAAATAGCCAATATGCTTTACAATTCTGTAATACTGCAATCTCTTTTGATATGGATTACATCAGTGGTGATGGGTGGTTTTTCAGCAGCTTTATCACTGGCCTTATCTTGTTTCAGTATTGTACTTATGTGGATATGCTCCGTTAGTTTTGCCTCTGTTGTGGCTCTTGTCATACCCCTTGTAACTTATTCACCAGTGCCATACATCTCTAGCCCATGGTTGGTAGCTGGTCTTTTTGGTGCACCTGCTCTTCTGGGGGCATTTCTTGGTCAACATGTGGGTTATCGTTTGCTTGTATTATATTTATCCCGTACATCTGGTGGAAGGAGGGGTCTACCTGCTAACTTACAAGCCAATGTGGCTAAATTAGATGCTGAACGATGGCTCTATAAATCAGGTTTACTACAATGGCTTGTTCTGCTGGTGGTTGGAAATTATTACAAGATTGGTTCTACTTATTTAGCTCTTGCGTGGTTAATGTCACCAGCTTTTGCATGTAAGTTATATTCACTGCCTGAAACAAGATCCACTAATAGACTATACAAAATAGATTAACTGGTGCTGTAAGGAAATCAGAGGAAATGTTTGATGAATTAGTAACCAGTATTTGATTAAGGAAGTGAAAGAATAAACCCTGTAAATCCCATACTGACTCATAATAACTAAACATACCCTTATGTACCAAAGATTTCTAACATTTTTTATTTATTTACTTTTATTTGCCCAATCTAACTTTATCTTGTCGATGGCCAGATGGTCTGCTTGAAGCAACACTGTCACCTGTAAGATTGCCTAGGCCACTCAAAATAGCAACACTGCTAATCGGCTTGTTTGTTCCCTTTCTACTGACATCTGGATTGGTTATTAGATTGACAGCTACTATAATTGGAACTAGTGTGCGCTTTGTGAGGTACTGCCACGTTCATGCATTGCCTTCATCTTTTCTATTTTTTTCTTCTCAGATCATATGACATATGGATTAGTGTTCTAAACTGCAGTTATAAAGTTGTATTCTTAGGATCCATGACAAATACCTAAAAATTGATGAATGGGCACAATTAACTTTAAAGCTTCCAAGGCACCTTCGTGCATGATACATCTGCACTTACTAATATTATTTTTGTTTAATACAATTTAGTATATTGTATAAAGTGAAGATAATAAAAACCAAGAAATTGATGTGGTTAGATTTTTTGTTTACATCTGTGGAGAAAAGCAAGGGCTTGCAAACTTTTTTATTTCCCCTTGATTTAGGATTAAAATGATTTCCTACTTATACAAGTGCATGCTGAGATACTGAATGGTGAAAATCAAGCCCATGTTAAAACTTGTAAAGGTAAACATTAAATAGAAAAAGAAAAATAATACTCCTTCCGTCCCACTTCTTATGTCCACGTTTCTATTTTTGTTCGTCCCACTTATTTTGTCACTTTTCTTTTTTGGAAAAGAATAATACACTTTAATCTTATTTTAAAAAATTTAATTTATAATTTTTTTAATTTTAATTATACTAATCAATTATCTTAATCTTAATCTATAATTATTTTATTATACGATAATTATTTTCACTAATACATTTTTAATTATTTACTAATTATACCCCTCCTAAATTCTAGTGTCTACGGTAAACCGGACAAAATATCAGGACGGAGGGAGTAATAAATTAAGTAAATCAGTTACACTGTTTTGTTTTTGTTTTCCCTTAATAATATTGAAGGTTTTGGTTTTCACCATTTCCTTGTCAAGTTAGCATGAAATACTAATAATGCTTAAGTTAAACAGTCTTGGATGCCTTTCAGTATGTTATTGATTATCCATGGCGAGAAGAAATGGTTAGATAGATCCATTATGAACTGTAAGCTGGAATAACTGCAACCACTGTGATAACACATAACCAGAATAATGCCGGAAGTAAGCTTTGCTATATGAAGAAGAGCATGAAGCATTGAAGCATGATTAACATAAGGTTTGGTGCATTAAAACCTGAGAAAATGAAGACAGGAAATCGAGAATATAGTTGGCTGAACTTATTGGCCTACATTAATTGAAAAGTTCCAAAAGTAGATGCAAAAAATGCCTAACTAAAGAAATGGATGTTCCTAAAAGGAGATGGAAAATGGAAGTAATCTCTCGAGTTTAAATTATGTTGGATCAATTGTATAGTGGGGATGAAATAAGAATATGATATTGCCTTGTGAGTGTAGCTAAAAACCAATTGTTATTCTTGTGAATAGGATCCTATTTAGATCTTTACTGTAGAAAAGAAGCCATGTTGAAACCTCCGGTGTTACTTTTCTCTTAAAGAGAATTAATTATCCGTTAATGGGTTATAAAAATCTACATCGCTTGCCTACCAGCACGGTTGATTATTGACTGTGGCAGGTAGTTATGTGTGATATTGAATAACTGCATTTCTGTTGGGGGCAGGCTTTCTGCATCAGTAATGTATATGAACACATGTCCCTCTTAATTGCACATATTTTAGATTCAAGGCAATGTAGATCACACCATGATTTTCTTACCAAATTCTCCTTCAATGGAAGCATTTATGTTTTTTTTCTCCTACAACTTATGAGTTAGTAAACTGGATTATGTTTGCAGGAATCCTGGTACCACTCCTGAATGGTTGCAAAACGTAATAGTTGCTATGTTCATTGCTGCTGCTGTGTGTTTAACACTGGTGTATCTGCTGTCATATATTCACTTATCAGGTTTGCTCAAAATATTTCAGTTTTTCCCCATGTTTCTTGTTTTTGTTTTGCTGCTGCTGTGCTGCACCAATTTGATGAAGCTAAAATTCACTTTTTGAGGTGTTATGGTGTCAGAATATTTTGTCTTGATACCACTAAAATAGTTATGTTTGACCCAGGGCACGGCTTAGGAGCCCTGCTTGTGTGGAATATTATGTTGCATATTATGTTGACAAAAAACAGATAACATCTGGTGAGGCATACAAGGAAGCTGCCTGAGTTCCTAGGTAAAAGGTGCAGTGTGTGCAGCTTTTGAAGTGATGCAATATAAACCTTACAGCCATTGCAACATTTTTTCATTTTTTTTTCAAAATTTCAATTCCATTCATCCATATTTGGGATAGAGAGGCAAGGTGAAAAGGTCTGGGCTTAGTTTCAGTCTTGTTTTTAGTTGACTGCTACTGAGCATAGCGGCATTGGATGGAAGCTACAAAGGGCAGGTGACAGGTCTTTTGAGCAGTGGTGCTATGGGTAATGGTTTTTGTTGTCTGTCGGTGCCTGTGATGTGCAGCTTAGGCATATGAGGATCTCTAGCCTCTCTCTCTCTCTCTCTCTCTCTCTCTTTTAATATTTTAACAATTCAATTATCTTTTTTGTCTGAATGTAATGGTTTTGGTTTTGTGCAACTGTGCTTTGGTGGTTCTGCAGCTTAGGCATATCGGAATCTCTAGCGTTACTCTTGTTTCAAACTATTTTTATATTCAATCATTATCTTTTGCCTCAAATGTGATTCTTATTGCTTCATTTAAACCTAACATGCGTGCTCTCTATATTATGTCTTTATAATGACGAAGATGATTATGTCTTTTCAAACAAGCAGAGTTTAGAAACTGATCATATTTTTGTTTATCTTAAAAGTTTCTTCTTGATTGATTTGGATGAAATACTTAAATTATATACCCTATTTGGTTGTTTATACAATTGGTCTGCTGTAGTTTGATACGGGTGTGATGTTATAGAGCATTTGTGCTGTCCTATGCCATTTAGAAATGTCCTGGTGTTTTTGTTTTAGTATCCTATAAAACCTGTTGTGTTCTTTCCTTAGGTGCAAAAGTACCAGTTATCATCACTACAGGGATTCTGTTTGCACTTTCTCTTGCTGTAGTCTGGAGTGGGGTTGTTCCACCATTTACAGAAGATACTGCAAGGGCTGTAAATGTAAGTAACCTGTTCCTAGTATTTTACGTTCTTATCTATTATTTACTTGTACGACTGAAAATCTACCTAAAACTGCTATTAATATAGTTAAATATGAATAAAAAATACTCTTACTTTGTTGCATCTGCCATAAATTTTTAGAAATTGCTTAAAGATGATATCTCATATTTCCATATGTGAAAAGAAGTATAAATACAAACTTTTCTCATGACCGGGGAGCATTGCACTTATGATGGTTTCCTATGTTCCAAAAGGACCAAAATGTTTACAACTGGATGTCCTTAAAAAGAAGCAACTTATTTTTCCATGCCAATTTGAACAGCACGGCACAGCACAGCCTTTTTCTCCCTGCATATTCTCCAGTGGGAATACTGAATTTCATGAGATTAAGATTTATAAGAAATAGAGTAATTGCTAAGTTATTATCCTAAATGTTCCATCTTTGGATTTTAATTTATAGTTCCAGTAAACTGCTAAGTTATTTTGCCGGTAGGAATAGTATGCTGAGAAACTTATCTCCAAATGTTCATTGCTGAGTTTCTTGTCCAGAGGCCAATTCCCAATTCTCATTTAGAGTTCCAGTTTCCCTTTAACCACGTCAATGTCTGTGTTATGGTCCTTCCACCATAGCCCAAGTAACCATTAGGTGATGCTATCTTGATGAGTAGAGTTTAAAGGAACATAGGATATTTCTAACAATTCTTATGGTTCACAGGCTGTGCATGTTGTGGATGCCACTGGGATGCATGACCTCAGTGGTGGAAAGCATGAACCTACCTCATACATATCTTTGTTCTCAACTACTCCTGGAATCTTGGAGAAGGAAACCAATATTATTGGCGAAGAATTTGTATGTGGAAGGGATCGATATTTAGATTTTGTTACTTTTTATGTGAACTACAGTTGTTGGACAGATAAGAGTGCTGAAACTGGCTGGAAAAAATCGGACATTCCAATAATTCATGTGGAGAAGGATACAAAGGGAGAGATGCGAGAAACTCAAGTACTAATTGACACTAGAGTTTCTACTCGCTGGTCCCTTGGAATCAATATGAAGGAGATTGAAGATTTCCAGATGGAAGGTATGTCTACATTCTTCCTCCACCGTGCACATGCATTATGTTTCTTCATTTTTTTTATTTCCATACACTATGACAAGTTTTAATTGGATTTAAGACCTTATCATGTTCTATCTTATTGTAATAGTGTATTTTCTCATTACCAAAAAGATAATTACATTATCACAGTATGTGGCAAGTGTCTTACAGCAGGTGTACAATAGTTCTTCCATTGAGTTTTCAACAACCACTTACTCATTCTATTACCCGTAAAACTTCACATACTTTTTCAGTAGACTTTGCTACCATAAATGATTTATTACATGACCAAGTGACAAGCATACCTTCAAGCTATGTGTTCTACGCTTTTCTCTGATCCTTTAAATCAAAGTAGTCAGCGATCATGTGGGCTCCACATCTGAGATGCTCGGTATCATGATTAGGCCTTCTCTTAATCTATTTATGTTTCTTATTAGTATTTTAAGAGAATCCTAATTTATGAATAGATCTAGAATTAAATAATAATTTTACCGAGGATCCCTATGGAAAACAAACAAAACTCAAACTGTGATCTCATCTCATTGTGGCTCACAAGTTTCTCCAACAAAGAGAATTAATTTTTAAAGTGTAGTTGGTATGCAAGTTATCCATGATTAACAGCAATGAATATAGAATCCTAGTGGATTATAGACGAGCTAATTGTGAGAATATCTCATTTTAGCTAGCACTTATCTGCATATGCTTTGGTAAAACCCTTCAGAATCGGACACATTTTGCGTGGACATACTTAAGCAATATACAAACAAACAATCAACCAATAAGCCTTTTCCCTATATTCCTTTTGTTCAAATTGAAATTATAATGTTGTTAGAAATTAGTTATGGTTTATGAAATCCACCCTTTTGAGGAGTATCCAATAGTTAATAGTAAATTAGTACATGATTTATAAAAAAAAACAGTTGATTATTAAAATTACTAACAACACAACCTGTGTCGAAAGCATGAGCTTTTTTTTTTTTTTTTTTTCTTCCTATCTGTTTGGCGCAAGTGTAATTTTGAAATTTTGTTGTGAATATTTAAAACTTTAGTTGTGTATGAACTTCTCCTTGGAGAATATAGGTTTTCGCATGGGCTGTTTGTAATATCATTGCAAGCATTTTTAACTTAAATCCTAAATCTTACATTTCTCGTGGCATTTATGCAATGAGGAGGAAACACTTTTGCATCAAGTGGATTAAGTCGTATACTTTCAATGGTACAATAATAAATGCTTATTTCGCTTACAAGTTGTGAATCTGTGGTTGGTTTTGCTTATTTTCTTATGGTACATAAAACTGAATTGCAGTTTGAATTGCTAATACTTGTTTTGGTCCACAGATGCTGATGGATCAGAGGAATTGATTCCACAGGGTGAAAAGAGCAGTGTCGATGGATGGCATACCATTCAGTTTGCAGGTGGTAAGAAATCGCCGACCAAGTTTAAATTCTCCCTGTTCTGGTTCAAAAACAGTACCCAGACAACACCAAACAATCTTCTTCTGAGACTTAGAACGGATGTCGACAGAATAACACCTCCCATGAGAAGTGTTCTTGAGAAGCTCCCTGCATGGTGTTCCCTCTTCGGAAAGTCCACATCTCCCTACACATTAACATTTTTGATGAGTTTACCGATCTCTATCTAAGCCTACCAAGTTCGACCTTATTCTTGTGGAAGCGCTCGTTGAATAAAAAATAGTTGTGTTATTATTTATCTGCGATGATTCAATGTTTTTTGGGATAGTTGTGTTATTATTTATCTGCAATGATTCAATGTTTTTTGGGACAGGCAGTACGAACATAGTTATTTATGATGCGAAGAAATTGCGTCTTGACGAAATTTTTGACATGAAATTTAACAGATGAGATGCTTTACATGTAGTCCATGGGAGTTTATAATAAATTAGCATAGCTATTCATTTTATTTTATTAGCATCTAAACTGCATAATCTATCACTGCAATTTCTACATTTTATCATCAACACAACACAACTAGTTTTTGGTCCTTTTATCATTTTCAATTATCATTTTATCATCAACACAACACAATTTCTAATGATCCTATTTACTTTTTGGGCAGTAGGCGAAAAAGGTAAATATGAAGTTTAGAACCGGACAGAGATAGTATTATTTTTCTTATAAAACACATCATATCAAAGTACTATTTATAAAAAAAATTTAAATCTAACATTTCATTTCAAATTAATTTCAAATTATAAATAAACAATATATTGTTAAAGCTATTAGGCTTGGCTCATCAAGCTAGAAATAGAAATAAATACATATTAGACTGGACTTGTTTACACCCCTAAACACAACTCTAAAACAAATATGTTCTGAGGTAAGGAGTAAGAAAATATGGAACCAATTCATTACCTTAGAAAATCCCCACAAGGATGAATCAACTGCAAAAATAATTTCACATGAAATATGGAAATGAAATGAATTGACCAAAAAAAAACACATAATTTAAGATGTTCTGAGGTAAGTAGTAAGAGAATATGGAACTAATTCATTACCTTAGAAAATCCCTACAAGGAAGAATCAACTGCAAAAAAAATTTCACATGAAATATGGAAATGAAATGAATTGACCAGAAAAAAAAACAACACATAGTGTAAGAAGCTCTTGACCTCTGTTTCAACACTTACTCCTAACCCCTAAAACTATCTTTTATCACTAATCTTCCTACACTCTATTCTTTCCTCTGAATCTTCTCTCTCCGCTACCTTAATTAATACTCCGGTGAATCGCTCCTACCGCCGCCGGACAACCTTAGGATGAAGAAATCGAATAGCCTGCAAGAATATAATAAGATAGTACGTCGACGCCACACACACATATATATATATATAGTGAGCGAGACTATTCATTTGAGACCAATTCGGGCTTTTCCGTGATGTTTCTCATTTCGAGAACTTTCTTGTGGGAGTTTGAGTGGACGGAGGGGACAAAAGTCGGACTTGCGGCCGGTCGGTACTCAGGAAAGAGTCGTCCGGATTTGTAGCGAACTCCACAAGCATTGCAAAGTGTTTTCGGGCCCATAGGACCAGCTCTCCATTGGGGAGTCTTTGTTATCTCACAATGCAGACATTTGCGCACAGGAGGAGGCGGGTTCTGAAGATCCTCCTCTTCCGAGCTCACCTTCATTTTCTCTATATTCATCGTTCCAACTCCCGGTGTGCTCCCAATCTTCTTCTTCTTCTTTTTCTTCTTGTTCTTCAGACACGATGACTCACCAAAATTCTCGGAGATCTCAGAGGACGATGTAAGAATCTGCAGAGAATCTATGAATGGCTGAATCAGTGGCCTTGGGTTAAAAGTCGTCGGGCGGGGTCGCTTGCTCCGAGCTCGCTGGGGCCCGCGATGAGCTGCGGCGATCTTTTCCGCCGAGCAAGAGCTGCTGGTGCTGCTGCTTTCTAGGACAGAGACGGGGCTCGAGGTTTGGAATTGGCTATGTAAAGGCTCGATGTTGGTGCTCGAAATGTCCTGTCCGATGGTCAGCCCTCCGCCGGAGTATGAGTCCTCCACAAACGTCGAAAGCCACTCCAGCTCGGCGACATCCTCGTACTATGCAAGAGAAGAAAAAACAAACATACGACAGAAATCAGGCCATTGTCATAACGTGAAAAGAAAGAGATTTGAATCAATCCACCGAATGGAATAGTATATTTTTAACTGTACAATAGTGCGATATTGTCTGTGCCAAAATCTACTTTTGACTTTCCCAAAAGACTTCGTACTACGTAATTTTTCTGATGTGAAATCTGAGTTTTGTTCTGTTTCTTTTATTTGCCCAAAAAGACTCGTACAACGTAATTTTTCAGACGTAAAACTTGAGTATGTTCTGTTTCTTTTATTTGCCTAAAAAGACTCGTACTAAGTAATTTTTCAGACGTGAAACTTGAGTTTGTTCTGTTTCTTTTATTTGCCAAAAAAGACTCGTACTAAGTAATTTTTCAGACGTGAAACTTTGAGTTCTTTTTTTTTATTTGCCCAAAAAGATTCGTACTTATTGAATATATTTCACATTGGAAAAATGTGAGATCTCCCCTTGGCTTATAAGGGTGAAAGATCACTCCACCTATCACCAATTGGTTTTAGGTTGAAAGTCTGGATCCCTTCTTAACAGTATTACGTAGAGTTAGATATTATCTTATAATTAATGATATTTTTCATTAATTTTTTTCGATGTACAATTTAAATTTGTTTTTTCTAATATGTCAAAAATCATATATAGCTTTTATCATCAAAGGAACTCGCTACCTGACCATCGACTTAAGCTGACCATCGACTTAAGGTAGGAGGACTTTGGGATTTTCGCAACCATCCATTAACTAACTCTTTCTAATTTGACTATCATACCAATTTGTTGTAAATTGGATTAACTTTTGCTAGTATAAATTTGCTTTTGAATTTCACCAAAAAATTTGGTACTATTATGTAGAGTTAAATATTATTTTACAACCAATAATATTTTTCTTTTATTTTTCGGACATGCAACTAAGCTTGGTTCTTTGTTTTTTCTCAAAATTTTATAAGATTTTAAAATTATTTTAGTAAAGTAAAGTATGCTAAATGGATATTAATAGTGTTATCTCTAGTTATAAATATTACTGGCTAAATATTAATAATGTATTATTTGTAGTATTGTCAAAATTTTAAATTATTTTAACCAAAAAAAATATTGAATGAATGTTAATTATATATATTTTTAAGTAAATATTAATGATGTGTTGTGTGTGTATATATATATATATAACATAAGGCTGTCTAAATAAAAACTTAATTATGTTACCAAAAGTGTTAAATGAATGTTAATTCTGTCGGCTATATGTATTTATATATAGTATTTACTAAATATTAATCTGCTTTGTTCATTTGTATTGACGTACTTTTATGGTTTTTTTTGGAATATTTTGAAGAACATATTATCATCTTTTGAAAATATAGCTTTTAATCCTTTCAAAATTATTTATATGTAGGTCATTCGGCTATGTATGACATTGAACTTAGCTTTTCAAAATCTGTTCTTTCCATTATTTAATATTATATATATATATATATATTATTTATAGTAAAGCTACAACTTTGTCTTGAATTAAATTGTCTATTTAACCTTAAATAAACATGGTACCTGTTTCGAAATAAACTTGTGCAGCTTAAATAAAGTTTAAAAAGTCCAGATTTCTTTCCGTCCAAATACTACCTATCTAATATAATAAATATTTTTCTAATTTACAATATATTGTCATTATTTTCGTATTACACAATAATAATAAAGGCAATTTTGTTTTTTCACTGCAATCCAATATAATACTAATATTAAAAAATCCACGTACAAAAAGCAAACATTAATTGAAACAGAGGGAGTATAACTTTTAGCACAATAGCCCAAAAACAAAAAACAAAAAGAACTTGAAATTCAAAAAACATTCCCAACAACATGGGGATTGAATGGACCACCTAACCAACAAGTTGAGTATTGTAATTGCCGTCATTTAGGTTGTGTTTTTTTGAGAGTTTTAACCTCATTTTTATTATTCAAAATTCTTTTTTTCTTTCAAAAAATATCAAATCAAATAATTATTGTAAACATATATTTACATCACATCGATCAAACAACTATTCAAATTCAACTTTTTACGATTCAAAAAATCCAAACCAAGAAACCCAAGCCCACAAACAAACACACCTAAGTATTATCCTATTTATCATTACCAAATCCTTTTCCTTAGGAGCTGAAGAATTTTCAGAATTCCAAGAATGACAAACCATTTCTTAAAACTCAAAACTAAACAAATAAGGATGAATTATGTGTTTATGAATGATATTGTTGACATATTTTAGATATTTAATTTTTAGATTTAGTTGATTTATATTTAGAATTTGATCTTATCCATACATTAGATTACTTATATTTGAATCTATCGGGTCGATTTTATATTGCCTGTGTACAGGCTACTTATTTATTTTGATCATTAATAAGACAAATCTCATTATTTCTAACAGATATAAATTAGCAACTGACCGGGACTGAGAATTCGAGGTCATTGTCATGGGAGATGAGAAGAGGTTCCTCATTAGTACTCCACTGCAGGGTGGGGATATCATCATCTTTGTGGCTCTCATCGGAGTTTGCTAAATGGCCATTACAGTCGAGAGGGAATTCGATGATGAAGTCGTCAATTTGATCGTATAACTGATCACTCTCATCCATCAAATTCTGGACACAATTACAATTACAACAGAAAATGAATGAAAAAAAAACAACTAAAAATAAAAGAGGAAAGAACATACAAAAGTTGATCAATTATACATGGTGTTGCTGGACAGCTGCTCAAAGGAATATTACTAGTAGTATTTATTAGGTAAAACAATTTATGGGGTGGGGTGGGGTGGGGTGGATTCTTGATTTGTTCCCAAGAATTTGTGCAAAAGAATGCAGCAAGCAAGTGGACGAGCTGAGTAGTACTTGAGTTGTGTCCGAACAAGACATCAAAATAGAGAGAACAAAGCATAATATACAATCGACTATATATATATATATATATATACATACCCCTCCCTTTCTTCTCAATCTTCTCAAACCCTTCAGCACTCTTAAATTAATTCTTCCTGAAATGACAGTCAAAGAAAAAAAAAAAGGGTAAATTGTGCATTCTGAGACAAATTAAGACAATGAATAAATGACTGAATGATTTGGTAAAAACACAAGGAAATTAAATGACAGTGAGAGAAGAAAGAGTGGCCAAGTAACCTGCGATTTATTTTTGCTTCAGAAAATCAAATCAAAAGAAGAAGAAGAAAGAGAATACAGAAAGAAAGAAAATTGGGGAATGAGTGAGTGAGTGAGAATGAAGTAAGAATGCAGAGAGAGAGCTAAAAAAGAAGTATGGTATCGGTAGGTGAAGGAGGGAGCGTGGGTGGGTGGGTGGGTGTGGTTTCATTGCAAGCTGTCTTAATTCCGACACTCTTTATTTTCAAGCCTGCGTTTTCTTCTTCTAACCTTTTTCTTTGGTTTAGATTTTGGTTCTATTCCTTTCTCAACTCTATATTATTAAAAGAAGGTTAAATTGTACAAAAATTTATATGTGATTTCGTGAAATTGTGCCAAATTCTTTGCGTCAAATTTTTTTGTGATTTTATAAATTCTGCGTCTAACTTCTCGGTGTTAAGAAACGGTATTTGACCTAAATTAGAACGAGGTTAGACGCAGAGTTTATGAATCCGAGTTTGACGCAGTTTTAGAAGTACGAAAATTTGGTCGCAATTTCGTGAAATCACATGTGAATTTTGTACAATTTAACTTTAAAAAGTATAAAATTAAATTTATAATTTTTATATTATATTAAAAATTAATTTTTTATTTAAAATATCGAATCAAATTATATATATTATACCAAATAAATATTCGAATTAAAAAAATTTAGATTTCATAAATTTCTAATTCAATTCTAAAATCCACAAACAAATGCACATCCTTTACAAAAGTTTGTTTGTTGGATTAAGAATTTCATATTAAAAAAATTGAGAATGCTAACATTAAAATAATTATTTGATATTATATAAATACTTAATAATAAGATATTTTTAGAGTAAAATTAATTTTAATACTCCTTCAATCTCAATTAAATATAGGGAATGTAGATATAGTATAATGGCCAAGCCTTCAACCCTTAATTTTTAGGTCGCCATTTTTATTCATGGTGTGGGTTTCCACAACCTCGGATTTGTATCAATTTCTTTTTTTTTTTTTTTTTTTTTTTTGTTTCGCTAAAATATATTTATTTTTTATTATAGTAAAAATAATTTTTATATATAAGTAATTTATATATAAATATTAAAATACCTATAATTTTTACAAACCTATTAATATTCTTTGTACTTGTAAAAATAAAAATATCAAAATTATTTTACATAATTTATTTACTAATGAAATACTACTCTCTTCGTCTCATAACAAAGTATCCATTTTTTTATTTTAATCCGTCCTATTCATTTCATTTTTTAGTAACTCTACTATGTACCTAACATTACAAATACTCTTACAACTTACAATATATTACACAAATGTCATTACCTTTATATCACACATACTAATAAGGTTATTTTAGTCATTTCTACTTTATTCCTGCTATATCCCAATATAATACTAATATTTTTAAAACTACGGCAAAAGTTTGATGTTATTTTACATATTTTCACTAATTTAAAATTGTGTGTGAAATATTTTATTGTAGGGTTTGGATTATTAAATCAGCACACATGTTGATTAATGCAAAAAAATAATTATATATTAATATATTTTATAAATTATATAATTAATATAATTATATATAATAAATTTTATCTAAGAAATCAGCATCCCATCTATTCACAAAAATCAATAATTTAATATAAAATAATGTATTTTATATTATTAATATACAATTTTCGTTTCTAATATAAAAACTATATCTATTCAAAAACGGAACAAACCCAATATTAAAATAATATTTATAATATTATCTAATTTTTATTGCTATGTTTAGTTCCAATCCTTAATACGCGGTTCATTAATTTTTTTTTTTAAAAAAATAATTCTTATTAACTAACTAACTCAAAGTTTAAGATGGAAATTAAATTATTAAAATGTTTAATAAATTTAGGGTGTGTTTGTTTGGGGGCTTGCATTTTGAGTTGGAATTTGAATAGTAAAAATTTTGAATTTAAATAGTTGTACGATGTGATATAAATAGGTGTTGATGTGATGTTTTGAATATAAAATTTTTTTTAGTATAATATAAAAAAATGAAAAATAGATGTTTAATTTGATGTTTATTTTTGGAAAAAAAATGAGATGAATAGTAAATTTAAAATCCAATCCTCAAAACAAACAAACGAGGAACTCAAGTTTAACAAATGGCATGGATTTGCTTGGTTTTAGTTTGAAATTGAATTTTTAATTTAAATTTTTGTTTGATTGATATTTTAATAATAATAATAATAATAACAATAATAATAATAATAATAATATATTTTTGTTAATTTAAAATGATAATCAAATATATTTCACTTTATTTCTCTTTAGAATATTAGTGCAAATTAAAATTCAATTTGTACACATCTCAAATTTGAACCAAAAAAACTAGTTCATCATATATATAACACATAATTTTTTATTATTTAATTTATATTTAATACTAATTTGGTATTAAGGATATATCATCAATTTTCATAAAATAGTACATCCAACAAAATACATATAAACAAACCATAGCCACTTTTTAAACTATTTGAACCATTCATTGGTCAATTAGTATGTATTATTGGATAAATTTGTATAGACTATATATATATATATATAATTTACATTAAAAAAATATACAAAAATCTTTTTTTTTTTAATATTAATTTTTGTGTTATGTTGTGTTGTGTTATTATTATTATTTTAAATCAAAATTTTTATTATTTATCCCAATAAACATATATTGTTTTTCATAAAATATCATTTAAATTAAAATTTAAAATACTAACCCACCTATTTTAAAAGTTATAAGATTCTCGTTGCTATTTATTGAGAATTTCGAAAATGTTTTTAAAATATTTAACTATTATTTTTTAAATATCTATAAGAAAAAAAAATTAAAAAAAAATTGCATTTTATTGGCAACGATGTGTCTAAAAACAATAAAAATGTGCAAACAAAAAATTCTTTTATTTGACCGCCTAAGGATTATATGGGCACTATTTATTTTGATATTCTAAATTTTACTTACTATATAATTTTTATTTAGTGTAAAATTATATTATTTTTATATAAAATATTATACTTAATAATTATATTAAAAAATAAAATATAAATGAAAAAATAAACATAACTTAGACACATCAATTGAAATTTCGATACAACCTAAAGCTATCATGATTTAGAAAATGTTTGAAAATTAGCTTATTCACTATAGCCTATTATGGTTATTATAATAATTCACTCTCTTTATCTCACTTTATTATTTGTCCGATTTTTTCTATAAATATAAAAATACAAATAATAATAATATAATTAGTCATTTAAAATTTATATTAATATAATATAAATAATTATATATTCAAATTAAAATAACTAATTAATTTAATTAAAATTTAAAAAAAATAGATTATAAAATTTAAAATATATAATTATTTATTTCTTTTAAAAAACAAATTATGTAAGACACGTGAAAATAAAAAAAATATTCCATCCATCTATTAAAAAATTGCCATAAACAAAGTTACAATTTTCATTGTAATACTTATATAACATAATAATAATAATATAAATATTTTTGTCTTTTTTATTACAACTCAATATAATATTAATATTAAAAAAACTAGGTACACAGAATAAATGATAATCTTTCTAAAGAACTTGGGGAATATAAAAAAATTATATGAAATTAAATAAGTATTTTTTTTATAATAATAAAATATAAAAATAATTTGTAGGCCTGAATTGGGGAACAATTATAAATTTATATTTATATATATATATATATTTAGATAGATATTATAGATATGTATAATTAGAGGGATATAAGAGAGACTACTGAATCAATGATTCTGTGTCGGTAAACCACTGTCGGTGACAAATGATTATTATTATTATTATTATTTTAAAAGAAGCATTATATCGAAGACGGATTCACTTTTGACTTTATAATTCTATCTAAATTAAATTTTTTATTTACTTTTAAAATATAATACTTTCTCCGTCCCAAATATCATGTCCACGTTATCGTTTCTGTCCGTCTCATATACCATGTCACTTTCCTTTTCTGAAAAATGATTATACACTTTAATCTCATTTTAAATTTTTTAATTTTATTTTTTTTAATTTTAATTAAATTTATCTTAATCTTAATTTATAATTATTTATATTATAAAATAATTATTTTCTTTAATACATTCTTAAATCTACTAATTACATCTCTCCCAAAATACTGTGTCTACGATGTAACAGTCACGATATATGAGACGGAGGGAGTAATTTATTTGCGAGCATTCAAAACTTGTTTTAAGTCTGGATTTTAAATTTTAAAAATTTAAATTTAAATTTAAATAAATATGAATTTGTTTGCTTTGTAAAAATCTTGTAATATATATATTTTTAAAACATATATTCTCCCACCTATCTGGTGTAAGGTTGCAGTTTACTTTTTATACGTAAATTTTTTTAATATTAGTATTATAATAGGTTGTAGTGAAAAGACGAAAATACCCCTATTAGTATTGTATAATATAAAAGTAATGATATTTGCGTAATATAGTATAAGTTTGAAGGATATTTATTATATTAGTTAGGTAGTACAATTATTAAATTAGGAAATGTTAACCTTATTTTGAGACAGACAAAAATAAAAAATGACTAACCTTTCAATGAGATGGAGAAAATATTATTTTTATATTAAAATACCCCTATTAGTATTGTAACCTTTTAAATAAAAACACAAAACAAACAATTTTATACGATGTAATATTAATAAATATTGATACCATATTTTAAATGAAAAAATTTAATTTCTAAGTATAATAGAAAAAATAAAAATAAAAATAAGAATAAAAATTTAATTTTAAATTTTTAAAAAATAAAAAAAAATTAATAAATAATAAAAATTTAAATAAAATCTCTCAACCAAATACATTTGTATAAAGTCATTTTTAAGATTTAACTCACTGCTATTTTAGGTTGCTTCTGAAAAGTATGATGTTTTTATTAGTAGTTATTACAAACCGGAAACAATTTATTTAAAATATTTATTATTATTATTTTTAAATATTTTGTTAAATTAGTTAATACATTTTTATTGTATATTGGTGTGTTTGTTTTATGAAATAGTTTGTAAAGATAATTTTTTTTTTAGGTGAAATATAAGAAATTTATATATAATATA